CTTCTGTAATTCGGGTTTAGCCGGGCTTATATTCTTTTTGTAATTTCATAGATAAATCCCGATTTTGCTACCGTACATTCGACGTGACGTTTCTTAATAACGATGACAAGTGTTCCACAAGGTTAATGAATCTGTTCGCGTCAATCGTAATTGATTAAACGAGCTTCGATGAATATGCTAATCTTTGCAAAATGCCGAAGGGGATTAGTAATCGCTTTCCTTAGGCTCTTGTCTGTCTTCGCGTACTTATCCTTGAGGGAGCGAAGAATGGCGGATTGAGGGAATTTTTAGATGTTGCCAATGATGTTTGTAATGCGCGATTTTGACCATACTCAAAAAATTTAAGCTGGAAATAACGTTTTTGCTGAAAAAGCAGGGAATTTGAGGTCGATAAGCTTGCTTTTTTGTAAATGGCTCTTCCTTTCAGTCTTGCATAGCACTGAGATGATACAAGAGTGAATTTCCATTCTTTTCTCTTCCCGCATTGTGTTGTTTTGCACCCAATTCCCTGTTAATCTCCCGTTTAAGGCTGATTGGGGAAGGGTTTGAAAGTTCAGAACTTTACGGACAACAATTGTCTCGGCCATAGTAATTTTGTACTAATGTCCCTTCTGGCCGTTTATTTTATCCGTTAACACATAATCCGTTTAGAGATTCTATCTAAACTAGAATCCGTTTACCAATTTATTGTCACGTTTCCAGAATTAAATAAATTGGACGGGGTTGGTTTATGCAGAGATCTTTGTATTATTTTATTAGGTTGATTCAAAAGTTTTTCCACATGTCTTTAAAAAATTTTAAAAAATTTAGACCAAAGCCAGTGGGCCTGGTATATATCTTTTTAGAAAGAGGGCTGTTTGTAGATTATAGTAGATTAATAACTTTTTACAACTTAGCAATTTGTAGTAGTAGCGCCGTGTTAAACTTTAACTACTCGAAGGAAGAAAAAGTAAACCGCCGGCGTTACGTCTAGAGTGGCTGTATCTTCTTAATATTCTTGAATATGGTATGCCTGTATGTAATCTCTATGGCATCGAGGACAATTTGCTATAGGGCTAGTCGAAAAATTTTTAGTGCGAAAAATCAAAAATTAGGGTCTGGCAAAAGTAGACCCTGTAGACGCAGCTATTAGAAGCACTAAGAGATAACGCTTTCTGTTATTGTAGTGTATGAGTAGCACTACAACGCCAACGCTAAACATTCGCGCTAGCTTTAGCTATGCGGCAGAAAAATCGAATCTTTCTAATCTACCAATATTTTACGAAATTTAGGGGATTTTTACAAAAACGTTTTCTGTTCATTACTCTCGCCCGGTATCCTAGTTATTTAATAAATAATTGATCCTACTTGACATACACTATCAGTTGCTAGACGCGCTAAGCTGAAGGTCCTCTTGCCATACCAGTCAAAAAATTACAAAAATTCGCCTAAAAGTGCAGTTCATGCTACTTTTCTACCTTATAAGGCAATTTCAGTTGGTGACTTTTTGAATATATCATCAGCATACTCTCTTTGTGCAACCTGAATGGCAGCCGAGTCAAAAAAATCTAATTCCTTTCAAAAAATTTTTAAAAATCTGCTTTTGATCGGTAGCTCGGCTCTCCGGCCAACTTTATGGGATGCTACAAAAAAAGTCAGTGTAGATATAAGTAGAGCAATAAATTCAGAGGAAACTACAGCCATCCCAAGTACGAATAACCCAAAACCCGAGACTTTTTAGTGGGCTGGAAAATTGCTAGGGCCCGGGATATTCGCCATGACACAAACAGAGAAATTTTTAGTATTTTTGAAATATTCTGAAAGGAAGCTTGTAGAAAATAAAATGCTACGAATCAAAATTTTTGCAATGTTCTGCCCCATACATCTATGCTTTCAGTTTTAACATACATTCAATCAGGCTCCAGAAATTTTATTTTGAAGTGTCTCAAAAAAATGTGGAAAAACTTTTGAATCAACCTAATATGTTCAAAACATTGAAATGTAGAGTAAAACTAGCTAGTCTTTTTATTGTACGTCAGACATGCAGCAATGAGGTCCTAAAGACACGAACATGCTCATTGGGATACACGTCTTGGCCACACAACCTCAATCAAGTGCCTATGTAAGTTTGTTGCACTTTAATAAATGCCGCCAAAGTAGTGAATCCACCGTGACAACATTGTTTATATCTTTTGGAGCGCTTTTACGCCTACATCAAATTTGGTCCGGGATTGAACGGCTTCAGGAAAGCGGCTTTCGATATTCGCGGGTATCAATTAGTTTAGGGCCTTGTTTATTTTGGACTTTTTGGAACCTTTTAGGGAGGGGTCTCGTATAAAATCAGGGTCAGACGTTCTACAGAACACTCAAAATTTATTCTAACTGTGGCCAAGTTTGTCACCATGTCTTCTTTAACTATCACTCTGCTAAGACAACAACAGTTTGAAGGCCGGAAAGTGTCAAAAAAGATTTAGGAGAAAAGTTGACCATGAAAATTTGGGGCTTGTTTGTAGTGAGGGATACAATGTCCGAGCAGCAAATCTGCCGAAAAACAAAAGTTTTATAGTCTGAAACGTGTTTTTTTGATGTTCCTCGAGCATTGGGTTTTCATTGGCTATCTTGGCTACAGTACAACATGAGCTGTCTCAAATCTCGGTCTCATCATTCATCCTCTCATCTTGCTGATGAAAGACACTTCAGAATACCAAATTGTATATCCGCAATATCCTTAGTATCCTTGCATGACTCACATCGGGTTGACCTGGATGCATTTTCAATGATAATCTTCCTCTATAATAAGCATATGACCCGCAAGCCTCAAATCCAATAACTAACTGTGGAAAAGTGAAGTGAGTAATGTCTGCATATTCGTGGATGACGTTACCTTTTCTTCCCAAGATTAACCCTATTTGGGGCCACAAGAAAATTTACTGTGAACCTAGTTTGTCTCATCTAATTAAGAGATTGTAACAAAATTGGGGTCCGTAAAAGCGAAAACGCGGCGCAAACTTTTTAAACCGTTTTTTGTCTCGGCCTTTAAAATGCAAATAAACGTTGAAACGTTGGTGTTCATGTGGGGTGATATACAATTCATTGAGGCGTCATAATCCCCGCAGTCACCGCGAGGTCCCGGTTCGGAGGTGTTTTTCCGGCGTTTAAAAGTCATATTAGTGTGGTCGCTCTTCTGATGCCATCAGAACGCACCTTGTTTACATGGATATTATTAGACAAGGTTAGGGATAACTGTCCAGAGGAAATGTAAACAGGACTAGACGGAGTTTCTACTTTCTTTGACACAAAAGTGTCTAATTTGAGTGCTATCTTTGGAGAGTTCTTGGTATAAATGAGTTTACTCTTCTTCTGAACATGAACCTTGAGAATCTGTCCGAGAAGAGAGGGGAAAAGCATTTTAAGGCACCAAGTTCCACTGTATTTTCGAGAAAAACAGACGGATTTTACGTTGTCATAGCTAACTGAAAAAGTTGACTATGACTGGAAAAAATTATTGTTATGTATTTCCTTTCATTTGAGTAACAATAATAGATTTTGTAATTTATTTCATGCCATGACTACATATATGTGGTTATTTTTGACTTCTCATTGAAACTATGCCCATACGGTCGCAAGATTTATTGGTTCTAGCCAAAAACCAACCCTATAGTTCAACATTTCAAACCAAATCTACCGCTTCCCTCGTAAATGGCATTGTCTGTGTCCGATCAACGGAATTCCCCCGCTCTCCGTCATAATTTCCATCTCCACGCAATTTCAAAAAATCCAATTTTCAAATTTTAATTCAACTTTCCGCTTTTAACATTTTATGTTTTTGAACTAAATGTCGTTGTAATGTCACGGATATCGTGCTCAGTTGATTTTTCCCTGTTGTGAAAGCCTATTATAATCGAGTTACCACAAGTTTCTTGATTATTTCTTTAAAATAATCCGCTTTTTTGGAGCTACAAAAGCTTGTTTTTGCTTAAAAACACGTTTGTAAATGTTGGCAGTCTCCTTCCTCAGCTAGCTGAAGATAAATCTGCACCCACATTCTACAATAAGTTGTGTTTTTGCATGGCATTCACGTTGTATACCAAATACAATTGTTATAGTAATCTTCTCTTCCTGATACTCATAAATTAATCATGGGTACAGCAAGATTTCATGCAAGCGCCGGACGCTTTCTGTAATCTTATTTGGGACCATAACTGGCTACTGGGTTTGCATTTTGTCTTTAATTCGATTATTTCCAGATTTGGCGGGCACGCGTGTCGTCTCATTAAGTCCCAGCATATGGGTTTATTTTACATACCAGAAGTATTTTTTGGCATTTTTTGGTTTTAAATTTTTTACACTCGGATTTTTTCTTTTTAAGTTTGTTTCAAATTGACCTTATCAATGTAAAACGTAAAAAATTGCAATTTTCGCAATTTGGTCATGGCATAACGTCGTAAACAACGACTCAAATTAATATTTCTTTGTAAGGGAAAGCTGTATTTTCCAATATTGTCGAATTGAAGGGGAAAATTTGGTGGGAACCGGCATCACTTTTCATCGCACCTTTGACATAAATTTTTGCACATTTTTTTCGCAGACGAAGTATTCGAATTTTGCATTAATTTCGACGGCAGTTTCCCTGGGTTTCTGTCATGTTTCCCCAACTCATTAGAGCCGTGTCTGCATCCCATCCTACAACCAATTTTCCCACCCCATCCATCCCATCCTCGCCAGTGTCGCGTACCAAAGAACATTACATCGTGCGTCGTTCTTCTCGTGATTACAGCGCGCAATTAAACTCTGCACACGCTACTTCCTCTTATCGGGAGTACCTGTCATTCCAGTGTGTCCCCTTTGGCACACCGTTGTTGTTTGCGGTGGCCGCGCTTCCCTAAAAATGTTTCATTTCGCATTTTATGAAGTCATTTGCGTGTTTGCAAAATAATCGAAAACCAAAGTTCCCAGGCGTGCTGGTAATCCCCGTTTTTGCAGGCCTCGAGTGGCGCCACGGGCCGATGTGAGGACAGGTCATGGAGGAAGACAATCTACAACAATACCTGGCGTCGGCCACGTTGATGATCGTGGTGATCGGATGTCTGGGCAATTTTTTGTCGTTGATCCTTTTCCTCAGGCATTCCAGCTCAGTCAACACACTGTTGGCGGCGCTGTCGGTGGTGGATCTATGTTTGCTTTTGCTGGCCGTGCCAGTTTTTGTAATGCCCAGTCTGGATATATGGTAAGTCGAAGAAATGATGACTTTCTTTTTGTTTCACAATTTCGTCCTTTGCTTTTTGTCGGTAAAATTTTTCAAGAAGGACGTTGTAGGAGACCTTATGAAAGTTTAAAAACACAGATGTATTTTTGGAAAGGCCATAATGTCCTCGATCTTTGCACCTTTATTCGTTCCGACTTCCTTTTGTCTATCGGTTTCTGTCCATTTTACATTTGGCTTATCCCAAAAATAAACCCATTTACGTCCGAGAATACCCAATTTAATCAATCAAATGGTTTCAGGCCGGATCAGACGTCGCTCTACAATTTCCTGTCATGCGTGCTCAAGTATGTGTACCCGGTGAACTTGATGTTCCAGACCTGTTCCATCTACATAATGGTGCTCATTACGATCGAGCGGTGGACGGCCGTCTGCAAACCGCTGCAGGTGCGCATCTGGTGTACGGCGAGAACGTCGCGGATGGCCTTGTTGTGCATCCTGGTCTTCGCCATCGCTTACAATGTAATCCGCTTTTGGGAATACCAAATAGTGTAAGTGTTTTTGCCGCCCCTCAAATTCGATTAGGGCTGGATGGAATCCTTGCAGAGTACGAAGCTTATAGCAGTGGGTGTTTAGTAATGGTGTAACTAAACTGAATCGCCTTAGGCTCTAATCATTCAAAATGCGATTAAATTCATTAGGCAGAAAACCCATGGGCGTCTCAAAAATTTTCGTAATTGCTTACATCAAGATTGGAAAAAGTTATTTTAGCAGTTTACAAAACCGATTTTTCAGTGAAACCGAGAAAGGACTGGACTACACACGTAATCTTCGCGATATAAATCGACATCCACACTACGTCATCTTTTATTACACGGGTCTATATCTTCTCACGCACTTCCTCATCCCCTTCTCGGTGATCATCATCATGAACGGCCATGTCTGTAAACAAATTATTCAACTGCGACGAGCTCGACTAATGCTGACTCGGCAACAACAACGAGAACAAAGCACAACTCTCATGTTGCTGGTTGTGACCTTAGTTTTTGCTGTTTGCAACACGTTGCCGTTCCTCTTGAATCTTGCCGAATGTATCAAAAGGGATCTTTTTGAAGCCGAATCCACTGCATGGATTGCATATCAACTGAACGACTTGTCCAACTTGTTGGTGGTGCTGAACAGTTCAACAACTTGGATTGTCTACATTATATTTAGTGCCAAGTATCGGGAAACGGCCATGAGGATATTGTGGAGATGCAACACAGTCTACGAAAAGGATGTCAAGTACAACAGTTTGAGTCGGACACATTCGATGAGGGCGAGTTCGGCGAGGAAAGGTCCAGCAACCAGCTGCACAACAGAGAGTATAAGGTTATTTTTTGACTTAAAAACATTGCAAAGAGAATAGGGACCGTTTTTGAGTACGTATTCGCTCGGCAAATTCAATTTTAATTATGTTTTTTATCTCTATTTATTCCAGAACCTTGCAAAGCCGGACAAATCGCTCGAATTCGGAGTGCGACGAGCGAATCAGAAAGCATGTCAGCTCGATTATATCAGACAAATTCAAACGCGATTCCAAGAACAACAAGACCTCCAATGGGTACCGCGTGTCCACGCAGGCTTCCAAGAAGGAGAGCTCCTCATCAAGACTGTCTCTGGAGGTTCAGCCCTCCACCGAATTACTCAGCCCTCCCCCGATGACATTCCGCGCGCCCTCGCCCAAATGGAGCGAGCAGCCGGATCGACCAGAAGTCTAGGAATGAATGCCCGGTCAATGGTCGACAATGTGTCATAAGACGGGCTCACGGAACGGGTTGACCGGAAATGGAGCTGAGAGCTCAATGGAAGCGGAAAGATTGACGCCAGTTTACTGTATACTTGTATAGACTTTTTCTAATAATCAGACAAATCAATTCAAAACACGGGTAATCTAATAAAGTAATTAACGACTTAATCACTCGTCTTATTCGGAAGAGTCTTTATAAGGCCCTGCTGATGTCCCAAATGTTTTGCGTTTACTAAAATAGAATTACATAAAGGTTCAACAAATTGAACTGTCGGAAATGGAAATTACGTGAACTTTCAACTGCTGTACAAGCCTCTTCTTGTCGCCAATTATAGAATCTACTGCGTAAATGTTGTCGTCAAGAAGTGAGTCAGCCACGGAGTTGCCCGAAAAACGAAATAATTACGCAGCGTTCGCAACTCGTTGAATTCTCGTAAACTTTGGCGAATTCTTCCTCAAGCCAAAAGAACGCTGTGTAACCCAATTTGACGTGCTTCCGATCGAAAAAATGGGAGTGTAAAAACGCATCGGTAAAAGTATTTAAAACGCCGCCGAAATGATCGACGATAAGCAAGTCTCTACTTTTCAACGATGCACACACTAACCGTTCTTGCTCTTCTGGTGGTGCTGGTGAACCAGATCGACGCCCAATGGGGATGGGGATCACCGTGGGGTGGTGCATGGGGAGGCCCTCCAGCACCATGGGGTAAGTCGTCAACAGCCAATTTTGAGATCTATTTTAAACTTCAGCTTACCCGGAAAACAACCCAAGATCTTTTTTTAAGAATAGAATGTAGTAAACATGCGAAACTATTAGGTTGGACGGAAAGTTCGTACGATTTTTTACTGCTGCTATTTTTTCTTGCGCTGATAGAAAAAGACAAACACAAATATATGGTATTGGTAGGGGACAGGCATCCCTATCTGGCACTACAACCCTCAGCCATCTTAAGCATGTACGAAGAGAGAACTTAATTTAGACATTTACCCATCTTTGGTCTACAAGTAGAGATCCTTGGCTGGTTTGTTTAACAAGGCATAATAAGAAACTGCTTTAGCACTGCTAAAAAGCTTCCTTTTGATGCTCTTAATATGCGTGAAGTATTCGGGGATTAAATCAAAACACAGCCAGAAAACTTGGCTTTAGCAAGACCCACCAAGTTTGAATATGATTTACAACAGTCGCTTGCCGATGCATTCCTATGGGTCTAACTATGATATGTCAAAACTAAAGACACTGCCTTACACTTAGGTACCCGTCCTTAGCCAATTGTTTTACTGCGTAACATGACAGAACTCAATGATTTATTTTTCAAAAACTCGCTTGTGAACTATCGGAGCAATTCGTAAAATTCAAAAAACAGCTCAAAGCAGTTTTCTAATCCTCCTTTTCTAGGGTGGAAAATTGAGCCTCTGTATCGTTCTACTACTTTATGAAGCAATGGGTAACCATTGTTAATTGTCAGCAAATCACATGCGTTTCTCTAGAGCTATATATTTTTGGCAATTTTGCCTCTTTACGCCAAACCCGAAGCGTCTATGATCCGGGTTACTCATGTAGCACGTAAAGGGCTACCCGTGTGCCTCACTGAACCCTGTTATACGGACAGACCATCATCAATGCGTGGAGTAATAAAAAAACTTTTTCAAGCGGGGCGTTTTTTGAAGATTTGGTTGAAACAATAGCTATTATTTTATCCCACAGACTTTTTTAAGAGTTTTAACTGTGGTTAACGTAGTTGGATGGACCACTAGAAATAGCCTAAAAAGTTTCAGAGCTTCAGCAAAAACGGTTTGGAAACTAGAGCTTGCATTCCGCACCCCACCCGAAACTACCCCAAAGCGGAGAACCTCTTATAATTATGCTCGTTTTGGCCGAACTAACGACTGGCACATATCACATAAATCTGCACGCTGTACTCTTGTATATACTAGGTATCTACGGTAGACAGTCGGTCGTGGCGCAAAAAAAAATAAATTTCAAAGTTGGGTAGCAAATCGTACGAACTTTCCGTCCAACCTAATAATATTAAATTAAAATAAGGACTTATTGTTAGTAGGCGTCCCGCTCTCATTTTTTACCGAATCGCTTTTAGGCGGATCAGGACTAGGACCATGGGGTGGCCCGTGGGAAGGCCCACCTGGACCATGGGGTAAGTGATTAGATGTGACAACCGGTCCGACAGGTGTTTGGCCGTTCCAATTACCAAATAACAAAAGTTCAGCCGAGACAATATTGTTTCCCACTGTTTTTTGTGGTCCTTGGAAAAAAGTCCAGAGTGGTTTTCAGTCTAAATTTAGTGAACGCACGCTTTAAAATCAAAAAGTAGAAAGTTTTTTGTTTTTAAGAATGGTTTGAGACATTTATTTCATTGATGAACGATGTTTAGGAGGACGCCCAGGACATCACCATCATCATCATCACCATAGCGACGGTCCAGGTGGTCCAGGGGATCGCTGGGGTGGTGATCAAGGTCGATGGGCCGGCCAACAAGGCCAGGGACAATGGGGAGGGCAGCAAGGAGGACAACAAGGCCAATGGGGCAACCAGCAACAAGGTGTCCAATGGGGTGGCCAACAAGGAGGCCAGCAAGGCGGACAAGGACAATGGGGAGGACAAGGTGGCCAACCAGGAGGCCAGGGGAGCCAACCAGGAGGACAAGGAGGCCAAGACCAATGGGGAGGGCAACAAGGAGGTCAACAACAAGGGCAAGACTGGGGACAACAAGGAGGACAACAGGGAGGCCAACAACAACCTGAACAGAGCTCTGGCCAACCTCGCAAAGTGAGCCGAGAAGAAGATCTGAATGTCCCCACCCAGAACTTCCCATCCAGAAATGTAGTTGCCCGAGATGCCCCACCAGGCTTCGAAAGCCCTAGCATTCCAGATCCCCCATCCAAATAAATCGCCATGACCTCAAAGAAAAAGTGTGCTCTATGATCTCCACCAATTAAAGCCAATAAACATTTACGATTGATTGTAGTCTTAATGATATTGACGTGGGAAGCAGAATAATGCGAGACTTTCTTGTTAAAAATTCTAAGGGTAGGCAATTGGAAAAAGACTTGTGAAGGTCACAAAGAAGGGCTTACTTGACACACCCAAATACTCTTTGTTTTGTTCAAAGCGCAACAACAATTTTACGATGGTAAGAGTCATAAAGTAGGTTTAGATCAACAATAGAAATCGTCCTGCTTGTTCCTGCCGCCACCTCAAAATTTATTGCCAAAAAATGTCGAAAATTTTTTAAGAACAAGAATTTGCCGTTCTTTTGGCAAAATTCTGGCATTTCGCATCACGAAAATAGCGGCTCGCGCCCGAAATAAAAATTGGAAAATATTTTTTCTCGATAGAGATGATTCTTCATGGAGTTGCAGCGTAAATTCACATTCGACGATCCTGAAGACAGTTATTGGAACGACAATGACAGCCAGAATTCTTTCTTTGCAGATCAAAAGAATGCCGTAGGTTTTCTATCGGCTAATTAAAACTTCTACTTTTAGACCGTAGCACGGCAAGTGTTAGACGATCTGTATGAAGTGGATTTTGATATCCCCGATGAGGACCTCCCTGAACCTCCGAGCAATGATAACAACGAGTTGTCTGAGGGGTCTTCAAATAAAGTTTTCTTCGACGATCAACCGAAAGTCTTTCCCGAACAACTCCACAAACCTCACTTACTTGGTGCTAATAAATTGGTAAGGGGTTTTTATTTTGTCTTTTATGTTTTTAGAATGAAAGTCCAAGGCCCAGACGACCTCTGGGAAGTTCGTCGATGATATCTGATTGTAGTTTTACGTCGTTTTCTAGCGATGCGACAGTTCATTTGGATTATGCGCGACTGAAGAGCGAGCATCACAAACTTCAGAAGTACCTTGACGTAAGTATCCATTTTTGTGCATAATAGACCCTTTTAGCGGGTAAGATCTGAGAGGTTTGAGCCACCATCAGTAGAAACAACAATAAAACGACTGCGAAGATGCGAGCCTGTAGCCTTGGACTTCTATAAATCTAAACAAGACAAGACTGAACTCTTGGATGAAGCTATTAATTCTCAGGATACTGATGTAATATTAACCGTACGTTTCTCAACCACTTGTTACCTATATTTTTAGGTAGTACTTTTCTTAAAGAGAACGCTGATTTCTTCTATATTCCGTGAGATTTTGATTTTCAAACCAGAAGCCGCTGAAGTTTACGTCACTTATCTTCGAGAATGTAATGAGACAAACGAGCTGATCGATACCTTATTGTAAGTTGGTCATATTTTTAGTTTTTAGTAAGCTATCTTTAAACCAATGCTATTTTCTTTCTTGCAGCTCTCTCGGACGGAGTGATGAAGCGGCAATGGTCGAGTTTCAATGTGCAGTAAAGAAGTGTCACACGGCATCGAAGATTAATAATCTAAAGAAGTGTTTGATCAGCGGATTCAGCGATCCGACCCTCAGTGCGGAAGCCAAGTTTGTCGAAGAATACATTCATCTGATTGAGCGACAAGTCCCTATTGATGTGGGTTTTGATTTTCTTATTATTTTGGTTATATTGTTTTAGTCATCAGATGAAGAGGAAAACAAGGCCGGGACTAATGAGATCTTCAAGCAATTCCCCAAGAAAGCCTCTCTAATCGGGCAACCCCTATTGACAACTCTCTATTATTGTTGTTTGTATCATTACAATCTCCCAGTTGTAAGTTTTGTCTCAAATATATTTATATCTTTGTCGTTTAGAACGTCTATGCAAGTCCATTGTCTTTTAAATCGACCTTCAACATCAATGAAAAGGCGTTCTTTTGGATGGCGGCCTCAGCCTTGTGCAGGAAGAAGCAGTATGGAGAAATTGAACGGCTTTTGACCTGCAAAAAGATGATTGTTTCCCAGAAACTCGTCTGTCCTTTCCCGTGGACAGTCTTCTTTCAACTGGTTGCCAAATATGGACCCCCAAATAAAGAGGTAATTGATATTTTTGTTGTGCAATATTGAACTTTTCAGATACTTACAAAATGGCTTGGCGCAATTAGTGATGTAAATGAACGACTTAAAGTCGCCGAACAATTTGGCGAACTAACAGCTGGTGTTCAAATCGAGGCGATCAACTCATTAAAAGATAAACAGAAGTTGGTCAACTTGATGAACAAGCTAAATCCAAAGTCTGTCGAATATAACAAGGCCCAACTCATACTGTCCAATACGGTAGGTGCAGACTTTGTAACGGAAGTGATTCTTTATTTATTATCTTCTTGTTGTTTCAGGCGAATAAATGGAAAAACTAACCACGAAACCCAGTGTTTCCGCGCTGATAACATGTACCATACGGATTATCTTATCATTAATTCCTTCGGGTGATTCATTATACAGCTTTTCACTTACTACACTCTGTGATTTCGAACAAATTCCTACCAGAATAAAACATCGAGAACTCCATGATATTCGAGGGCATAATAAATATTTTTGCTAAAAGTTATATTTTTTGTCGGTATTGTGTAACGAGTGATTATCCGGCAATCTCTTACGGACTGGTCGTCTTTCTTTTGTAAATGATCAAAGGGCCGCGGATCAGATTGTTTGCAACACATGCTCCTGATGGGAAGAAAGTCTCTTGTAAGCAAAGAATTTCGGTCCAAATCGTTTCTCTGGAACAATGTTTTCGCCGACATCTCACCCCCTCCCCCCTTTTTTTTGCTTCTTTTGGCTTCTTTCATTTGCGGCCGGATCGAAGATATTGATCTGGTTTCGGTATCGTTTACAGTTTTGTTTATAAGGAAATGAACAAGGCCTTAAAATGCGATCCGAATAATCTGGAGCAAGGTGTTATTATCGGCCGGAGCTGCTATCTGATCGTTGCACTTTTCGGAGAGACGTTCGACCTTGGGTTCTCTTGATTACAGCTGTCTATCTAGTATAATATATTTTTTTCGAATTAGCCGGACGCATAGTCGGTTTAATTTATTGGTCGTCTCTCCTGAGGGGCACCTTGTTGTCTTTTCATGAAATGTTTACGTATACATCATAGATCATGAGAAAGTATCCCACCGCGAAAACCTCGGACCTGCAATTTCTCGATTTTGAACGAATTTTTTCGGAAAAAAAAATATTTTTTTGATCAGTTGCAGAATTCTGTTAGATTAATTTCCCACATCAAAATACACTTCTTTTGGCTCTTCGAACCGTCAAATTATTCAAAAAATTATAATTTTTTCGCGATTCTTCGGAACAAATAAATTTTCATTTTGGATTGCACAGGAGCAGTGAAGACGTTCAGTTTTACCGTTTTCCCTGCCCGACGATGGTCAAAAAGACTAAACATATCAGGCAAGGTCGTGCTAGTGAAAGCACAGATAATCAGAAGGTTGAGGAGGTGACACCTTGGGTTGAGAATGGATCATGTCCCGTTCCGATGGTTATGTGCTGCAATAAAGGTAAACTCTTGCGTTTGAAAGTGTTTTCTTTGCGTTTAGGAGAGGGAAAAGAACGCCTTACGTAATAGTGAGGATCACCGGACTGACCTAGAGCTTTTGATTTGGCTCTATGCGCTCTTTGACTATAGTGATCGAGTATAAGATTGGCGGGTCTGCGATAGGGTATAGTTGATTGAAAAAACATGACTGAATGTATGCTTGTGTTGAGTTTGAATATGATGTAAGGCTCTAATTATAAATTTGACGTTTCTTCTGTTTTTCGATATTTGACTGCTAAATTTGAGTTGAATTTTTGCACCGAAGTCGGTACAATTTCTCTTTCGTACTAACTAACACCAGAAAAAGCGTATAACTGATTTTTTAGTTATTTCAATATCATACATCCTGATAAATTTTCAGGAGAACCAGTTGGGGAAACCGATGGAGTACGGATGTTCTGTTCGAGCAAGGACTGCACAATAAACAATGTTCTCCATAAACAGTGCTTTGAGGAGCTGGAGATTGGCTTAATTAAGATCCTTCAAAATAAAGGTAATTCTTTGTTTAAATCAAGGTGCTTTGACGTTTAGGGTCGGCTAGAAGATGGACGGAGGATCAACGAATGAGTAATTTGTGGACGAAGAAGGGAATGAATATACTCGCAAGGTTTTTACGTTGTAAATGTTCAAAAGGGATATTGGATAAGCGGGAAGATTTTAGAATGGTAAAGAATATTACACTTGGCCATTTCGGAAATTTCCTCAATATTTATATGATTTACGTAATTTATTTTGTTTTAGCCTGAGAAACCGACAGTTGTGGAGGTGTTCCCTAAAGCTGAGCACATACATGCCCCTAAAATAAAGAAACGAGAGTTACCATCGCTAAATACTGGTCCGAGATCAACTGTTACTGCCCGAAATGCTGCGTCGTAAGTCGATTCGTGTTTGAATATTTTTGTTTTTAGATCACGAAGGCTGGGAAAGTTCAATCCACACTTTATGGACTGCCATAGCGATGAAGAGGATCTACCAACACTTAGGGTAATATAATTTATTTATGTTACAGGGGAAATTCCCCAACTGAGATGCTCTGCTTTTGTTTAAACTTGGCACAACTTTAAAATATTTTTTTCCAAGACGCACGCCATCTGTTGATATTTAATTTCAATTAGACATTTAGAGCTCCCTTCCGTCCTCTCCGGCCACGATAGCTAAGCCAAAACCACTGAAGTCACTTATACAAAAGGAAAAGATAAAATTGAATTATCTTTCCAAGGTAAAGGACGCCAAACCTGCTGTCTCACCTCCGCCAAATCCTGATTGGCCTAGTTTAGAAGGAGAAGATGAGAAATCGAGTCCTGTTAGACAGCCACAAACCCCACCTAAGGAATTGGCAAGACCTAGGAAGACATTCTCCGAGGTAACACAACAATGTAAACCCAAAGTTACGAAGAAACCGCCAGAAGATAACGTCTACAAGGTGTTAAGTAGAAAGGATCTTGAGATTAGAAGACTTCCCGGATGTCGAAAACCTTCAGAACCAAGAAATTCAGAGAGTGAGAGAAGCATGACTAGTAGAAGAACGAGTGAAAGTACTTCAGAGATTGGAAGGGGCAAGGAGGATGTAAAAGATCTGGAAAAGAATGATGATTCAGCTAGTTCTGTGGGAGGAACTAGAGAGGATAAGGTGAGTTAGATGTTAGTTGGTTATATTTTGAATTTTATCGTAGGTCAAACCTCTTCAAATCCGCACCGAATTGTATCATACCGGCCCGATCCCAGGTCTAGCTCATGAATTGATGGCCGCCTCTCCGGTTGACGTGTGCCGTTCTACTCCGTCCATAGTTTTCCATAATTCGCGCCCTCCATCGTCTCTATCATTCTCAGAGAAATCAAGCGCAACTTTTGAAAGCGATGAAAATGTAAAACCCCCTCCAGTTTCGATTGCGGAGACCTTCAAATCGATTCGTCTTCGCTCGGCTCTAACAAGCCAGTTTTTGGATCTGGACAAGTACGACTTTGGCCCCAAATATAAGACCAACGAGGCGTTTATCCAGTCTCTGATCCGGGATGCCACTGATTTCTTCCAGCCCCCGCCATTTCTGGACGAACTCGGCTTCAATCCGGCCCTCTGGTCACCCATTTAGGATTGCTTTTGCAGGATAAACTTGAATCCACGTTCTATTCGAGTTTATTTTTTGATAAACCGTTTAAATTTGTATACACCCACTTTTATTTTCCACATTTGGTTTCATTTTTCTAGCCCAGATTCTTATTTTCCCAAGTTGATCTCCGTTAAGCCTTATTTGTTGTCTTCCCCACCATCCCCGTTCATGTGTATTTTTGTTATTGTGTTTAAATTTATTTTCATTCCGAAAAAATAAAAACAGTGCTATTGGCTTAGATTAGGTGGACTGAGGATAGTGTTATAATTTGTTCACGAAATATTACGTAATTTTGCATGGAAGTACGTTTGCCTTGACGCATCAGGAAAATCAAGGCCGGGGAAATGCTCGTTTTGAGGAAGAATGCGACGAAAAGTCTTAATCAATATGGAAATAATTTTTTTCCGTATTTACTGTAGCGAAAAGACGAATATTTGAAATTTTTCGGCTAACAGGGGAAGTACTTCAAGTGTGATGCTCAGATTTTCTTTAAATTTTGCACACACATCGGGTATGGACTAAATATCAATTCCTGAAAGTTTTAGCTCGCGCTTTGCGGGCGCCGCCGAGATATCGAACGATTTTTGCCGCCGAGAGAGCACGCTAAACGTGGAGAGCGGTCAGAGAGAAGAGCGCTTTTTGGCCATAACTTTGGCAGTTTCGTGCGGAAAAATTTGATTTTTTGTAGAAACATTATTCTTTACAGTTGAAATAGGCATGAAACTTTTCGTGCCGAAATTCGGCAAAAAGTCCTAAATTTTCGCCGACTTTTAATCTAAAAATCTCGGTTGTTTCTGTAAAGCGCGAGCTAGGATTCTCGCATATATCTTAGAAAAAATTATTCTAAATTTATGCCAAGTTTCATCAAAATCTGAGCGTCACACTTCAAGTACTTCCCTTGTAAATAAAACGCAAAGATGTACGGTATATATCCCAATAAAACTAGGGTGTTTGTACCGTTACGTTCGAAGAAGAGACATCGGGTGATCTTTAAAGGTCACCTCGTTTTCTTTTCTCCACCCCTCCATTGGAATGTCGTAACTCGTCGAGTCCCGCTGATCTCGAGAGTTTCTCAGGGAATTCCTTTTTTGCATTTGCACTTTTGATCGATTGGACTGTAATGATGAGCCCTTCGTTTCATGGGTAGTGATGACGAAATAACTCGATCCCCCGACCAGATATCGACCACCTCCCGTCCGACTTGAGCAGAAAAGTCGTGTTTCAAAGGGCAAAGACCCCCTTAAATTTAAGAAAGACGCGGCTGCAGCCCCGTTATCATCACAGAAAAAGCCCATTGCGCCGGGCGATTCGCTCTCCCGCTCTCACCACCACAGAAAAGGTGTATGGCGACGATCGACTGACTTTCATGCCCACAATATTAGGGTAGTTATTGATCTCAACGCAGCTTGGCCGGTGCTGTTCTTACCTGGGAGTTTGTTCAACTTAATTTTGCCGAGTTCCTGTGAGTTTCCTTCGATTTTCTTTCATCTATTTTTGGTTTAGACCTAGTTTTAGTGCATTTTCGTCCTGCAAAGGAATATTTGCTGAGCATTCCTGATTAAACGGTGATAAAGGAGAAGGGGATGCCAATGCTTAACATCTCCTGTCACATCACCGATCCCTCGGGTGTCACGAGGCGGTACACTGTTAAGACGGAGGAGAATTCGTCCGTTCAACAACTCCTTGATAGGATTCAAAGTCGATTCCCTCAAACGTTGACGAGAATCCAAAGGAATGACAGGATAAACAATGAGCCAGCACATATTTTATTCTTCGACGAGCCCGTTGAACCCGGAGATGAATTCTTTTTTGGCTTCGAGCCAGAAGAGGTGAGTGTCATTTCTTTTTGAAGTGCTTCGGTTTTAGATCGGCGTCAGATTGCTTCAATCGACGTAGGGTAAGATGACACAAAATGAGATTTTTACCCACTATAAAGATGTATTTTAGACCCAATGCCTTCAGAAGGCGTCCCCCACAACTTCAACCCCACCTCCACAACCAACTGCGAACGAAAGTTCTTTCCGTGAAAAGTTGTCACCAGTAATTAACATGCCGATTCTTCTGGAAGAGCCGATCTCAAACAGTACTCAGCCTATTTACATGACGTCATCGTTCCCAGAGTCCTCAACATTGACGCCACCATCTCAAACATCAGCGGCAATTGTACCAATTGCGCCGTTCCAGGCAGAGCAGTATTCAGAAACCCCGACCCATCTGACTTCCTCGTTGGCTACGATGACGGTGGAGAAGGTTCTGCAAGGTTGTCGGAAGGCCGAAGTGATCTATGAGAAGTTGAAGCGGGCCGAGTCCATTCTTCCTGCAGAAAGACAACTTTTGGTGCGGACTGCGGGCAGATGGCTTATGGATTGTTGCGCAACGTGAGTTCAAAAGCTAAAATATATTTTGAATGACATTGAAGGAGCACTCCCAAATCTCAATTTTAGACGAATGAAACCCACCTCTGCAGAACGCGCCTTCTTCGCAAGAGAATTTTTTGGCAAACTCCCCAACTTCCAATATGAAATTGTAAGTACAGTAATCCAGTGGGGATGGAAATGGTTTTAGAAGGACTTCCACAACAGTCAGAGCCGCGGCTTCCTTGATGTTTTTATCTACAACGAAAGGGATCGGAAGAGTCGAGCGGGCGAATTGAATCGCCCCTTTATTCCGTCGGATGCGCTGGTTAAGAGCTTGAAAAGGAAATTCAGCAAGGTCAGCGATGGCCAAGGAAATAAAATCGAGGATCTTGGCATGTAAGTCACATATTTTATATGAAAGTGTCATAAGTCTGGTCATGATTAAAATTGGAGACTTAAAAGTTCTTTTACAACCAATAGAATCTTCTCTTATCAGTAATGAAATTAAGAAATACTGTCTTATCAAAGGTAAAAGTCCATTTTTTTGTTTGCTCTGAAAAAGTATGGAACAGTGATAAGAGACTGATTATTACAGTCGTAAACGGGTCTGTAAAAAATGGGTTTGCGAGAAAACTGTAGTCTTATCAGTTCTCTTATCAATAAAAGAAAAGATTATTGATTTTGAAATCATTGGGTTACTGTAACTTTTCATTTTAGTGGTCCATTTCCGACTGAACTTACTGTGCCCACTGATACGATCACTTCCTTGTCGTATTTGGAGGAGGATCCGGCGGCTGTAAGTTTGATTTCCAGAATTTTTAAAGTGACTTTTAATACTTTATGTTTAACGTATCTTTTTCAGTTCGAGCTCCGATTTGCCGAAGTAATAATCCGAGATTTCCCTAATCAAGTGGCCGAGAGATTGGCGGAGCGATGGGAATTCGAGATTGCTCCGAAAATTGTGAAATATGTGAAGAAGGTGAATTTCGAATTCTACAATAAGGCCTCAGAAGGAATCGCTGACAAGGAGGGACAACATGGATTAATTGCCCTCAAATTGATTCCATTTTTGGTGAGGAGAGTCTACAAAGACCACAGTAAACTCAGTTACATCATCGTCTGTTTGAAGGTGAGAGATTATTTTTTTGAGTGGAATTTCCATTACTTTTGAGAGGAAATGTTCTCGAATTTTTTTGATTCTTTAAAAAAACATTTTAATGATGTTTTAGGAACTAGACGATGCTGTAATGCTAAATTCAATGAGAGAAAGGCACGATGCCGGCCCAGTCATCTTCACAGACAACAATCAATACCGAATAGTTGTCATGGATAAGATGATTAGATGTGAACAGTCGGCCGCATTGGCTTTGGAAAAGCTTCTCAAGGCTTATTATGTCTACTCGTTGCCCCTGAGTTCGATGAGGAAAACATTGTTCTTATTTATCTTAACCTTTTTCCAAATCTCACCCAAAGCAACGAGTGCCTTCAAGGAGACCGTCAAGTGTATTATGACCACTTCATAGGCATTTGGGACCCATTTTAAATATCCAACTGTTTCCGCAAACTCTTCTTTTATGTGATACGAATCTTACACTACTTTTTTCACAGAGCCTTTAATTAATACGGGTCTTTTTTGGCCATTCCACTGGTTTATTCAAAAATCTTCGACATTTTCTTTCTTCCGACATTCAAAGGAACCGATTTTTTATTGTTATTGATTGGATCTTTTAATAAATATTACTTATGGAGATTACGATGGTTGAATTCTGGACTTTGGTCGGAAATTTGTTGTATTGTTTGAATCTTCACATTAATTTTATCTTTCCTTTCGGAAATCAGAGATGACGTTGATGTTATTCAAAGATCTCATACATTCTGTTTATTTGTTTGTTTTTTAAAACAACTGTTTTGTCGCCTATCGTATCAATAACCAATGTTCAACATTGGAAGGAACAAGTTGTTCTCCAAATGTAGAGGAAAAACATCCATTGATATATGACAGCAGGCTTGCACACATATCTACATCCCAGTTTTCGTACGCAGGTACTTTATCCAGCTCCCAAATTAATCGTTAAAAGTTGCCAGCAAGGTCTTTGCAGTCAATAACTGAGATGTTCAACGGACTTTGAAGGCGGTAGAAAATCAGAGGGACCGTCCTTGGCGCACCAATTCCGAGTTTTATAATTCTTCCAAATGTCGCCTGGTTTGGTATTTTAGGATACACGCTGCCTGGCCTAAAGTCCAGCTATGCGAGGATTCTATAACGTGGCGATTCAATGTTTACATTTTTCCCGAGATAACGCGAGCCATCAAGCACTCATTTCATACAATACACACTGCGTCCCGTCGACTTTATTTTTGGTATTCTTTGAGTTGTGAAACAGAATTACTCTGAAACGTTTCTATTTTTGTCCTACCATCCGTCAATCCATACTATGTGTTTTGTTACATTACTTTTAAAAATACTTTTTGGGTACAGTTTGTAATTAATGTTCTTATTGACGGAGGTCTCAAAGGTCCTTTCAGAAGTCATAGGGCACCCCAAAGATAAATAACTCGTACTTTCGTATCAGTTATGTATTTTTTATCGCTTCTTGTTTACACTATCAGCCTGTTTCAAAGAACAGAGTCGGATAGTTTGAGTTGTTATTGGAAAAGGTGATCTGATAATCTTTGAAAATTTAAGGACAGAAGAAATTAGAGAAATTAACAAGAACGCTTTATTATTAGTCCGGACTTTGTTGAGAGCTAAAGAAGATTCTTGAGAGCCATTAAACCAAACTGCAGCTCATTTTTGAGTAAAATTTAGGCCGGATTAGGCCTTAAGTCATCCTAGGTTAAATTTTGACTAACTTGAAGACAAACCGAACCTTCAAGATTTAGTGGGTTCTCAAAAGAGCATCCAGGCCCCAGCTAAAGTCATCCGAGCAAATATGAGTTACAGTTTAAGGTATATTATTATCACAGTCGTCCATATTTTTTTCGGATATGGATACGTATACGGCTGCGTATATTCATACGAACATCTTCCAAGCTCACAAAATTTGGTCCAAAAACTGTTCAGAAATCTTACAAAAGAAATTTTTGATGTTTTCTTAAAGTGCTCTGTTGCTTTTGCTTGTATAATATTTGTAGGACATTCAGATACTGGAGTGGTCTACATTTGTACAAAAAAAAATAAAAATTTTAGCCGCCTTTCGGTAATTATCGGCCAAAAATGTCCGCATCCGAATGGACAATTTTTGATGTATCGTACATTCGTATCCAATCACCATCTCCAATATTCATTCCCAATACATCCATCGGCCTGAGGATTCCGTTATAAATTCCGTGTAAATCATCTTCAATTCATGAGAATCCATATATGCTGTGACAAAACAATTATCATCAACACCAGAGAATGGGTCAAAACGGGTTTAGCGCGAACTATTTTTAGTCAGCGACCGCTCATTTTCGGTCGCAGAATCAAGAGCATTTATTAATAGAAGCGGAAATTGTGGTTCCCCGCAGACGAGTAAAAGGTACACTACATTACTGCAGGGAAAAATAACGTGAAGAAAAGATGGACAAGACGAGGGGGCTGTTGAAAAGAAGCATGACCAGGCCGGGCTGTTGCCAACTCCAAGTCCGTATCCTGTCCCAATCAAAGTCGGCTCCCTTCGACTACAAGGGGGGACTTGATCCAGTGGCAAAAAACAGCCACCGCCAGTTATATGAAATCTGTTTGAAATCTATCAACCAAACAACGCCTCCAATCCATATTTCGTCCATTTACAAACATGTATATTTTAAGTCATTCATCGAGTTGTTGTGAGTGTATATGTCTATTTTTGGCTTCTGATTTTTCCTTTTTCTTAGACATGAAGCCCTCCGCTTCATTATTTCGTAAGGAATTCAACATGAATTCTCGCACAACCTTATCCATCCAAACGTATCAAAAATTTCTCCCCCAAATCTCCGCAAGAATATTCTCGTATCTTCTGCGGCAAGAGGAGAGATGATCTTTGTCGTAATGAGAGCGTTATTTACTTTACGACATTTGCGGAGATAAAGAGAAGCCCTCGCCGATCGAAGAGGACTCTCCGCATACTTTGGACCCCAAAATGTCCCGATGAAAAACATGTGATCGGCGGTGATGTGGGGATCCTTTTGAAAATACGACGTTATTTATGCGCCGCTGAGACATCGTTTTACGAATGATATAATTCTCAGGGAAAGGTCAGTGGGATCGGAGATCACTTGAGTCTTGGCCTGATCTTTCTTTTTTTACTGAAGAGTGGTACATTCAAATACCAGTTGAATAAATATTACTGCGAACAAAGTTCTTTAAAATCCGCTTTAGCAATCTGAAGGAATAAGAAATATCATTTACCCCATTTTTTTTAAACTTACGGCATCTGTCATCTCTATAGTACCAAAAAGATGAACTTGTTTATCTTCAGAAGTCCCTAGAATAGTGTACAAGCCGTCTGCGGTCAATATTATTTGAGATAAAAAAGTTCAAGAACTTGTTTATGTCTATAATGCTGGTTTAAAGTCCAAAAATAGTTGCTGTTTTTGATCATGCACTAGTACAGTAATGCACATCAACCTTGAAAAAACGGGTTCAGTTGAGTTATAATAAATAGTAAGTATGACAAATTACTGTTTCAGATTGGCTAACTTTTATTATCGTATCAAAAGGAGCACCACTCTCCTTACGGTTGGAACGCTTCGTTTTGTAGCCTTTGTTTATTTCCCTACAGTATCCATTTCCGACCAATGATGCAAACCGCTAATTTTTAAAGGCCCCGAGCAAAGAACGGAGAGGAATTCTCCGTTTGCTCATCAAAAAAGACGTTTTTATTCAGCTGAAAGTCAGAGAATGTTCACTTTTAAAGATTCTTGTCTAGTCTACTATGAGGCTGAATGTTTGATCAGGCCTTTTGCATTGATTGTCGTTGAAATTAGCAAACCTTTAAAGATTGAAATTGGTTTTTATTCTCCAGACAAAACTTTTGCACGTTGGGGCTTCTTGTGAGCAATTCTTTTCCGTGGCTTCCCAGACTAGACTATGAAAGGACAATATCCAATCCTATGATCAGTGATGATTAGGAATTCCCTCATGCATTTTTTAGAACAACTGACTAATTTCTGAGATCTTTGGCCGTTCCGACATGTCTTGGATCGCGATTCCCCCTTTTAAACTGAGGGTGGAGGGCAAAGTACATGGCCGATGAATTACTATACTGTAAGACTTCCGGTGCTATTTTCGAAATGGTTCAATGTCTGTAGTGTAAATTGTTCGATCATCTCTATAGTAACAAATGAGTTCGGTGACTTTTAAAATATCAATTTCGTAAGGTCACAGACCTACTGATAAGTCATCGAAAGAGACAAGTCGGTTCTGTAGCTTAAAAAAAACTGACAAAAACTGGAACGAGCCAAATGGTTTTTGCAGCTATTTCCTTGCAAATTTCATGAAATTTGCATTAATTTCACGCTTTAACAACCTTGGCAATACATCGTTCTTGGTCTCTTCCTGCTGACGAACAGGCCGAAAAGGAAGTACAGGACAGGACACCTTTCGGCATAAATTTCGGATATCATTGGGTTTTTCCGACCTTTTTGCTGATGTACCGTCCTCTACAGTAAACCATATTATTATATGATTACAAACATTCTTTATTCTCCGTTTTCTATCAGACCCATTCTTACACTCGTCAACCCAATTCTGATCAGTCTGAAAGGACTCTCCAGGATTGATAACCCCCTCAAAATACGTTGGCGATATTTTTATCGGCGCTTTCATTGAAACCGCGGTCTAAAAGAGTCGTTGCTCTTTAAAAGGCAGAGTCTGTTTCTTTAAAGACGACAAACGATGGGGTTCACGTGAAAGGGAGAACTCGGGTTACGACTCGTATCAAGAGAGACTTCATTTATATTTGAGACAAGAATTAATCATTACGAATGGGAGAGAAAACAGTCGCGAGGGAGAGGGGAAGAGGGATCAGAGTACACCATCGGCATGATAAGAGGAGAAGATTTGATCGGAGGAGAGGAAAAGGTCAATCATATGGTTGGGTTGTACTGTAAGAGGACAGCTCAAATAATGTAGTCCAAAAGAATTGAGACAAAAATCTTAAGGTATCACCCCAAAATACCAAAAATTAAAAAGCGAAAACTCAAAATCTACAGTAAAATTTTCAAAATTTTATAGTAATCCTTACCTACTACAATATCATTAATAACGAAGCCTATCTAAGAATAATATAAAACCTCAGTCCCTCCCTCGAATTACAACACAAATGACATGCTTGGAATCCAAATCATCAGTCTCTTGCAGATACAGTAAGAAACAACTTCCGCAAAAAAACAGTAAAAGTGATGAAACTCTGACCTTTCACGTGAAGAACAATGACTGGCAGAGGAATTCGGAGAAGAAACTGACCAACAAATTTCACAGCAAAATAAATACATCCTCCCAGAAAATTCTACTATTCACGTGAAAAAGAGTTACATTATTTCAGAAGACGACTAAAATAATACGTGCGACAATGGCGGAGAAAGGTTACGAAACAAATCTTCCAGATGCCACACGTTTTTTTTATGCCTCATCAATCAAGGAACATCTCAACCACCAAGGCTTTAGACCTTTAAAGATCACAAAAGAAGCAATTTCCTTGAAATTCTCGTAAAAGTATAGTAACTGTAAGAGTCTAAAGTATAGCTAACAGTTGGTCCTTGCACGAGGCGAACATTTCTCTTATCAGTTATTTGATTTTTAAAAGTTACGGCGCTTTTTTAAAGATCGGAACCCTGACATTTCATGACACTGAAAATCAATCAACGTCTGATAACCGGCGTTCCACTTTCCGCTAGGTTATTAGCGTTCTGTTTTAGCTTGGGAAAGCCAACAACGAACATGTGCAAGTAAAACACACGCCGCTGGGAACACACAAAATCACGTGAACGCTATTTTTAATAAAATTTTAAACATCCTCCAAGGTGAGCAAGGTTACAAAAGTGCACCTGCTATTTTTGAATGTTGCCTAAGGTCATGAAGCAAACCCTGGTGACTTTTTACTGCCATGTTTGGTTGTTTGGGTGTCTTCGCTATAATTATGGACTATTTTGAACAAAATTTTAACCACCCTCCAGGGTGATCTATTAAACAAAAGTGCAATTTATATTTTTGAATGTTGCCTGAGGTCATCAAGCGGTCATATTTGGTTGTTTGGGTGTCTTCTCTATAGTTATGGTTACCATAATCTCTGCTGATTACTTTTTTGTCCAAAAATCAATATTTTACTGTGCCAAATGGGCGGAGTTTGATAGCGAAGCAAGAGATCAGGATGGGCAATGAGAACCGAGAACTCAAATCCGTGATTAAAAATGGGAGGGATCGGAGGACTAGACAGCATCGAAATCTGTGAAACTTCCGAGAAAAAAACGAAACACAGAGTGTCTACAAACCAGACAGACATTACACACTATCAGCTGACAAGAATTATTCGAAATAGCACGAGAAAGTGCAAGAATCCGCAAACATAGTGTTGATCCCAAAGAGAGTTCAGAGAATTTCCAACTTACCAACCAGACAAACGAGAGATCAAGCGCCGAAAGGAGACTTCAAACATTGATTAGAGACTCTTCCACCCACCGAAACCACAGACTTCTGCCCCTCCGAAACACCAAACCAACAACAGAGGGAGCAGAAAACGCGGAGAGAGCGAGCAAAGAACGTAGGGCGCAGACGCGGGCGGGCGGGGAACGGGGCGAACCTCGTGCAACGAAAAGGCGGGGAGAAAACCCCGAGAGAAAATCTCATCAATTTTGCTGGCAACCCTCCCCTCGTCCCGCGAATATAAAAGGGCTCGGCGATCGCCAAGAACCATCAACCATTGACCAATTCTCACATCTCATCTACACTTCAAAATGCCTCCAATCGGATTGTCCATCGCTGAATGCGAACAGCTCAAATCTCGTGTCTTCGACGACTTCCAGAATGAACCAACACTCCAGAAGCGCACAATCTCCACTTTCATGGATTCGACCTCTTTCAAATCGCTGGTAAAGGAGATTGACACCTTCATCTTTGACGCTGATGGTAAGTTGTTTTATCCTTATTTTTCCTGTTAGATAGGGAGTTTAGGTAGAAATAGCACGATTTAGGTACCATATTTTTAGAAAAGGAAAGAGTATTCCAACCCAAATCCAAATTTAGGTAACAGTTTTTGAAGATCGAAAGTTTTAGATCTCATTTCTTACATTTTCTGATGGGATAAGTTCTTTTCTTGCCGTTTCGGAGTTTTAAAAGGGTCTTCTCGTATAAATAAAAGGGTTTGAGACTTCTGAACAAAAAACATTTCTTTGATGTGGCAAACAAGATTGATAACGGGTTCTTGGTGTTTGTTATCAACAATTTGATTCTTTTACTGATGTTCGCATAATTTCAGGTGTTCTCTGGTTGGGAGAAGACGCCATCCCAGGATCGCCGGCCTTTATCGAGTACCTGATCCGTCTGAAGAAGAGGATCATCATCCTCACCAACAATGCCACCAAATCCCGTGCCGTCTACGCCAAGAAGCTGGCCAAGCTCGGATACAACGAATCGGTCAGCAACAAGAACACCATTGTGAACCCTGCCGCCGTTGTCGCCGATACTCTTCATCGTTCTGGGATCAAGGATTCCAACAAGAAGGTCTACTTGATCGGTGGCCAAGGCGTGAAGGACGAATTGACTGAGTTGGACATTGAATACTTTGGTGATGGTCCCGATCCAATCGAGAACCAGGAATCATCCAAGGGAGCCGCCTTCTTGTACGATATTGAACTTGAAGAAGAGGTGAACCAAGTTGGAGCTGTGGTCGTTGGATACGAGAAACACTTTAACTACCTCAAGCTCATGAAGGCCGCCAACTATCTGCAAGAAGGGGACTGTCTCTTCGTGGCCACCAATGAAGATGAAACTTGCCCTGGACCCAACCCCAATACCATCATCCCAGATGCCGGACCACTGGTTGCTGCCGTCAAAACCGCCTCTGGCCGTGATCCATTGGTCGTTGGCAAACCAAACACCCCAGCCTTCGAGTACATTCAGAGGCGATGGAACGTGGACCCCTCCAGAACCATGATGATCGGCGATCGTACCAACACTGACGTCAAATTCGGCCGCGACCATGGATTGAGGACCATGTTGGTGTTGTCCGGCTGTCATCAAGTCGAAGACATCCAGGAGAACTTCGAGAACCAGAGGTTAGACATGGTCCCCGACTTCTACGCTAAGAATCTCGGCTCGTTAGTCCCAAAACGACCAACAACCGCCTATTATTAAAATGCTTCGCATTCTTGTTAGTCTTTCACGTTTTTGACTTGCGAAATCTCTTCGTTCACAGTTATTTTTTTGTTGTCTAGTTTGGCTATTGTATAGTCATTATTGTTAATCCTGCAATACGTGTATTTTATCTATTTTGCTGATTGTGGCCCAGCCAAACTAGTTGTACTAAACACCCTTTTAGAATCAGACATATTCTCAAGATGTAAATAAATTATTATTGCACTATTTGATCGGCCTTTAGGACGTTGAGTCGCGTAGTCGGCGAACACACAGTGAAAAAGAAATAAAAATAGCAGTTTTTTATAAAATTGACATTTTGTGAAAAAGGTGGTATTTTGTCTTTTGGTGCAATTTTTTTACTAATAGAATTGAGTGATTTGATAATGGTGAAGTAGAAAGAGTAGACGCTGCAGTGATCCTTGGTTCCAAAGTTGAAAGACGAGATGGCAGGAGTGTATTAGCAAATTGGTCGATTTTTTGCGAAATTTGTAGCCGAGTCGAAACAAAAACAGTTGTTCATCGATAATACCTAGAGAATCATTTAGGTGGGAACAGTAATAGAATGCTTCACGTGGGGGATGGTAGTAATACGTTCAAAAGAAGTGGCATTGGCGGTGTCCTCAAAGCTCTGGACAGCGACTCATCGTCGAAGGGAGAGCGAACGCCTCCCGGGAGTGTAGGATATAGTAAGTTACTACTTTATCATTCTATTTTCTACGTATTTAGACCGATTAGACAAAAACTTGTCGATTTATTCTTGACGGCTCGAATGTGTTACCTAAAAATATATTTCATGCATGTTTTGTTTGCGATGTTTTTTAGAAAATTTTGTTTTTAGTTCGAAATAGGACCTTCTTCACAGCTGCAGAGCAAGTTGCAAATGGACGATACGAAGATGAAGACCGCATTAAGACGGGAGCGGCCTTCAAAGCTCAACGGGAGATTGATGAACAAGATGTCATGATAATTGGTAGCAAGGATATCAAAAAGCCTATGAAGTAAGTTGATCATGTCTTTATTGGATTTCTCCTTGGCTCTGGTGAGAATTCAATGGGTTTTGAGGAGTTCGTTTATAACAATTATCTTAACCTTCTTGCCATGTGTAACACAATTGTTTTCAGACGATTCAAAGACTTGGAGTGGCCTTTAGCATTGTTGGAGAACATCACAGACAGCTTCCCTGATGGCCCGACTGTTGTGCAGAGTTACGCAATCCCTTACATTAATGATCCCGGAGCCGGCGATCTTCTTTTGCGGTCTCATACTGGCTCCGGAAAGACGGCGGCCTTTATGATCCCAATCATCAACAATATTGCCAAACTCAAAAGAGAAAAGAAACTCCCACCACGATCTCCCATTGCGGTTGTTCTTGTGCCAACTCGAGAATTGGCCATACAAGTGGCCAAAGAAGGTGGAAAGTTGGCCAGAGGAACTGGAATCAATATTTGTTTCCTGATTGGAGCGATTCCTAATTCAGATATACGGATTAATGTTGAGAGGCACGGATGTGACATTATTGTTGGTACTCTCGGAAAGATTTCTCATTTCCTTTTGGACAAAGAGAGTTCCAAAGAAGGGGGTAAAGTAAGTGATCTTTGATGAGTATCTCAATTTTAGGCCTTCTTTTCGCCTGATCATATCCGATATTTGGTCCTGGACGAAGCTGACAGACTGTTGTCTTCCGAAGAGGCTCGGACAATAGTTGATAACATAAAGGACTCAATGGTGTGTCTACTACAATATATTCTTTATATCAATTTCTGATTATCCTAAAGAATTGACGTTTTCAGTCTATGAGAACGAATTATCAAGTCATTATGAACAGTGCGACTTTGAGTGTCCACGAATACGATGATTATCTTCTGTTTATGCCGACAGCCATTACAGTAGGCCAAAATTTTCCGGTTGACAGTGTAATTCAACGGTTTGTCAATGTAGTAAGCAACTGTTTTTTGAATTGTATTTTATTTTTGCCTTGTTATGCCTTTTTTACAATTGGTTTTAGCGAAGAATATGTTTAGAGTGAATATCCAATCAAAAATGTGCCCGATGAATTTCGCCTAATCCAGCCTGGAATTGCCTGGAGGGTACAGAAAATCGACTTCCTCCTAAACCTCTGCCACTCTTGGAAAAGTCGGAATATCTCGTTCCCAAAAGTCATAATTTTTGTCAACACCAAACGCAAAGCTGAGTTCGTCGCGGCGGCTCTTCTGCAAAGAGATTTTCGAGCCTTGGCCATGCATGGAGATTACCCATTAGCGCAACGCCATGAAACAATCAATGCTTTGAAGGACGAGAAAATCGATATTATTGTAGGCACAGATGTCATCTCGAGAGGACTAAATGTACCAAATGTGGACGTCGTTGTCAATTATGACATGCCAGTAAGAAGAGCGGAGGAGTATGTCCATAGGATTGGGAGAACCGGAAGAATGGGAAATGTGGGAAGAGCAATCTCGTTTTATGATCCGAGTACGGACTTCGTAATGGCTCAAATGGTCGAAAAGGTAATTAGAAGGGTTGATAGGATGTTTCCGATTCGTTTGCTTTGGGGTTGCATCAATATTTTGATAATTGGAAACTTTTTTATTTGACGATTTCTGAAGTTTTCATTTTTTTGATCACAACGCGGGTTTTGTAATGGCTCCAAGAGGCCGGAAAATAAGAAAATTGGGTTAATAAGAAATTTAGATGTCATTATTTTGAGTTTGCCAAATAGTGACATCAACATTTTGAAGATCTGAATAAATTTTTATTGTACTTGATGATTCCTCAAATTCTTTTTATTGTTTCCTTCCAGATCATGTTGAAGACGAACCAAGAGGTCCCAGAATACCTCTCCTACTCGATCACCGCGCAATGTGACACTTTCTTATCACAGGCCCTTTTAACTGGCATGGAAAGACCAGCTGCTTCCCTTCTTGATTCCAATCATGTTTCTGCCTGGAGATTCATCGCAGACGAAGCTGTCGTACAATTCATTTGAATTTAATATTTTTAAGATTATTTGGTCGATGTTTCCATGTTTAGATCGCTCAAAGAGGTCTCATTTCGTATTATTTTTGTTTAAAATTTCAACGGGTTATCGGATCTCAATTGTTATTTATATTGTTTTTTTTCAGTTATTAATAATCGAATAAACAGATGATGGCTATTTGACATTGTTTCCTTTGTTCTAGTCCTTCTGACAAGTTTCATAGTATAAAATAAAAAATATTTTTCGCAGCCTGCAATAACACCTCGGGCGCAAGCTGCGAAATAATATTTCTGTTCCTTATAATTTTTTCGCCAGAATTTGGCGCCGACTCCATTACTGTCTTTTTTACCGGATAGCTAGTTGATTTGACAACATCCAGCAATGAGTAAATCGCTAATTTTTGATGATATGTTTGTGGTCAAGAACATTGATCCAGATGGAAAGAAGTTCGACCGTGTGAGCCGAATCTTTGGTGACTCTGAGTCTTTCAAGACCGACTTGATTCTTGATGTGAACACGCAGATCTATCCGATGGCGTTGGGGGAGAAATTCAGATTGGCTTTAAGCTTTACACTACGGGATGATGGTCTTGCTGATGAAGGAGAATACGATCAACATGTGAGTTTATTTCTATTTTGTTTTTAGGTTTAGGATCTTGGAGGGTGAATCTTCAGTGTCTTCATTCCACATCCTGTACTGAAGTTTTCTTTTTAGTTGCAAAGTTCCTTGATGAAGATCTTTCACTATGTGATGTACGGAAAGATCTACCGGGTTGAAGGCGACGATGCTGTCTCGGAGAATGCTCGTTTATCTGTCTATGCTTCGTTTGGAGGACTTTTGATGAGGTTACAAGGCGATGCGACTAGTTTGGCTGGAATGGACGTTGACAAGAATCTTTACCTTCTAATCAAGAAGATTTCTGCATGATCTTTCCAATCATTTGATGTTCTCACTTCATTTCTTGTTGAATTTTGTTATTGTTTTAAATATACTTTACATAAATTCGCGTGTCGTTTTAATCGTATGATTTCAAGGATTACATATCCATTCATTTAATGGTGTTATATCTGAAGGCTCATAAACATGACCAAAAGATTTGGTTTAGATGGACGAAGAGCCCTTTCCTCTTGCACATGACGAGATTCCAGATGTCTTACAGGCGAATGTTCCGCCATTTGAAGAGGAAGAACGAGAAGATACTGCCCATGATTATGATATGAATTTGAGTAATGATGGAAATGAGCACGACGACGAGAGAAAAGAGGGCGAACAAGGTATGTGGTTTTCATTGTTTCCATGAATTTAGGCTCGTTTGTTTTACATTTCTATTTTAGCTGCTAATGTGTTGGTTTACCGTCCTCAAATTGACCTCGATTCGATTGTAAATTCCTTTTCATCTGAAGCTTTGATCATCCGTCTCCTATTTGTTGCCGATGTCTGCCCTCCATTAAGGTCAGAGGCTCTGAAGATACTAATTGAACATGTCAAAAATGTAGGTTGTTTTTGTTTGTGATTGATGTTTAGATTTCAAAGTGGAAAAAATATGTTGTCTTCTTCTAGAATACCCAAAACGTGAATGCATACACCCTAATCTACCACCGAATCGAAGGATTCAAACGACGCGGTGGCCTCTTGAACCCCGAATTAATCCCTCCGGTGGATCAGCATTGGCTGGAGACCACCACAGCCAAGGCCCAAAGTCGTCTTGATCTTCTAAACTCCGAATTCCGCCATCAGAAGGACGATGGAGTGAAAGAGTCGATCCGTCGAGCTATGGATGACGTCTTTCATCATCATCTGGCCATGGGTAATATCCACGATGCTCTTAAGTTGTATTCTCGAGGAATTCGAGAGTACTGTACGGCTCCAAACTATCTCATCCAAATGCTATTGAACTGGATCAATGCCTCTGTTTATGGGTCACAATGGGGAAAATTGAATGTGCTGATCCCACAAGCTGAGAGAGCTGTGGCCGAAGCTTTGGAAAGAGAGGGAGGGAGTGGGCAAAACAGGAATGTGAAGAGTAATAATGCGGACGGAAATAGGAAGTTCATACAGAGCTCGAAAGCAAAGTTGAATGCCGTCTCAGGATTGTCGGCGATGAAGACTGGGAGGTTTAAGGACGCCGCCGACAAGTTTATGCAGGTAAGATTTTCTTTTTTATATTGGACTTCACAGTATTTTTTTTAATTTTCAAAGTAATTTTTTATATTGTTTTAGGTGGATCTTGACTCTCTAGACTATCCAGAGCTCTTATCCAATCATGATATCGCATGTTATGGCACTATTTGCTCCTTGGCCACATATGATCGCAAAGAGTTAAAGGAGAAGGTCCTGTTGTCAGCTTCGTTCCGAAAATTCTTAGAATCGGAGCCCAAATTTGTTGATCTTCTACAGAAATTCACGTCGAACCAATTCGGAATTGCCTTGGATATTTTGGGTGAAATCAAAGATGGACTTCTGCTGAATGTTTATTTGGCTCCGATCTTGAATGATTTGTATGATTTGATTAGGAAGCGGGCGATTGTTCAATATTTTGAACCGTTTTTGTCTGCAGACTTGAATAGAATGGCCCAGGAGTTCAGAACCTCGGTGGAGGATGTAAGTAAATATTTTTCTTTGAGAATTTTTCGTTTGATCTAGTATAATGTTGATATTATTTTAGCTGGAGAAAGAATTGGTTGGGTTGATTTATTCGAAACTTTTGGCAGGACGAATCGACTCGTTTAATAAGGTCCTGCATTTGCAAATTGCTGATAAACAAAAAGGAGTTTACGAAGAGTGAGATTTTTTTTTAAATTTTAGGTATAGGAATTTATGACAATTTTGAGGTGTTATAAATTGACCTTTTTCAGCATCTTGAAGGCCAACAAAGACTTAGAAGAGACGATCCGATCAATTGTAATCCGATCCGCCCTTCAACAACAAGGTGTTTTCATCGGAGCTGAAGGCCATTTGAATAGAAAACGTCGAGATATCTTTGAAGAACTGGAAGCCCAGCATATGGGGCACTCCTCCTCGACTGGCCATCGAGTTCTAGCGACTGTTCAACGCTTCTTCAACGCCGCTTCTTCCAGAATCCATCCTCAAGCACCAGAGGCCCAGCAATTCATGGAAGAAGAGAATGATGATCCAGATGAGAACATGGAGAATTAGAAAACTGGTACATATAATGCTATTAATACACTTATTCATGTTGTATTTATTTTTGGGGATAAAAGATAATCAGGAATCTTTATGTTACTTTAGGTAGATCGTGATTGCCTCTTCATGGTTGATATTATATTTTGTTGGCGATTCTTGAAGTGGTGGGTGATTAGTCGTTTTGATTGCGTGTTTTTCCTTCTTGTAATCGTAAAGTGTCTAGCCCGACGACCATTTATTTACAGCCTTGCCCTCTACCTTCACTCTCCGACCAGCTTATGTCATCCGCACCCACAAGCCACTCGCATTTACAAGTTTTCAAACTGTTTACGCAAAGATAAAATACAAAAGGAGAGAAATTATTACAAAGATTCGATTTAATGAGATCATATTTAAAGCCATTTTCGTGTTTTTCGATTGTTCGGAGAGGCGCGCGAAATGATTAACAAACAGGATGAGCCCGATCACTCCTCCGCCGCCTGCGCGAGCAGTCGATTGGGGCGGAAGGGGGTCCGTTGCGGGCACAGCTCCGCGCATTCCTCCATCATGCAGGCGCGGATCAACTTGAGGGTGGCGAGGGCCTCATTCTCGCCAGCCTGACCGGGGACATGCCCCAGCTCGTGTGTTGCGGTCTGGAATTGAAAGGGTTAGAGGATGAATGAGGGAAAAAAAGGAGATTCATATTCAAAAATTTGTTGATAATTTAGTTCTGGATGAATGGGAGAAAGGCTCCAATTACAAAACAAAGAATCCTTTAAGATCAGACGTTTTGGGAAAGATTAAAAAATATTTCTTTGACTGTACTCTCCATAATTTTGCTTGGAATTTGTTATCGCAAAAAGGTACTGATATTTATTTTCATGCCAAAAAAATCGATTTACTGTCTATGCCGCAATTATGATGCATCAAACCCTCTACATTCTATCCTCTATTTTTGCACGTTTACGATTATATAATATTTCATTGAAATTGCGCATAACAGTAACTTATAAATGCGCATTTAAATGAATGAAGCATGGCGTTTCCAAAGCACCTGCAACTCCTCCATAATCGTCTCACTCTACCATTAACTCGGAAATTTTTATTTACCGTCTTCTCTTAAAAATTCATAATTTTATATTACTTTTATACTGCAGTATAATCTACCCACAATGTCTATAAGATTAAATATAAATTCTGAATTGATTACTGTGGGAAAGGTGCTTTCCTAACTCGAGATTTTATCCGAGTTGAGGAAGAGATTTCAGAAATTGAATTCGGAATTTTTTATTTTTAGAACGCCGGGTGTAGGCGGCATCGTATTAGATTCTGGGCGCGTCACGGTAAACTTAAATTCTATTTTAGTGCTCAAGATCGAGAATTCATAGTGCGTGGAAAGGCTTTTCCAAGCGGCAAAAAAGGTACAAAATATTGATGTTTGACCAATCGGATGGCAAAATTTTGTCACCACACAAATCTAAATTCTGTGGATGACTTGCACTGATATTACATAGATTTGAAATTAAATTTGACATTTTGGTCATTCTTTGGGCTTGTTTCAGATAAAAAAGTATTGAACTTTGTATCAAAAAAATATTTTGTCGTTATTTTCAAAAAAATCTAAAAAAACCCGTTTTTAAAATGCGTGCCACAATTTTTACCAGACGTATCAGCAAGGTAAAGAACCTACCTTGGCTATCGTGTACCAACAGTCCATTTTACAGCAACGGCACGGCGATGTGAGAATCTGTTCGGCGGAGCATGACTCAGGATGACCTTCAGCGCTTGTTTCTGCAAAAAACCGGCCATAAATCACTTTTCGTGAAAACGAAATTGCAGGTATATTAAATATAAAATTCATTACAAAATGCTATTGAAAAGCTTGTTAGTCGAGCGTGTTTTGAAATTGTTTTTCGAGTTTAATATTAGTCTTCTTAAATGACATTGATCTGTGATAGGACATTGAGGCGGCATAGCAAATTAGACTTGACGTTTTTTATCCTGAATTCGAAGCAAATCCGATTTTTGAAGATAAAAAGAACCCAAATTCTTCTTGAAGGTTGGGAAGGTCATCAAAATTTTTGATTAAATTTACATAAAGGGTCCATAAAAAAAGGGGAATTTAATGAAAATTATACTCATTAGATTAGCAAAGCCATATGGTTGAAGTTATGGAATTTAATGTGAGTAGGAAAATAATAGAGTAAATCGAATCAAATTTTAGATTGATAAAGAAATTATGGAAAAAATTTGGAGACAAGGCTAATAAAAAGGTATCCCATTTTTTTCAAATTTGCCTACATACAGAAAACGGCAAACGGAACTATGGGAAAATTTGTTTAGAAAGCTTGGCGATTTAAGAATTCTCAGCCTTTCCGCTGACAACATTATTCTGATGCAAACTTTTCAAAAAAAAGAACTCACGTCCAACAAAGAGTAGTCCGAGCAGTCCCAGCAAGACGAGCGGCCTCAGATCCCAGTCTCCGAAGTGCATTCTGACCCCAGTATCTCTACAAAATCAGCTACTTTCTAATACTTTTTACACGTAAATTGAATAACGCTGAACACGAGCTGCATACGACTTTTATGGACAGACAAGGGGGGTTTGCGTCGACAACGGGCGTGTCCAATTGCAGCTGGCCACGAGAGATCGCGTTGGAATTGCAGATGGGCCAAAGTAATTGGATTAAGTTAATGAGTTGGAATTAAAAGATCAAGGGAATTCAAGTAAATCTACTATGACAAAAGGAACCATGCGGTAAAATGTGAGAGAGTGACCGTGATCTGGGAAATGGAAATGACAGCTAGTTTTTGAACCGCCCTCACGAATTAAAAACATTTTTTTTTGGCTAATTTGTAAAACAATGGACATCTCAAGCCTATTTTCTGAGCAAGCTGCAAATTTTGCATTTAAAAATACAGTAAAAGTGAGAGCGAAGACTGAAGTTAGGTCATCAAAAATTCGACAAATCAAAGAACTTCTTTGATTTTTATGAAATTTAATTCAAATTGAAACTAGGATTGCTAAAAGATTCATGCGAGATTTTTACCCCGCGCTTTGGACACCGGCCAGGGTTTTAAGGTTCAAATTTGATAAAAGTTGGGAATTTGCTTTAAATTTAATTTTCTGTTATTCTGAATAAATAGTGAACCAAGCACTGTAAATTTAATCACAAATGCCAAGGATTTGTAATCTCAAAGGCGGCATTACAAATGCCTCAAGTATAGTGTTGCAATTGAGAGTGGGCCCTAATAATTTAATGGTCTACATTTTAAAATGAAATGTATTTTTGTGTTTCTTTGAACTTTGCATAAATTGTAATAAATAAGAGTTATTAATAATTTTTTAAAATTTAGCCCACTCTTTGTAGAGGCAGTTGAAATCTGGACGAGCCATAAATCATCGTTTGAAAATTTCAGCTCGCGATTTTAAGTTGCAATCAAGCCTTTAGCCAAATAACTTTCAGTTTCGGCACGGAAGAGGCTGATTTTTTGTTGACACACAGTGACTGACTGAAATTTTAAATCAAAAAAGTTATACGAAAGAAGAAAGCTTCACACTTTTCAACCTATAGATCTCGACTTTGTCTGTAAAATGAAAAATAAAAATCCCGGGCGTAAATCTTAAACAATTCTAATGACGACTTTTGTCAAGTGTTCAGTCTCCATCTCTACAAGGATTAATGTAAATCCATGTCTTATGAATATATAAAAACTTTTGTCATACATTTTACACGATTTCCTGATGTCCATACATACATATAACAACCGCCTAATTGGATAACTCCGGATTTCCCCAACCCAAATTTCCTCAATGATTTCAAGTCTCCAGGGTGGTCTCGACTTGGATTTTGATGGCAATAATTACTTTGCTCGGATTTTTTTTCCAAAAAGGACGGCGACAGTAAAAAAATTCCGGGACAATGGGACATGAATAATGTAAATTTCATAATTTTTAAGGGATTACTTTTGTTACCCACACAATAAACCGGAAATTTGAGATGTTTCGGGTAGGGAGACGTCATCAAGTTGCCATGGGATTTGTCATGTTTACGATATGGAGGGTGGATGACAAGGAGCTATGTAAGGAGGCAAGGCTGCTTTGCAAAAACAATGCAATTGTTTCGAGGATTAAAAGAAATACTTCATATTTATGCTAGAAATGGCCGAAAAACAATACGTAGGTTTTGTTGGAATCTATCGTTGAAACCCCGACATAGATTAAAATTACAATTCTTAAATAAATTGCGAGCTTCTTGACTTGAAATTTGCGGAAACCGTTTCATTTGCCGGCTCCCCTCATTTCACATGTTCTCAGAAAGACGGTTGCATACCTCAGCCGCCGTTGGAAAGCGCGGGCCAAAACTTGCAGACCATAAATTACGGCCAGTTCCGAGCCGATGTGCAAGTTTTAATCGCCGTTTTTTCCACCTGAACAACTTCCGTTACTATAAAATTACAGCGGTAGTTTCTGCCAACCTTTGCTGGCAGACTTCGCAAAATTCCCCTGTAAAAGCCTAAAAATAAATTTAACAGTAATAATAAAGAATCCGGACGAAGTTGCGGTCCTAATTTTTATGTAAATTCCGTCCGGAAATTCATCAAAATGAATCCAAAATGAAGCCGACTGCATCACGGTCTCTTCTGACAACGGAAATCGTAAATATGTCTGGGGACTTTTTGTAGAAGAAGGGCACATGTAGATACAATAAGATGTAGTCTTACAGTCGTGATTGGAAAGCGACGGAAATGTGACATCAAAATATTTGTATACGTGATGATGTCCTTAAAGGCATGGGAAATAATCGGGGATAATTATTTATTAGGACCGGATTAGCCACAAGTTGCATGGGAAAGAAAGTAAGGGAGTCATCTGTCATTATGATGTAGTCATATTATGGAGAGTAATGGCATTTCCGGCGAAACCTGTCAAAATTTAAAGATAGAAGGCCTGGTATCAAAAGGAATATATTATAAAATATTGTTCTAATGTGTCCAAATATCTGGTTGTTTTAAAAAATTCAAGTGTAAAATCGACAAAAAACGCAGTAGAAAATGTTTATGGATGTCATAGTCCAAATTATGGCGTGCTTTTGCCAGACTCTGCAACGCCTTATGTTTTCATTTAACCGTTTAATAAGAGTGTCATTTATTTTCAGAATGTGTAAAATTCGTGATAACGATATTTTACAGCGTGCAAAATAATGGTCTACGATAGAGTGATCGTTTAAAAGACGATTTTTGGCTCGCTGCGTCAGCTCGTAATGGACCCGGGACATAGGAAAAAACCGATTTTGAGTTTTTTGCATAAAAATGACCACCGACATGTGCTAAGGAAAAGCGAACAACAGTTTTTCTCAATTGTGCCCGGAAGGCATAAATTTGCTTAAATTTGTCTTTTTTGGAATTTTCGACCTAGTGACGTCATAGAAAAAGCAAATCACCCAAAATTTTGCTTGTGTACGTTTTCGACCATTGGGAATTCATTTTTTTGAACATTAAGTCTCTCAGATTACTGTAACATAGGCATATTGTAATCCGGTCGATAAAAACCGACCATAACTGCTTCGTATCAAAAATCCCACAGGATTTTATTTCAGATTCGGAATCAGCATAAAATTATGCATATTATACACATAATGTGAGGTCATAACTCCAGGGGGGAGACCGCGTAGTATATTGGATTTTGGCAAAAATTACGTTTGAAAGGTCGCGGGTTCGATCCCCGCTTGGTGCAAATATTGAAAACACGGCGGAAATCGCGTTTAATGGACACCTAAGGGTCACGTGAGATACACTAAGCAATTTTAAACATGAATTCATATCTAATTGCGATTAAAACTGATTTTATATAATTTTTGGAGACTGAATATGCAAAAAATGAAACTGCTTCAAACCGCTTAAAATTGACAACACTTATTCTAGGGTCAATTGTAAGAAACTTTTCCGTTAACTTTTTTTGGTAGATCACCGTACCATGGATTACAGGGTGGGCCACTCGAAGCTGACAAGTTGTTTCTTTGAATTTCTCCGCGTAGGCTCTGCCGATTTTTCTAAAATTTAGATTTTTCTGGAGCTGAGACCCGCCATTTTCAACCGACTGAATTTCAAAAAAACATATTTTGAACTAACCTTTTCATGCCTTTTCAAAGTTTTGAAAAATTATTTTCGGGCCGAAACCGCTAAAACTTGGAAAATTTTTGGAATGATTTTCAATTGACTTTCTCTGACTTGGAAAATTTTTGGTTTTTTTTTGGGGAAATCGTGGAGTAAAAAGTTGCGAGTGCTCGCCTTAAACTTGTTTAAAGCAAATTAAAAGCCACAAGAGGGTTGTTTGTATTACCATTAGGGCACGAACGCTCAAAAAAAAAAAAAAATCTAAAAAAGATTGAAAAATTCGACGTCAATCGTTATCGAGTCAGGCTTGGGGCATCTTGGAGCTCAGATACGTAATTAAAATTACGTATCCACGATACGTAATTTTAACTGCTCATGACTCTCAAAGGCACTGCAAGTTTGTGATGCGAGAGGAGGTGTGCATAATAACTCAGATAGAAACATTAATAATCAGATTGTTAAATAAAATTGTTTTTGAAACAATATTTGATAACTATCTGAGGTAAAACAAAGAAAATTTCACCCAAGAACTCGGAAAAATGACCAATTTTTCAAAATCATTCCAAAAATTTTCCAAGTTTTAGCGGTTTCGGCCTGAAAATAATTTTTCAAAACTTTGAGAAGGCATGGAAAGGTCAATTCAAAATATATTTTCTTGAAAGTAAGTCGGTTGAAAATGGCGGGTCTCAGCTCCAGAAAAATCTAAATTTTGGAAAAATCGGCGGAGTCTCCGCGGAGAAATTCAAAGAAACAACTTGTCAGTTTCGAGTGGCCCACCCTGTACTGTAACATTAAACCTGATTTGGTTTTTCGTGTACCACATGGCGCATAGAAGTCGGATTGTCGTCATTGTGCTCAGGATGGTTAAGAAAGAGTTTTCTTTGCACAAAAAAATTTTTATGGCTGTACCGTTTGGAATAGCCGAGTTATTTGACGCACTTTCACCAATTTATTATGACATCAAGACGCGTTGCAATTAAGGGCGAATTTTCTTTCATACATAGGAAGTGGATCTTTTCGCTGTCTTAAGCCACTAATTAAAACGATTTAATATTTTATGCAAGAATTTTTAAGAAAATTGCTGTTAATCAGGACACGTTTAATGCTACAGTAATCCATGGTACGGTGATCTGCCAAAAAAAGTTAACACAGAAGTTTCTTACAATTGACCATAGAATAAGTGTTGCCAATTTCAAGCGGTTTGAAGCAATTTCATTTTTTGCATATTCAGTCTCCAAAAATTATAGAAAATCAGTTTTAATCGCAATTAGATATGCATTAATGTTTAAAATTGCTTAGTGTATCTCATATAACCCTTAGGTGCCCATTAAACGCGATTTCCGCCGTGTTGTCAATATTTGCACCAAGCGGGGATCGAACCCTCGACCTTTCAAACGTAGTTTTTGCCAAAATCCAATATACTACGCGATCTCCCCCCTGGAGTTATGACCTCACATTATGTGTATAATATGCAGAATTTTATGCTGATTCCGAATCTGAAATAAAATCCTGTGGGATTTTTGATACGAAGTAGTTACGATCGATTCTTATCGACCGGATTGCAATATGTCTATGTTACAGTAATCTGAGAGACTTAATTTGCAAAAAAATGAATTCCCAATGCTCGAAAACGTATACAAGCAAAATTTTGGGTGATTTGCTCTTTCTATGACGTCGCCAGGTCGAAAATTCCAAAAAAGACAAATTTAAGCAAATTTATGCCTTCCGGGCAGAATTGGGAAAAACTGTTGTTCGCTTTTCCTTAGCACCTGTCGACGGTCATTTTTATGCAAAAAACTCAAAATCGATTTTTTCCTATGTCCCGGGTCCATTACGGGCTGACGCAGCGAGCCAAAAATCGTCTTTTAAATGCCCGATCGTCCGTCGGAGAAATGGCTTATAGCGACATTAAAAATAAGTATTGTTGCTTAAAATCCTAAAAATCAAAACAGGAATACATTTCCCTCCTCCACCGCTAGATGTTTTCGGTCAGTCACCGTTAGCAGCTCTTACCAGCTAACAAGCGCATAAAACAAGAACAAAGCTTTGTCCTTTGTACCTTTGCAAAGATAATACCGTAAAACAAAAGGAAAGACGCCCTCAAAAACATCTTTTTATGTACTTGGTTCTCTGATCTTGGTTGACCAAGGAGCGGAATCCTTATTCAAGTTTAGTGTAAATTATGACGGACCATATGAGGTCAGCCCTCCAAAGTAGCTCTGTAGGAAGCGGGACATGCTTCGTTAACCGGCTATTATGAACCCAGGAAGATCGTTTTGGACACAATATTTTTCAAAAAGTTTTATGACTATTAATAATCGCTCAAGGGATGTAATCAAGCTCGTAAGGGGCAAATATTAAATATATACTTACTTCCTCTGTAAAAACCGAAAGAAATTTTAAGAGATTTGGTTGTTCCTTGTACATAAACATAAACCAGTGACCAAAACGCACAGCTGAACTTTTTAAATTAGTCCCCAAAACAAGTATCCCACAGTAAAACATAATCTATAGTTCGGGTTAAAAGTCCATGTGTTTTTTAAGGCTAAGCCACCCCCTTTCTTCTACGCATAATCGTCATAATCCCGGGCTTTTGCAAAGCTCCAAATCCACGAAAAAGTTCCCAAAGTCAAACACCGAATGTTGGCATAACTTTGGAGACATTTTTATTTGGGAGAAACAGCCATATCTCCCACAAATCTGCGGAGCAAGACGTTTCGCACATCATTACATCAGATGCGCGTCTGGAAACGGCGAGATAAAGAGTCCAATTGGGACTTGGATTCGGAGAAGACTTGGATGACGAGGACACGGAATGAAAGGTAATCAGCCTCAGGGAAATTGGATTTCGATGAGCTTGAGCGAGGGAGGACGGCAAAACAAAGAAAGTCGCAAAACAATACTCGTTAGTGTCTGGACCGCAGAATAAACACGCGGGTAATCATGTTATTATTAGAAAGAGAAGGACAAAGTTAGCTAGCGACGTAAGCAAAAAGTGCAGCATAAGGGATCACTGCAGAAAGCAAGGATTCAGTGGATAGGGCACTAAAAATTTTGAAAAAAAAGATTCAAACGTTTGAATTCCATAATTGACATGGACGACAGGCAAGATGTCGCGAGAAAAAGTTCCACAGATCAATGTATAACATGTTTAGTTCAAACATTGCAGTTACAGACGGTATTCCACAATGTGTGCCGCCGAGAAAGTGCGCCACATGAGGAGAGCGGTCAGAAAAATAACCTTTTGTTATCTATTTATGAATTTTCCCAATTTGGGCACAAAAAGGTGGCTTCTTTATGCAAAACACGAGCTATAAATTTCGCATATATTTGCATTGCTACCAATCTATTCTCGATGCCAGCTAAATTTCGTTGAAATGTGAGAGCAATAGTTTTGTCACTCCAAGTTAGCTATATAGCTCAGTGCGTCATAACAAATCTACGATCTAGAATTTCAAACAGACATCCCCTCGGAAATACGTGATGTAATTCCTCCGAAACCTGTAGTCATCACCAACACGAACTGGAGTAACGCCGATTGATATGAAAAAACTTTTTATTTTATAATCACATCTTTTTGGTCGGATGAGTTCGTAAAAGTTCATCATGTAAAGTAAGCAGAAAAAGGGGGTTACGACCGGATATCACAAAGTTGCCGTTGAGGGTTACTTGTATAAAAAGGCTTTTTATTTATACAAGATGTTGATGTTAGTGATAAAAAAGGAACACCGTAATAGCAAAAAAGTTTCCGAGCATCTGCGGGAAGTGCCGGAAATAACCTCTCAAGCTGATGAGTTCTCGGAATGTAATAAAGTATCCTGTTTGCAGATTTTAATATCTAAAAACATACCGCCTTTGACAGATTTATAAAAATAGAGTTTAAAGGAGAAACGCTCAAAGTGCGACGCTCGGATTTTAATGGAACTTGGAAAAAATTTACTGTGAGCACTGTCTTGTCGATAGAGATTGTGGAGTATCTCAGCTGCTCCTGCAAAGCACGACGAAAAGCTTTCGGTGGATGATATGTGGCCTGGACCGAACGCATATGTAAAAATTTAAGAAAATCTAAGCGTTTTAAAGACCTCTCTTGTCAAACAAACATCTTCCTTGTCTGTAAAAATCAAGTATTCCCATTGGGGGATGCTTCCTCCAGGGTCACTTAACAAGTCAACTTTTCAAGATTATGAAATCCCGCTAAACATACGCCCCTCAATTTATTCTGCAAACTTTTCTTCCAACTCCAATTTGACCACACCTCGCCAAATCGGCAGGAAATCTCACGCCAAGCCCCTTAGAAGTCAGGAACTTATTGGCTCAATTTTAGCGGCCAAATGAATGTCGTCAGAAGAGGGATCCAAAAAATGGTTGGAGCATCAGAATTTATGTCAACAATCTGTGTGATGTTTATTTTAATTAAGGAAGTAACAGTTTTAAATTAAATCTCACGAAATCTCAGCGATCATTCGAACCAAGAATAGAAGATTCAGTGGGGAAACAACGTTGCTAAGATTAAATTTGTTTTGAATTAAGTTGATTGAGAAGTAGTTTTTATGTACATATAATACATAATTTTGGATGCAATAATTTTTGCATTTCGAATGTAGTTTCCATTTTCGAAGTCATTTAGTACCGTTCACGAAAGATAAGGGCTCCAAATATGAATTTTCTTTTAATGTCACAGCGCTAGATCACACACGGATTGCTTCAAACTTTAGTTGAGCTTCGTTATGCACAAGATATTCAACAAAAATTTTACGTCTATTGCGGAGAACACTCAAACTAAACATCAATTTAAACTAAAAAGCGTCGCTTTTATGGGATTCCTGTTCTGGCCAGCTCTTTTTGACGTTTCTGATGATGCAACAGTTGAGAATCTTGCAACAGGCTGTTCCCAATTTTGTTTGGACAATTTGGCCTCCATTATCATAAAACGTTTCGTGTTGTCACTTGATCCTCATAACAATCCAATATCAACCACTAATGTTATGGCAGTTCATTTAAAAAAACGGTCATGAGTGGAGAAATACTCAATGAAAACAAAAAACAAATATAATTAGCTATTATGATGAAGCGCCGACCAGCACACCTTTCAACTGGTTGATTTCCTTCTCCATGGCCTCGATTTCGGAGCGAAGAGCGGAGTTTCGTTTCTCCAGGAACTGGATTTCCGTCCGTCCTTCCTCCAGGGTCTGGGTTTTGCGCGAACGATAGCGTTGGGCAGCGATACGATTCTGCTCCTTTTTGCGTTCGGCGATCTGTTCATGGGACAAGGAGGCCAACGAGTACTTCTTGGCGCGTTTGGAGAGCGGGGGAGGTGAGGCGGAGCCCACGGAGGAGGCGGAGGAAATGCCAGAGTCTTCAGGGGAGAGAGCGGAGCAGTGCTGTAAAGGTGATGATTAGAGATGGCAAACTTTGATGATTATCTCGGCTTTAAGTTCGAACAGCGCTATGAAATCTTTGAGACTTTATATATGGACCATAAAGAGTACGCAATCAAAGTTTCAAGCACTTATGATAATTCGCACTTTGGGTTCTTTCCGCAGCAAGTTTAGTCATCATTTTCTGCGTTTAGTGTCTATGCATCGCCTTTGTTCGACAAAAAACAAAAAAAATCGTTGCGAAAGTCATCATACAGTAACCCTCTTATCTGATCATCAACCTTAGGAAAAGATTTATCTTACCTTTCGCTTCCTACTCCTCGTCGACGTGCTTGACGTGGATGGTGAAGTGGCGTTGTCGAATATCTGCAACATTCCGCATTATTATCAAGATAAATGCAGCAAGGGCATCCACAACAAGACCATCATCTACCATAGCCACCCAACTTACAGTCTCATTGATCATTTCGTTGCGCACTTCTTCGATTAATTCATCGATCCATTCTCGCCAATCAAGGGACTCGGTGGGGCAAAGGACATGGAGAAAGGGTGGACTGGAGACGCTGCTGGATGGGTATGGGGAACATTGAACTGCGGGTGAGGAGGGGCTCGAATGAGCGGCTGAGTATGTGGACGAACATGGGGATACGGAACAGGCCTCAATGGGCGTGTAAAAGATGCTGCTGAATGGACTGTGGGCACTAAAATTGCATCGATTTTATACTATAGATCACAAGCAAAATACGGAATAATTGTGGCTATTTTTAGTGATATGACTTCGCCAAGATGTTCTTCAAACTCACATTAATTGCTCGTCTAATAAATCCCGACTTTCTGCCGGAGGTAACAAAGCAGCACAGTGCGTGTTGCGCGACGCTTGAAGTACACTGAAAAGATTTTAAATTATTTTTTTGAATTCGGAGTGGAGGGCACGGTCAAATTGGAAATGCAGAAAGTTGTACACAAAACTGATTGTCCAAAAACACCACTTCTTCTTCAAAAAGTACAGTCATTGCGCCGAAAGAACGGCGTCTGTTTATGGCCTCACCATTCGCATAAACGACGACTTGGGCTTAAAGGAGCGTCGCTTAAAACAACACTTGCTTGTGTAGGCCTCGGTGGTACAGCACTGGGTGCCGGTAGTCGTGCAGGCGGAGCGGGCGGCGCGCTAAAATTGGAGCAAAGGTTAGGTGAGATGGTTCTGAATGTGTTCCGTGTTCTCTTATTCTAGATTCTAGCTATTTTTCTATCCTAAAACGTGACTAAAACTTAATCTACAGAAGTTTTGACTAGTCTAACATTGTGTGATGCTTCGACTAGAAAGTATAGCCTTTATCTGAGTTACTACCAGTTTAAAATAGCCTCTAATCCATTCTACCGTAAGCTCTCTATCCCATAGTAATCTCAATCTCTGTCTACTGTATCCCTAAGAAATCCGCAAGAAAGAAGAACTGACAAGACGCAGGGCGGCGGACGCGTTCGCCGCCAGACGGGCCGACGGACGCCAAACAGAAGTCTTGCCACCGGCAGCCACGCTCTTGCCGCACTCCGGCCGGCCACAACAACATTCCCTCACTATCGGCAGTGCCAGTATCCGATCACCTTCGGCGTCGTAGCCGTAGTAGAAGCACAGGGTCTCGGACAATTGACGTTCGGACAGCATGATGAAGTTGAATTCAAGTCGTTATCTAGTCGTAGGATTAAGGAGTGAACTGTTAGCTGCGAGTACAGGTAACAGAAAGTAGCTTGAAGCGAAGAACTGGTAGCCAAAGGACAGATGAGTCGTTGACGTTTCGTTTAACAAAGCTGAAGCTTGTTGATGAAGTTGAGCTTTGGCAGTAGAGCGTTGAAGAAAGCTGAGAGCAAGGGTAAGTTCGAGATTCTAAAGAGATCAGGGAGTTTTTGAAGAGTAATGTCACTTAAACACGGTAACGTGTAATTACAACTAGTTAAAGATTCAAAAACGTTTATAAAAGTATTTCAAAGAAGACTTTGAGGCATTTTACAAGAGCTGAGGTATATGTAGGTTTGAAGGAGAAGATAAGGGACTATCAAGAGTTCAAATCGACAATTGACGTTGTAGGATATTCCATCAATTATAATTACAACTAAACACATAAGACCATAACAGAACAAGCATTCACAAAGATCTTACAAAAGTAAGATTATGACGTCCATAAAGAAGTGACAAAGCTTGATATGAGAGACGACGGGATGCTCTGTAGTGCCTGAGAATTGTCCACTTGTAATACGATACTCTCAATCAACAATTCTAACAATACTAACCTTAAGGTTTCTAAGCATCTCGGATATCCAACTAGACCCTATGTAATGCCTACTTTAATACATTCCTATGCATATTTAATCATCGTCTACCTCCTAACTTTTGCTCCTCGCACTTTGCCGACCTCCTAATTTATTCAAATTTCGCCTCTCTCCGTATGCAATTAACTTTCGAGTGTTTTGTGTACAACTTTTGCCTTTTCTGAATTGTTCGAAATACGATGCGTAAAAGCGAATTTTAAAGTGATTTTCTCGAAAGTTCCTGGGGAATTAAAGAGAGAGAATTCCACGATCTACTCACCAGGTCATGGTCTTCCCAAAGCCTTACGGCTGAAGAGAATGGGGTGTGCGGCCGGGCTTTTATAGACGCCCCATCAACCCAGCCGGCTGGACCGCCTCTCCGCGGAGAGAGGCGAGGCGTGCTACGGCAAAGTGAGATGACTTCATCGAGAAAAGCAGAGAGTGTTTAGACGAACAGACAAGCAGAAAGAGGGGATACCGACACCAGGGTGGTTGGCCGCCGTTTTTATCAACTCTCAGACTACTCTCTACGCATTCTGTATGATTTCTCTGCCACTCTCTCTGATCTGAGCGCTCTCTCCAAGACACTTGTAGACAAATATGTTCAGTCCAGCCTTATACGTGAAAGTCAGTGTTCTTTGGACTCGCAAATTGATCAGTGTATCTCTAATCTAGGGTCGGTGCATAGGGCAGGTCGCCCTGCCCAACAGCGACGCTTAATGACCAGGAATTCGCTGACAGAAAAGAAAACTTTTTGTATGGTAAACATGTCTTCTATCTCTCTTGTTTATAACATAGCAAGGCTTTCACTCGACTTGACAAGATACGAATATTCACCATTTTTTTCTAGTCTGAAAAAAAGATTTCATCGCTGAAATTTTTGTTGCAGCCAAGCTACATAACCCTAACAGCGGCGTGGCAACCTTCCAAGAAACGTCTCAAAGGGGGCTTATCGGCGTCGCATCGCCCGCTTCTTTAAGCAGCCATCAAGGGCATTGTGTAACGTCTCTAGCAACGTATCCTGTCGGCATTCTCTCCGTTTCATTGCACCCAAAGAAGAGAGAACTTAAGAAATATGTACAAGTCTATATTTGAAGCAACCTTCATAACTCTTTAATGAGTGCTTGCTTGTTAATGAGTCCTTAATGAGTTCCCCCACGTTTTCGCCAGTCCGCGGGGTAGTAAACAGGCCTCGGAACAGCAAAGTCATGTGAGGTTGGGCCCGAGATTTGATCGAATAGCATGCTATAGCAGCTGGTGGGAGTACAATGTGCGGAGTCACACGGCGGACACGTGAATTTGGGAGAACAAAGAAGCAAAAACGAGGGAAACGCTGGAGAATGTACGAAATGTTCTCTGACTGAACTTTGGAGCCCACTTTGCATAAAGATCATTTCGGAAATGTAGCTTTTAATGAACAACGAGGTTACAGAGAGGCTGGATTAACATGGTAGTGTTGATAGGAAGATTGGTACGAGTGGGCACGGAACACAGATTACGGAAAAGCACGTGAAATCAATGGAAAATTGATTGAAATTTGATTGGGGAAGAACCAAATAAGGAGTTTTCAGATAGGCCCCTTTAAAAAAGATTCTTGCATGGAGTGATTTACAGTTCGAAAAAATGTTAGGTCATATGTTCCCGCTGGCTTGCTCGTAACTTGCTACCACTTATTCAACCAACCATCTTTGCAGAAAATAGATGCTGAGAAAGAAGGTTCTTTGAAACCCTTTTGCAGGTTTTTACAATTTTTTATTCCGGATGTGAATCCCAAATTCATGGGGTATACTTTACCCGCTACCTTTTCGTAATCTGACGTTGCATCTTTTGCAAAACGAAATGCGAAAAGCGCTGCGAGCTGTTTCAAACATGTGATTTACATTTAGGGCCGGATAAAGGCCGAGTTCAGGAGTCTAAATGTTTTTTCAGGAGGGAAATGTGGCAAGCAAAATGATGACTGTAATGTGTGACTTGGCATTATGCTTTGATATTTGTTCTCCAGAAAAATTCACTTCTATTTTTAACACAAACTCTAATATGCATAGAAGGACCAAAAAAGGCCAATTTTTCCATTATTTTCTATTACAATTTACACTGTATTTAGAACAATGTTTCCTTTGTAGTCCAAGTATTCACCATGCTCTCATTCTCTCTCCGAAACCACAAACAATCCCTTTTTTGCACAAATTCATATAGTATGCTCTGCTCTTCTGCTCTCGCTTTTACCATACTGTTTCCTTAATTGCCCAAGGGCAAAAGTTCAAATTAAACCCTATAAAAACTTCCTCTTTCAGCGAAATTTAAACTCTCCATTCTTCAATCTTTAATGACCAGAAAGACACTGTAATTTGAAGAGGGGAAAAAAGCAAAAGAGAAGAATTGCAGGGACAATGGGAGACAAAAAAAGTTTTGTTTGGAACGATTGGGGACGGCGATAAGATGATAAAAACAGATCTGTTACACTACTCTTTTTGGCCTTTTGGATCGTAAAATTTTTGGCTTTTGCTTTCGAAATAATCGAAAAATGCAAAATCACGTGATTTTCAAATGTTCTGCGGACTTTTATCTCTGCCTATTTTTAGTTTTTGAGCGGATCTTTAAAATTTCGGAAATTAATGCAACTTTTGACAGAAAACAGCAAAAAAAATTTGCATAAATAAATTATTAAAATATATTTTTTTTACAGTAAAAACATGTTTTAGTATTTGGGATTGTAACCAACTTCAGTACTAATAATTTATTTTTATTAGTCTGTCAGATTAAATTTTGAATTAAAAAAATCGAAAAATTTATGCAAATTTTTCTAAAAATTATTTGAATCAGAACTTATTTGCAAAAAATCAAATACGATTTTCATAAATTTTTTCTTCATAAAATTTTTCTATACAAAAATTTAGACTAAAAATAGCTAGATCAAAAATTTGCGTAGGCTGAAAGCTTCGCGAAAGTTCTAGGGACAAATTTTTCTGAGTAAATATTACTTTGTTTTTCCATTATATTTACTATTCTGTGTTCCCTCGAATGATAATTCATATGCAAAGCCTTGTTTTTGAACAGAGTTTTCTATTTTTGCCTGCAAAAGCAATGTGGAGATGAGAGATTGGTGCCTCAAGGCATATTCAAAATATAATCAAACCAAAAGTAAGCAAATATAATCATAACTCTGTTTGGATAAAAGTCTGAACTTTACAGAATCTCTGTTTTGTAGTGTAAAGTTTGCACAGATGATATACAACTGCATAAATTGTTGGAGTTTGAGGCGATAAAAGAAGGGAGGTAGGGCGATTAAGACCACTAAACAAGAAGAAATCACATGGCAACATCATGATATTGTAGTGAAAGATACAAACGAAAAATGAAACAATCAAATGTGATGTAGCAAAATGCCAGAAAATTAGCACAGTTTGGGTGTTAAATTTGAAAGACGCTTACTATAAATAACTTCTTAAAAAAACAATTATAACTTTTAAAAACAATTGCAAAAGTTACTTAATGTGGGGCACCATGGAATGTAGGTATTTGCAAAATTTTAAGAAAAGTCTTTGATATACTGCCCTGTCAATTCATAAATCATAAAGAGTAACGAAACTTTAGGCCACATCTTGAGATATTCCACTACAAAAATTTGTAAACTTGATTAACCCAATTGGAAACACCTATTACCTCTAAACCAATCAGATCCAAAAAAGAACTCGGACCGTACTAAAAATAGCCGGAGCACCCTCAAAAGACACCTCTCCTCTTTATGACCCTTCAAACTTTGCCCCTTAGTACCCGATCTTCTGCAATGACCCCCTTGATAACTTGCTTCGATCGTCTGCTTTCTGTCAATCCGATCCCATCAGTTAGAAGCTCACGTTTTCTTCCAAATAAAACCAATTTTTTGATAAACACACAAATTACAACGCAAAAACAAATCATACGCCTTTCACGCAGTAATCAGACACTGTAATTTACAAAGTAAAATAGTCGGTTTTCAACTTATCAGCGGGCGATTTCGACCACTCTGTTTCTAAAATTACGGCCTTATCGGCGGTTTATGATACCCAGAAAAAGTGTAATGGCGCCGTTCGGCCGGTGCCTGGGGCAATTAACCGTGCAGTCGCCAAAGGAAAAGGCAACATTTGCAGAGATAATAATCACAAGTTTGGTACTCCGCACTGTTGCGAGCGCCGATTACTGCTTCTATTTAAGTTCGGCTTGTAAAGATTACTGCTCAATTTGGAATTAAACTGATTTAAGCCACTTGTCAAAGAGTACTACTACCATTACTAAGCTTTGAAGTGGGCACAGTAGTCAGGAGAGCAGTATTTTGATCAAAACTTTTATTGCTTAACATGACGACCTACTCGTATTACGCGGAATATCCATCTGTCAATTACTACGAGCCGCAGACCAGTGTTTACAACTACTCGGATGTCAATCTGAACGCATATTACTATCAGAACCAGGGAATGGGCAACGAGGACTGTCAATATACTCCCCAACAGTCGCCAAAATACTCCAGAGAGCTGGAAATGGCACAGATTCAGAGAAATGAAGAGCTGGTTCAGATGCTTTCGCCTATCAGGAAGTGTCAGGTAAGACTGGGAAAGAGAGGAAAGATTAAAGTGGTATTGAGGTCAAATAGAGAGTAGCAGATTAAAAAAGAGTAATAATTTATTCTAAAATCGATTGAGAAAGGAGGAAATAGGGGTGCTTGAGTAAAAGTGAAAGTGCTCCAAGTGCAACTTCCCGATTTTCTTGAAATTTCGCGTACATGGCATTGTTTGCACCAAAACCCAAAAATTCATATTCTTTGCAGACTTTCGCCCACGATTTCCGGCTTTGTAAAACTTAGGCTAGAAACCTCTCGTATTTCTTAGGAAGTTGTAATATGAATTTGTGGCAAGTTTTATAAAAAAAAATGCATCTATAACACTTCTTTTCCCAAAACATACTTAACTAGTTAATAACCAGTAAGTCAGCGACAAAAAAAGTATCCTCACATCACGTTTGTAGGAACCATATTATATCTTTCTAGAGAATTGGTTAGAAAATCAATCATTTCCCGGAAGTAAAAAAACAAAAGTGGACCTAAATGACCCCATAGAAAACACAATGTTACAGTATAAGGCGTTCTTTTTACAGGAACGGATCCAGGCCGGACAAACCAAGAGAAATGCTGAGAATGCTCGCAGGAAATTCTCGCTGACAAACGGAGTAAAGAAGACGAAAAGTAAGTGACATAAATCATGGAGAATAACGCGAAATTGAGAGAATTAATAGAGTAATTATAGAAGTGGGGAATGTCAGGTCCGCGGAGAAATGAAGTGATATTGGGTGTTGACAGCGTACTGTAAGCACTTTTGCAGAAGGATAAGGAATTTGGAATAGGAAAAAGTAATCAAAGCGAGTGGCTGTAAAATGATTGCACACGCTTATAAATAGGTCTTAATGGCCGATTTTTTGTGGTTTTTCAAAAAGGTGACGCATTTTTTGGAAATTTCTGAACAGTAAAAGAATAAGTTATCAAGATGTGATCCTTAGATTTAAAGGGTAGAAAAAACCCGTTTCTTTTCAATTTCTACATAAAAAAGTACAAATTTTGTCGCTTTTTACTATTCTCGAAAAATTTTTGTTTACGGTAATCGCAAATATTATGAAAAAGTTAGTTTGACCAGGCTTCCGGAGAACATTCAAAATAAACCCCAAATTATCGAGAAACCAAATAAACAAAGATGTGCAAACACGCATAGGTAAATCGAAAACATCTGAGATTAAGCCAAATATGGCTTTATTTAATGTTTAAAACAAAACGCATCTTATCTCAAGGTGAATGTCAAAAAACGAGCCGATCATGTGTAATATAAACAAAAAATATTTATTTTTTTATCTCAAGTCTAACATGATCAATCGGCTTTTTCAGATCCCTCCCCGCCCGCCCAGCCGGACCCCAAACGGACCAGTCTGTCGATGCGTCGCTGGAAGACGGAGATTGTCGCCAAGCTCCAGCACTCCTCTCCCGTCCCACCCTTTTACTATGCGCCCCATCAACGTCCGTTCTACACGGATCGGTGGAGTGGAGCGGCATCGAGATGATGCAATCGATCGATCTTATCATCGGGCCTGGGAACGCGGGAAGAGAAAAACAATGCAAAGAGAAGGCGAAAGAAGCGGAGGAAAGTGTAAATAATCTCGTTATGGTTACGCAAACGCAAACAGTCAACAGATATCGATAATTTCGCCCCTGAAATAAATATTCTCCCACTACGAGGGTGTTGATTGTGTTTTTCCTCTCAAGTGCGGTGGGTTTCCTGATTAAAAAAAAAGTGGCCCCATGTCAATTTTTACCCGTTTGGAAAAGAAGAAACGGCCCGCGATGATGAATCAAATGGCTCAAAATTGTTTACAGGCCTTTCGCCAAGTCCTCGTGGAGGTATCCCCAACAAATGTGGTCAAAAAGGTAAGCAGCGGTAGCAATTTTACTAGGCCAAACCTTTTTTTGCTTTTCTCTTGCTAAACTCTCCGAAATTTCTGTTTTTACACTTTTTCAAAAAATTTTTTCGATGATCCAAAAGTACTTGTAAACATTTTAAAAGTACATCTACAGTAAAGATATAAAGTTCAAATTTTCTTTGTGTTAAGAAACTTGACCATCACACAATTCTTTTTAACTTTTTGCTGTAAAAGTTAAAGTTACTTTTTACCCTCATTTATCATTGTAATTATCTTCCGATTCTACTTTAATTCACAATACTTTGTCTTTTCCTTTTATCGGACCCAAGTTCAGACATTTTGATTAACGTGGAAAACGAAAAGTTCAATTTTGGAACGTTTTTCTTTTGATTTTAGCCAATTCCCTGCAAAAAAGCGCCTGACTCTCTTTTTTGCAGGCTCTGATTCTGAATGGAGACGTTTTACGAGTCCGCAATTGCACTTATCAGCTCAATAATAACGTAAAGTTGGTCGGCGTGGGCAAGGCAGCACATGACATGATCGTCGGCGCCGAGCATGTCCTTGGAGGGCATGTGCAAGAGGGGATCGCTGCTGTCCCAATCGGCACAAAGTAAATATTACCGGTTTGCTAAAAGAATTTATAAAACAGGCATAAGGCTTCGTATTTTACTCAAACATTGTGTCTATGAAAGCATTGCAGATCAGATTTAGGCAATTTTCGGTATTATCCTCGAGACCTAAACTCATCATGAACAGGAACGAAAAATTCCCGAATACTTCATCACAAATTTAAAAGATATCTTTCTAGTTGCAGTTTACCATATACAAAATCCCTATGGGGCTCTATGTCGTAATCCCTGATCAATTAGGAACCCGCAGCATAATGCCAAGCCACGCCAAATCACTTTTTTGAATTGTTAGCTTCTGAAACACAGTTAGCCCGACTTCCTGAAGTCAAAACCGGTAGACAAAAGTATCGTCGAACGCACAGAAGACACTAAAAAAACTCAAAATTTTCAGAGTATCGCCCGGTTTAAAAACACGATTCCTTCAAGGTGCCAAGGACAATTTACCAGATCAAGCCTCTCTCGATAACACACAAGAAATCATCAAATTCATTGAGAACTGCGATCACAAAGCCGATAAGATATTTCTATTTCTCATATCAGGTAAAATTTCCAGAAAATAAGGGATTATATCACTCTGCATGCATAGAATCAGCGGAAGTAATAAACCTTCAAGATGATGACTAAAACAGTGTTTCAGGTGGAGCATCGGCCTTACTTAGCGCTCCAGTAGCTGGAATAACCCTGGAAGATAAGTATCAAACAATAAGACTAATGGCTTCACATGGGTTGGATATCAAAGAGATGAACACAGTGCGGATAGCATTGTCCGAGGTCAAAGGAGGTGGATTAGCGAGGAAACTGGGGCCAGCTAAGGTAAAGCTACGTCCTATAGAATTAAAGACCAATATCTTACCACATAGACCCATTTACCGCTAATTTTTATATTACTTTAGGGCATCTCCTTGATCATGTCAGACATTGTTGGTGGAGAAATTGACAAAGTTGGCAGTGGTCCTACAGTTCTGCAAAGCCGAAACCTCACAGAAGCTGCCAGAATCCTCGACACTCGAGGTCTTTGGGATCAACTCCCATCGACTGTCCGTGAAGCTCTCCAGAAACCAGAGAAAATCCTTTCGGACGACGGAATTCAAATACAAAACGAGCTCATTTCGGACAACCAACTACTTCTACAATCGATAAAGAGCAATCTCGAAGGACAAGGGATCCCAACAGTAATTGTAAATCATGCATTGGAGGGGAATGCAAAAAATGTTGGAGAGAAATTCGCGGAATTTGTAGAGAAGTGGGACAACGGCAACGAGATTAAGCCTCCATTCGGTCAATTCAACCTCAAAATTCAACCGGGAGGAGCGTCGTTGGCTCTATTATACGGTGGAGAGACCACCGTATCCTTTCCGAAGATCCTCGAAAAAGAGAACCCCAAAGGCGGAAGGAATCAGGAAATGGTCCTAGCCTTCCTTTACTACCTCAAGAAGTCCAAAATGCTGCAAGAAAAGAGATTTGTCTTCATGAGCCTCGGGTCGGATGGTCAGGACGGACCCACCGACGCGACTGGAGCCTACATTTGCTCCGAAGATATCACTGCCGAGGGCTGCGATGAAGACGAGATCGAGTTCTGTCTAGACAACAAAAACTCCTATGAGTTTTGGAGCAACTTTTTGGGCGGCGATCGCTTGGTCAAAACAGGGAAAACGGGAAATAATCTCATGGATGTACAGCTTCTCATTCTGGCATGATCTGCGCGTTTATTTATTTATTCAATAAACCCGACCTTATTTTGTGTGCACACAAAATATTTTTTTATTTTTCTTCAAAAAATTGAAAAATTCGATAGTTGACATTCCGTCAAAAAAATCCGATAGCGAAATGTCACAAACAAAAAACGCGTTTTTTCGGACGGTCAAATAGATTTGGTGAAGATACGGTTGAACCAACGACGGCCTCGAGATGTCAGGAGTAACACGGGCTTCATCGGTGCGACGACAACCTCAGCGGACTGCCAAGAATCCCCCGCCTCCACCACCACCTGCTCCGCCGCAGAAAAAGGTGTCGGTGCCGCAAACGAAGAAGCCGATTCCTCGACCGCAGGTTCGACTGGTCACCACTAACAAGCCTGGGACGTCGTCCAGGATAACAAGGTCATCGTTCCCGGAGAGAAAACGAATTGTTCATGATGGTAAGGGAAAAAAAATTTGTATCGGTTTTTACCTTTAATTATAAGGCTAGGGATTTACAGAAGATCAATTGTGGAGTTGCATGCTGCTTTTGAATTTGTCATAGTACCCTTTTATATTTTCAAATTTTTTGGGCACTGCCAAATTTGTTAGCTTTGGATAATATAAATTAATGTTATTAAACGTATAGTTCTTTTATGATGCACAAATAGGGTAAAATACGCGTTTGATCTCCATTGGCCTTCCGTTTTTTCATGAATGTGCAGTTATGAACAATAAAAGTTGATATCAGTTGTCAATCCATTGTTTTCAGATGCGACCAACAACAAGGTCATTCATCGGTTCATCCAGTTGGGGGAGCGATGTCAAGTCACCATGCCTACCGAGGGCCCTCGAGAAGGTCCCTCGACAAGTCCGGAGAGGGAAACTTGTGTGTGGAAGATGGACGACGAAAAGATTACTCCAGAAGAGCTGGAGAAGTTTTGTGTCGACACTTATGAGAAGTTTGGACTTCCCTCTGAGAGGGTGAGTGATTTCTTGCCTGGTTTAACTTACGTTTTAGGCGATGTATGCGTTATACATGAACGAGTTTGATAAGGAGAAGGCCATGAAACAAGCTAAAGAGTCAGCGTTACTACAAGAACAATGGAGTGATAATGATCGATATATCTTCAATGGACTCTATGCTACTTATGGAAAGAATTTCGGGAAGATCCATAAAATCGTAAGCGTATTTTCGAGAGATTTAAAAATTTTAGGTAGTGTGATATCAAAATACCCGTATGATGACAGTACATTGACGATAATGATTTTTAGATGGCATACAAGTCAATGAGAAGTCTGATTGAACATTATTACAAGGTCAAGATGATCAGTTACAAAATTGGAGGACTGGCTGAGGCCAACAAGCCATTGGGAAGTATGGGCTCGATCGATGATTTGAATGGACATTTTGAAACCGAAAAAGACGTTGAGAGCATCTGTGATAACTGTGGAGCATTCTCGCAGCTTCACCAAGTCAATAACGAAATGCAATGTATGAGTTGCAAACGATTTTTTGAGTAAGTTTCTAGTGTAATATTCTTTTTCTTTTTTTTGTTATGAATTATTTGTATGAAATTTTTTAAATGAAGTTTTGCTCCTACAGAGAGTTCAATTACGATCGGCCAGTTGATCGAAGCGAGCGGAGAGCAGCTCTCAGATACGAAGAAGATGCTCGAAGAATGGCCGAGAAATTCACCGAGCTCTTTTTACATGGAGATCGAGAAACGCTTAGGCGGGAATTCACGACTGTGAGAAAGTAAGATCTTGTTTTCTATTGTTTTCGCTTCATTTTTTAGATGTTTTTACCCTTTGTCATCCAGTATGATATAATTTTTTAGTAAACGTCAGTCCGAAGCCCGTGAAATGCGTTTGAAGGCCGCTCAACAAGAGCAGACTTCGATGAGAGCTGTGAAATATTTGGCGAGCTCGATTAATTTAAACACTTATCGGAAATATACCAGCAAAAAGAAGCCCAAACCACGCCTCAGGGAAAATTGGACCAAAAAAGAACAAAATATCGCGCTGAGATGTGAGTTGAAGTAATTTTCGATTGATTTTGATCGCTTTTAGTGCTGATCAGGTACTCGGGAGATTCCGAGACAGTGTCGAAAATATTGGCGACCAAAACTGTGGAACAAATCCAAAATTTATACAACAAATATTCGAGTGCCATAAAAGAAGAGTTGAAGAAAGCCAGGGAACAATCGGATTTGGCTGAAAAAGTCGAAGAGATGTACAGGGACATTACTGAACAGAAGAAGGAAGTCGACATTGTGGAACTGGACTAGACTATATTTGATGGTCAATTTGAATCCTCTATATTGTTTTTATTTAATTTGGAACTCGAACCTGCAAGTACAATATAATTTTCTTGGATAAATTGCGTGAATATTGTGTTCCTTGGTCTGTCATCATGAGTAATGTTGTGTTGGTGTTATGAAGGGAAGAGCTCATTATATTTTGACTGTTTTTTGAATATAATGGCAGTTCAGAGCTTTTCCTTCACACTGAGTGCTTTTCTAGGCGTTCCTACATAATGTTTTACATAATTTTACCTTCTTTTGGTCTCATTTCGATTATTGTCTGGGTTTTTTTTGATAAAATTATGTCCAATCTTCCTAATACGACACAAATCACTTACTCTCATTGCTTTTATACTTTCTGTTAAAGAATAATTACAATAAACCTCGGAAATAATCGGATATTCCGCTTGTTTTTGATCACGATTCTGTAGTTATGATCGTGGAAGATCATGTTCCCGCACTGTTTGTATTGGTAGATGAAACTCATGAGAATGGAGCTTATTATACGCAAGAGTCTTCGTGGTAATCTGCCTGATTGCAGAGGAGGAGATTAAGAAATTAAAGTTGACATTGTAAGTATCCTAAATATATTTATATTGCTTGGAGTTAATAACATAAATTAGAAAAAAAGTTGCAGAAATTGTATATTTATAGTTCGATGGTTGAAAAGGTTAGGTTTCGAAGTCCCGCGGAGGTTTCTATATGGACGAGGATTGTAAGAAAAAAGAGGCGGACTTTTTGTAAGATCACCAATTTTTGAAAAAAAATTAATGTCATAATTTTTAATATGATGTTGGAAAATTTCTGTTTCTGTACCTTGCAAATCGTTTTTTTTACATGAAGTTGATCTAGCTCACGTTCGTTCCCCCATTCAGCTCATTTTTGTACCCAATCTCCGCCCAATTTTTTGTTTTTTTCTGAAGTAATATGTGACTCAACACATTTCCTCGTCCCCATCACTTTCCTCATCTCCAGGGCTTGATCTTCAGCCCCGCTCTTTAATAACTTCCGTTTTTTGTCTTCGCGATGACCGCAAATAATCGGCTGACCCGTTTATCTGTCGGCCACTCGAAGACCGTCCTTATGGCCGCGCTTCCACCCCGCCGCCGCTGGCCCACAGTTCGGTGGGTTTGGGACAAATTGTGGGTTCTGATCAAATAATCGAGTTATGATTGAGTTGTTTGAGTTTCGAATCTTGGTGCGATCAGAGGCGGCGGAGTCTGCTGAAACCAGAAAGGAAAGAAGACGGTAGTTTTTATGTTGGTGGGGGGATTGCTGGGTATTGGGGGAGGGTATGATGACCATAGCGATGACTTATTTGGGCTTTCAAGACGAGTGGTTCTTGGCCAAGGGCTGGCGTTCGATTAAGTTTTGATCTGAAAGTGATCAGTAACTCTTCGTTTATGTTATTGGATAGTTTTCAGAGTATGGGAGAGGGTAAGTGTAATGGCGGTCTACGTAGGCTTGCGCTGCGATAAGCACCATATTTCGATGGTCATTCAAAATTCTTGCCGATTTCCCATTCCAAATCCGTTTTCCATACTTGACAAGTATAATATCTTGCCGTAGATACCGTAACTTCTGAGCAGATTTTTTTCTTGGATTCTCTTATTGAAAATGAGTTTTTTTGACGTTTTGCATTGATTATCGCCGGTTTTATGAATTTCCATCGCTTATTTTCGCGATTGCGGTGCCTTTGAGATTACTGTAGTTCATTTTTCGATTGCTTAGACAATTTTTTTCCTAATCGAATAATCAACCAAACTGCTTCACCTGCTAGGAATTGAGTAACTGTTGAAACGATTTCTAGAAATTCCCACGGAGTTGTGTCCACTCCTCCCCCCGAGCTATCACTCTCTCGTTTCGTCGGTTATTGTCCACTCTTTTCATTTCACTTTACTCACTTTCGAAGCAAAAAAATTCTTGACCCAAACGTGAAGATCACTGTACGGAAATCGGATAGTCTCGGGCGGCTCCAAATTCTTTTTGTTCATGATCCCCTTCCCCATCTCGCTTGATTTGTTTTAGCTTACACTGCCCGTACTTTCTCGAGGCCCTGAGGGGAGAAAATAAAGCCCCTTCTGCTGATTGTTCGATGACCCCGGGGCTCTTTTTCTCTTCCTCTTTTTTTGAGGAGGAAATTAATGCGCGGCCCTTGAACCTTGCGCGGCGGCGGAGAGAGGATGGCGGAAGGAAAAAGAATTGGTTGTAAAAAATATGGGGACGGAGACGTTGACCTACGTGGGTTACGGTGGAATCAGTTTTTGTTGGAGCTGAGGGAAGGCCGATTCTTTTTTGTCAGCATGTTTTAACCTTTTGAATAACTTTTACCCTAAGGCGCGTCTAAAAATTACACGACTTTTGCTTCCTTCGTCTGCTCTAACTATCAGCTACGCAACATCGGACACAAGTAGTTCGCGATATTGATTTCGATTTTTTATTCATGTAAATATAGCGAGTCTGTGGTGTCCGCAGATCGCTCAGATCCTACAGCAGGCTACTTTTTTATGATACTCTTCTCGGATTTTAGATCTCTTCGTTGTTTTAGATTCCAGCGTTGTATTGAAAGGTCGATGCGTGTTTAAAGATATTGATTCTAAAATTAGAGGAGTATTTCGGCAAAGGCAATTTCAGGCTGATCACCATGCTGCGGCTACTGTTTATGCTGGGATTGGTAACAAATTCACATTTGCTGGTATTTGGAGCAGAAAATAAAACAGAGGTAAGTACGGATTCAGTGATCTACAGGGTGTCTCAAGAAATTTCGTAGAAAGTTTTTGTCGATTTCTTGGTGCTCAAGTCAAGATATCAGCCAAGAAAATAAGTAAACGATCTTTGAAGAGACTGCTAAAAATTAGTGATCAAGAGTGACCAAAAATTGACTAATTCGAAGATTGATCATCTTCTGTGTCGGTGTGTTGGCCGTTCTTTCAATTCAAATGCTGGCGGGCGCACACTTGCGGGCAACCACTTTGCGGGCAACCAGTTTGCGGGCAACCAGTTTGCGGGCAAATTTTTTGCGGGCAGCCACTTTGCGGGCAGCCGACATTTGCGGCCAGCACCGGCATTTGCGGCAGCCTGGGACATTTGCGGGCAGGGTCGACAGTTGCGGGCAGCCTGGAAGGTTTGCGGGCAGCCGACATTTGCGGGCAACCGACACGTGATTGTGAGGGTAACAGGGTGGAGGTGGAAAAATTACTATGATATTTTGGAAATTTGCCGACATTTGCGGGCAGCCGACATTTGCGGGCAACCGGCACATGAGGATAACAAGGTGGAGATGGAAAAATTACGGCGATATTTTGGAAGTTTTCCGACATTTGCGGGCAGGCAATACTTGCGGGAAGCCGACATTTGCGGGCAACAGTTCCAAAAGTACCAATACAGACTGTGTGATTGTTTTTCCCTGTTGCCCGCAAATGTCGGCTGCCCGCAAGTGTCGGTTGCCCGCAAATGTCGGCTGCCCGCAAGTGTCGGTTGCCCGCAAATGTCCTAGGCTGCCCGCAAATGTCTCAGCTGCCCGCAAATGTTTCAGCTGCCCGCAAGTGTGACCCTCCAAATTTTGCCCGCAAAGTGGCTGCCCGCAAAAAATTTGCCCGCAAACTGGTTGCCCGCAAAGTGGTTGCCCGCAAGTGTCGCGACGCCCAAATGCTTTTTTGATCAAAAAATCCCGTTCCGGATTTCTATCTTAGCAAAGAAGAAAGGGGATAGGTCTCGTTTTTCTCCAAATCTCATCAAAATCTGTGCGTCGCGTTTTGATCTCTTGGTCCTTTTATTACAAATAGCTTTCAAACATCCTAAAGATCGTTTCCAGACGCCTCCAGACTCTCGAAATGAGACTTCCGTTGTGGTCCGAGCCAAGCGTCAGATGGCTTGTTGCTACCCCACCCCGATGGTTTGTTGCCAAGCCCAACAACCCATGATTCCCATGCCAATGCCTATTATTCCTGTCACCGAACGTCCCTCTTCTTGTGATTGCATTCGATTAAGAATCGAGGTCCAGCAATGTGATTGTGCTGGAATGCAGCAATCGCAATGTGGATGCCAGGCCTCCCAACAGAGTGGGTGCAATTGCCAGCGGACCCAGCAGATGGCCGACCAATGTGGTTGCGGGCCTTTGCAATATCAAGTTCAGTGCAATTCCTGTCAACAGCAGCAGCAACAACAGCCGCAAGTGATTGTGTTGCAGGCTCCCAGGCAGAATCAGCAACAATGTGCGCCTGCTTGTCAGCCCGCTTGTGAACCTCAATGTGTTCAAGCACAAAGGGCGCAGATTGTTGTTGTTCAGCCGCAACAACAGCAGCAGCGACAGAGATGTATGCCCCAGTGCGAGCCACAATGCGATCCACAATGCATCAATATTTATATTCAACCACAAGAGAGACAGCAGGTATATAAACAGAGAAAACCTTTTCTCTAACTGTTCTGATGACTATAAAAACTATTCTACTTTATGTTTAGAGTCAATCTCAATGCCAACCGGTCTGCCAGCCTCAATGTACCCCACAATGTCTTCAGCAGCAACAAATGTGTGATCAGGCCTGCCAACCAAGTTGTCAGAATAACTGTCAGAACGATCGGCAATGTATGGCCATGTGTCAGCCAGCTTGTGTGCAATCTTGTGTCCAGCAAGCTGTTCAAGTAAGGCCATGTAATTTCCCTTTTGATCACGAATTGAGGGGATATTTTCCCCTCAATTTGTCATTTCAAAAAGAACCTGTAACGTCCGTCTTTCCAGCGCAACTACATGCCCGCCGCGCAGCAATGCCCGCAGATGTGTCAGCCCACCTGTTCCAGCCAATGTGTCCAGCAACAGCAGATCTGTCAGTCAGCATGTCAGCCATCTTGTCAGAGTACCTGTCGCGACAATAGTAAATGTGTTCAACAATGTCAACCGAGCTGTGAGAATGCTTGTATGGAACAAGCGAAGGATCTGAGTATTCAAGTTGTCATCATGTCCAATGACCGCAATGATCGTAACAATAACCAGCAGCAATATTGTCCGCAGCAATGTCAGCCGGCTTGCCAGCCACAATGTATGCAACAAATGCAGCAAGTGCAACAACAATGTCCGCAGCAATGTCAGCCCTCCTGCTCGCCCAGTTGCATCATCCAAATCCAGCCCGTTCTCCCAGCACCCGCTCAGCAATGCCCCCAACAATGTCAGCCAATCTGTTCGCCCTCTTGCACACAACAACCTCAAATGATTTGTATGCAGCCATGTCAGCAGCAATGTCAGCAGAGTTGCAACAACAATAATATGTGCATGCAGTCATGCACGTCCAACTGCATCCAACTTTGTGCCCCTCCCATGACGACCAGTGAAATGCCTCCGGTCATTTTGCAACCGATTATTACAACTACGCAAGCACCTTGCATGCAGATGTGTGCGGTAAGAAGAACTTTATACTGTAAAACAAATCTAGAAATGCCTTTCAACTTGAAAAATTCGAAAACACCACAGCTCCTATAAAGAACGCTCGCTTACCCAGTGTTCGATTAGCTCAGTGGTAGCGCGTTTGGTTTGAATTCGAAAGATCGCGGGTTCGATTCCACGGCCATATCTTTGAGGTTTTACGTTTGAAAAATAAGTGTAAAGTCGAAACAGGGTGGCCAAATCGAAGGCTAGTGAAAGTTCGAAGAGTAAGCGAGTGGTTTATGGCGTGAAACTTCAAAGCTTTCACATATTTTTTGGATTTTTTGAGCTGGCAGAGAGTTCGTTGATAAATTGACGATTTTACTCAATTCTAAAGACAATGCCCAAAGACTGTAGCTCGCAGTATAGCCACTAAGCATCGTAAACAATTTGTGGTTTCCCAGTAATTTTTACTCTTATCGCCAATTTTTCAGCCAATGCCCGTAATGCAATGTATGCCCCAGTGTCAGCCCACTTGTCAACCGGCTTGTATGCAACAGTTCGATTCGATGCAACAACAGGCTCCTACCACCATCTGTCTGACCATAAATCCTCCGTCAAATTCGAATCAAGGCTGCTCTTGTGGCCAAGGCTACATCCAATGCAATCCCGGAGTTTGTTGTTTGCGGAGAAGAGCGAGGAAAATGAGGAAGATGTAATGATTGCAAGCACATCCAAATGTCTGTAAAATATTCGAAAACAATCCTTGAAATGAGAATCTCGCGATGTTTAATCAGTCTTTCTTTGCTTAATGAGTCTCTGCTATGGGCGAATGTTATGTGTAAGATATCGTCTTTCTTTTGATTAATTATAAATAATAAAAAAAAGGTCTATTTACAAGGGAGGTACCTCAACTCGACGCTGACGCACACCTCGATTACAGATCGTATATGAATTCCTGCGCATTTTAACTCGCCCTTTGCGAGTGCAGCCGAGATACTCAAGGATCTTTGTGGTCGAGAGAGTACGCGACACGCGGAGAGCCAATACAGAAAAAAAAATTTTTTGGCCATATAAGAGTGAAGACAGAAGATTTCGGAGGAAAATTTTGAAAATTTTTCGAATTCACTTTTTTTTCGATTTTGGAGTAAAAATTTTTTTACTCCCAAAAATGCCAAAAAAAAAGTAAACACGAAGTTTACTCCAAGATTTGGAAAAAATTTTGATTTTCGGGAGTAAACTGGGAGTTTACTCGCCGGGGCCGAGAAATCGAATGGCGGCGAGTAAATCTGGATTTTGCTCGCTTCCAATTATTTCCTCAGCTATCACAGAGGCACAGATGACCCAGGAAAACTTACGAAAAATTTTGCCGAATCCTGACTGGGAGCCTCCGAGTCAGGAATCCCGCGATTCCTGCAGTCAGGAATGTTTTTGACTGGGCGGCCTCAAAATCGACATCCCAGTCACCTGAGACGAAGAAACGGGGAGAAAAAACGAAGAGAGCGAGAGAAACGCGCGCTATTTCGTGCTCTCTCTGCCTCTCTGCGCCCTCTCTTCGTTTCCCGCTCTTTCGCTCTCTCCTTTTTTTGCGCTCTCTCGCTCTTTCTTTCGAAAAAGAGAGAGAGAGCGCGAAACGGAAAGAGGGCGCTGAGAGGCAGAGACAGCACGAAATAGCGCGCGTTTCTCTCGTTCTCTTCGTTTTTTCTCCCTATTTCTTCGTCCTAGTCAACAGTTATTGACCCCTCACCCAGTCAAGAATCGCGGGATTCCTGAATTGACCACAGTCAGGAAGTTTTGACTGTACGAAGAGTCAGGAACCCCGCGAATCCTGGCTGGAGCCTCCCAGTCAGGATTCGGCAAAATTTTTCGAAAGTTCGGCGCGAATTACTAACGCAAATAAAAAAAAATTTTTGCGCCCATGGGTCGACTGTTCCCCGGGAGTAAACTCTGGATTTACTCGCCGGCACCTTCGGCGAGTAAATTCTGAGTTTACTCCAAAAAAAGGCGAAAAAAAAGTAAACTCGGAATTCACTCCAAAAATGGAAATTTTGAAAGCTATTTCGATTCCTACTCGCCGACCCATAAAATTTCTCGATTTTTACTCTCTTTTTCAAAAAAAAAGTGAATTCGAAAAATTTTCAAAATTTTCCTCCGAAATCTTCTGTCTTCACTCTTATATTTTCTGGTTCGGCAGGAGAAAATAATTTTTTTAGAATCGTTCCTTATCACATCACATGCCAACATTCAAATAGTCAACAAATCATATGTAGGTGTTTTTGTACAACAGGGGTGTAACAAGTGTTTGTAAATAAAAAGAGCGTGGTTTCCGTTTTCCCTATTACAATGTGTTTCCCTTTAAATGTAGAATTTTTTATTTGTCGACTTCTCACCAATTTCAAAGCCATTTACCACAAACTGATTGCGGGGTGTAATAAAAATACGACGCCGCTCGTCATACGATGGGCGAAGCATATTAAAACATCACGTAAAATAGGTATTTACGGAAGGGTTACTTTTACAATCATAAAACTTTATAAAAAAGGGCCATCTTCAGGGTAATTCCCCTTTCCATTAGTCTTGGGTTTTTTGTTTGATTCGATTTTCGAGGAGAAAAAACTTGTTTCTAATTCCAGAAGACAAAAAGTTCCAAACCCATTATATCAATTGTTGTTGTTTCCCTCTAATCAGTGGCTAGAGTATGCGCGAGAGAAGTCGAGTCGCCGTTCTGCTCTTCCTAATTTTGCCTGCGGTCCTCGGGATCAACGACCGGCGATGGCGTAAGTTTTTTGGAGTGCTGCATTATCATTCTAGATTCGAAGGGAGTACTGTAGGCAATGGCCAATATAACAATTTCTAATTTTAAAAGGAAAAGCCCCGAGATTCCCTTGTTTTTTGTAAGGCCCTGCATTTTAATGAAACCTTAGGCCAATACTTGAAGCATATCAAAAACTATCTCTTACCCCATCTAAACCCATCGAATATTCCTTATTTTTATCACAGCCTGCAACCGAGAGCGCCAATGTTACCAGAACCACGAATGCCCTACAGGTCACTATCGAATCCTCCTAGAGATGCCCTCTTCCCGTCCCCTAGACCATTGTGTGTGCACCTGCGTCCGGGATGTCTTATTCAGCGCAAAGAGAAGACTGCAATCTAAGAGAAGCCGAAGAATGAAGCCCCAACACCATTAAACATATTCGATATCTGTACATATCTGTATAAATATAACGGAATTCGACCGCATAAAAGCTGGCTGGACAAAAAGTTAGAAGTATTTATTTAATGGAAAGTTGAAAAGTTTAATAAAATTCGAGATGAGAATCTTCTGATACACCGTATTTGCTCTTGTGCGCTTCGAACAGCTCGCTCAGTTTAGATTTGTAGAGCCTGTGGAGTTCATCAACCTGTTCTCGCGTTGGATTTGGTGTCCGTTCTACTGGGATTGGGGTTCCCACTCAAATAATATATGAATCACGGTTAAAAGATCCAATTTAAAGATAAAGAAGCCTTCCTACCTACTGAAACCACCTCCGTTCTGAATGGGACAATCCCCGGAACAAACGGGATGATATTTGTGCCATATGCCGCTACCGGGCTGAGTCCCACAACCGTCTTGAACCTGGTTTGGAACGCCCTCAACCGAGATCCGACTGGATTCCAGACTTGTTTGAATGTACTGGTCTCTCCAAATGAGTACACTGGCACCAGATACGCTCCAGATTCTAACGCCAATCGGATGAACCCTTTTCTTCTCTCCAAACACAACTTAAATACATTGGGATGACATTCCAAGGCCTCTTCTGCTCCGCCGACCACAAGCACCACTGCTTTTCCTTTGTTCACATCCGACAGTACGGTCAGCAGCGCCTTGAACGACGACCCAACAAGTCCGAAAGCCGAAAGAAGTTCTCTTCGGAAGGGCTGTTTGAAATGCATGTCCAATGTGGCGAGATAGCGGTTAATTCCAGGAAATTGTTCGGCAAATCGAGTGCCGTTGGTGCAAACATTGATCACAGCTGAGAGAGAGACAATTCCGTGGGGATGCCATCTGAAAACGAGCTCAAAAATTGTGCTTTCGAAGGCGTTGTGTAACACTAGACACCTTACGCTCAATTAGAGTATAAACCTCCTAAAATATGAAAGTAAAAGACTTACGCTAACAAATAATTCTTGTCAGGTGACAGCTCTGCTGTTTTGACCAATTTCATCGGGAAATAATTGGCCAAGGGGTCCCAGAATGGATGATTCCGCATCCAATCCCATGCTCGACAACTCTCTGTGATCAGATCCCAATCATAATAGAGCCAGACGGAATAAAGAAGCACTACCCACCAAAAGGAGGTGTATAAAAGAAGATAGACGAAAACAGCGATTGAAACAAACGGTAGAAATAGGAAAACAAATATGAAAAAGAGGACCTGAGAGATCTCTAAACTTCTCTTTATTAGGTACGTCATTGGACAGGAAAAATCAGATCAGAAAATAAAAAAACGAACGATCATGCACTCCACAATCAGAGCGAAGTTTTTTGTGAGCAGAGTTTATCAAGGAAAGTGATAAGGTTCTTTGAAACCTTCAGGAATGTGAGACGATCAAGTGTAATAAAACAGCAGACATTGTATTGCATCCACTGATTTTTTTCCATTTTGAATGATAAAATCTCTAATTTTTAACATGATGATCATGGTGACCTCGCATCAGCTACAGAAATTGCCCAAAATCTGTAAATAAAAACCTTTCGCCGTATAAAATGTGGCCACAGCGACATCTTATACGACGAAACCTTTCCAAAACTATTTTTTATTTTTTTGGAGATCAGCGTAAAATTTCGTTTTACTTTTTCTAGTCTCAGCTTGTAAATACAAGTTTGTGTTTGTTCAGATATACAGTCGGATTATGTCGAATATTTTTTTCGAAAAGGTGGGTCAAATTTTATATTGGTTTTGATTTTTAGCAAGATGGAATGCTCTGCGCCCAACATGCTCTTAACATGTTGCTCCAAACCCGAATGTACACGGCCTTTGATTTAGGTGATATTGCGCGTCAGTTGGATGAACGGGAAAAAGCTTTATTGCCACCTCAGGAACGAGCCAAATTCGTGAGCAGTAATATGGACGACACAGGTTTCTTCTCGGTTGAAGTGATCCGCGAAGCTCTAAAAACATTGGGGCTTGAAATGATTCCATTGTTATCTCCCGGACTTCGAGAATTCCAAGCTAGTCCAAAGTGAGTTTCAATTTATATTATACTCTATGATTTAGGTATAATTTTTAATACTTTTTTTGTCTAGACTTGGTCAAGCTTATATCTGTAATATGAATGAGCACTGGTTTGCTCTTCGAAAGTTGTTTGGCACCTGGTATCAGTTGGATTCGATGAAGAATGGGCCAAAAGAAATATCGGAAGGTCATCTTGATGCTTATGTGGCGCAATTAATGACTGAAGGTGGGTATCCTAGATTTTTTATGTCATTTTATGTGTTTAGGATACTCTGTGTTTTACATTGGTGGCGATATCAGTCAATTCGTATATACTAGAGACTTAAATGAGGAATCTCCGCCGGTTTACCAAGGTCCAGAGACCCGTCCGCTCATACCACAAGATGATCTTGCTGTAGGTTCGCTTTTCTCGTTTCATTCTTCTTTAGAGGGCCATTGAGATGAGTAAGAAGGAAAGTGGGTTGACAGGGCGGGACGCCGAACAGGATGAGCTTCAGGTATTCAATTATTTTACTCATGAATAATATTGAGATTTAGCGAGCGATTGCATTGAGTATGAAAGAGGCGGGTAATGTGGGAGGAACTGATGAGCAAGATGATTTGGAGGTAAGTATTCACCTTGTTCTTGTTTATTTATTTTTAGAGGGCGATCGCAATGAGTATGCAAGATGTCCCCGGCTCTTCCGGAGTCAGCTCTCAAAAGCCCAGTGACGATGTTGAAGTAAGTGAAATTGTGTTGTGTTTATCCTGGTTTAGAGAGCAATTCAAGCGAGTTTGGGTGATATTCCATGTTCTTCCAAACAGGAGCCGGCATCTTCTCATATTCCTCCAGTTGTTCAACCATCCGTTGTCTTTGTGCAGCCTCCCGAACCTGGAAAAGCAGACACTCAGTCCTCTACAGACGACGACCTTCGACAGAAAAGAGCTGCTTTCCTCAGGCGGTTTGACTGATGTTGTTGTATGATTCCCGGGAAGAAGTGTATAAATTGCTTGTGAATAAACTAAGGCAGCTTTTGTTTGTTGTACATATGAAACCGGTTAGATCCTGTTACATTTTCAGTTGGACTTGAATAATGTTTAGGTCTCAATTTCCAGCATGGCCTCGGCGCTCTCAGCATTATTGGAAGAGCCGAATTCGCCGCCCAAAAATGAAAGTGCCAACGTAACTCCGGGTAAATTTTTTTGTTTATCTGTTGTGACTTTAGATTGAAGTAATATGGTTATGCTTCTTTATTTTGTATCTAACTATCATAATTTAGTCGGAAGTCCGCGCCACGACAAGATGTTGCTGGAGAATGATCTTGTGGATAATCTGAAGGACTCGACGGAACCACTGCCGGAAAGTAATCTGGGGAAAGCAGTCGACAGTTTCATTGTCCAATGGAATCAGTTGCTCGGAGACTTCAGTTCGGTTGTTGGATTCACCCCTCCATCACCAGACCATGTCAAAGAAAAGGCGGAGTACTCGGTGAAACAAGTTCGGGAAGCCGGATTGGATGTGACCTCAGAATTGCATCGAGTCATGCTGGAATGGAGGTTAAATCATCCTCAAGAAGCAACTGAAGAAGATACGAAGGACCTTGAAGATGCAATCGAGAGGCAAAATAATTTGTTGAAGAGTGTAAATGGACGATTGAATGAGTTATTGAGGAGGGAGGATCCTCGGGAAGATCAAATGCAAGAGTAGAAATGGCTGTACATAACTTATTATATTAAAGAAGGGTTGATGGATAAGATAATGTTGATCTGTGTTGGTTAGAATGCCAATTAATATTGTTAAAGACGAGGAACGAGGTTTATTAGGGTTTAGATGTGGCACGAAGCACGAAAACAAGATAAATTGATCCGGAGTAAGATGGTGGATGCCGCCAAACGCTCGGAAAGAAGACGAAATTACTATGAGAGTGTTGTAAGTTCTTCATTAATTTTTTTTGTCATCATTGGACACACCGTTCTGTATTGTTGACTGATTGAGTGTTGCCGGGCCATAATGTATAAGTTAATGACAATTCAAAATCTTCAGAGAAAAGATCCAGAACAATTCATGCAGATCCACGGCCGAAAGTGCAAGATCCATGTGGATCCGAACATTGCCTCGGCTGCTTCGAACGTTTTGTAAGTCATTTTTTTCATTGACTCTTGGTTTCTAGACGAAAATGGCAAGGAGATTCGAACATCTTGATTGATCGCTTTGATGTCCGAGCTCATCTCGATTCAATCGACGAATCAAAACACAAAAAGACAACGTTATCACAGGAAGAAGAGGTTGAAGAAATACAGTGTGACTTTGAGAGGTACAAGATTGTAATTCTGAATGAGTTCGAGGGCATTGATCAGACCGAGTCCTTGAATAACATTGCCGAAAAGGAGTTCTGGGATGATCGAAGGAAGGATAATTCCAAAGACAAGAAGAAGTGAGTTTTATATTGTATGTTATATTGGTTTAGGAAGAAGAAGAAGGAATCGGCCGCCATTTCATTCTCATACGGCGATTCGGCCGTTCTGCCGGGATCTTCGAACGAACCAGAAGATGATGAAGATTCAGATGCCGAAGTTGTTGATGGAATTGGTAAGTGGCTACTAACTTTTTGTTTATTGGATTTTAGAGAAAGAGTTCGATGTGAACCGATTGACCGCCGAAAAAGGAGTGGAATTGAACAAAGTGGGCGCCAGCTTTGGAAGAATGGGCACGGTGTTCATGGACCTCCTCCGGATCGACCAGAAAGAACAAGCTGAAGCCGCCGAAATAAAGGAAATTGACAAAGCGAAGCTCTCACTCTCTGTTGGTTACTTGTTCCCATTTTCGAACTCCCATCTCCATATGATGTTATGTTATCCATCGATTTTAGGGAAAGAATAGTAAAGGAGAACGAGCCCGCCTCAAGAACAGGAGAGCGGCTCTTCTTTCCCAATTCAACACAAATGAAGATGCGGCCAAGACAGTTCTGGGATTGTTGCAGAAGGAAGTGAAGGCAAGGAGAAGGTCAGTTATATTGTGTTTAGTGATTATATCACTTTAGGGATTCTTCATCGGAATCAGAAGAGGAAAGAGGACATTCGTTGGTGATTGGGGGAGATTCGGGTGTCAGGGAGTACGGTAATAGCCGACTAAACCTCTTAAGACGGGATAGTGATGATGATGAAGAGAAGAAAAGATTACGGTAAGAACTACAGAATATTACTGAAATTGGTGTTTAGAGAGTTGAAGAACCGAAGATCCAGTTCTCCGGACTTTGGAGACTCGGACATAGAAGTTAAAGTCCCCAAACCCCCGACAAGGGAGTCAAGTAAAGTAAGTGTAATATCAGCAATCATTATTGTTTAGGAGTCGGATAGTGATAACTGTGAACCCTTGGAAATAAGATCAAGTATGAGTGAGTCAGAACAGGAGCGACGGGAAATTGAGAACAGAAAGCGAAGAATCAAGAGAACAAAGAAAATGGTAAAAGAGCGACAAAAATATGATGACAAAAGTGAGGATGAAGGCCTAAAGAAGGCGGAAATGGCTGAAAGATTGCGCAAAAAGATGGAGAAGAAGTTGAATAAAAGAGCGCAACAATTGAAGACTGAAGAGAGAAACAAAATTAAGGAAAAAGAAGCTGAGCAGAGGGTGAGTATATTATGAATTATTGAGACTTTGAGCTCCAGGAAAGAGATGAACTTTTGTCCGAAGATGCCAAAGCCCTCAGGGAAAGAGAACGTGGGAAAAGAAGAGAGTTGGATGGATTGAATGGACGGTCATCAAGCTCCAGCTCAAGAAGTAGGAGCAGAAGTAGGGAAAGGAAAAGAAGAAGATCGAGATCAAGATCGATGGAACGAAGAGACAGGGAAAAGAGACGGAGAAGCAGATCAAGAAGTCGAGAAAGGGATAGAAGACGTAGAAGAAGTAGAAGTCGGAGTAGAGAGAGACATCGAAGTTACAGAAGGTGATTGTCTTCGTAATTATGTCGTTTGTAACTTTGAACAAAAAACTTTGTTATCCAAGCAATAAATTGAAAGTTTGATAGTAGTCATGAAGGTGGGTTGGCGCTCAATCTGGGTAGACGTATGGCCGAAAGAAAAGTGAAAAGAAGTCTGGTACCAGTGTTATGAATTAAGAAAACGTTTTTCCCTTCAATGGGATCGTTCGGCTCATCTTTTTACGAAGAATTGCGGAAATTAGAGAGTTGGATAACGTTCAAATTAGTAGGCGTGTTTCGTAATGATAAGTTCTCATTTTTGAGAGCTTTATGGTGTAGGAATCAATGTTCAAGGTTTTGACCATTGAATTTCAACATTTTTTTTATTTTGCAAACCATCGGACCATAGTCACATCTTGAATAATTCCTATGAACATTAGCCTGCGTGTAGAGTGCGTTCCATGGGATTTTTTTCGTACTTACGCAAGTCTCTAAATATTATTTTCTGGACTAACTGTATCATTAAAAGTTACAGTTCAAGCCATATCTTGTTAATTAATTCCCAGAATCTGGAAGCATAATTTATTCGGAAAATACGAGGAATTGAGAGTACACGCAATTAAGCACCGGATTTATACAAACAAGAGGCTGGTTATGCAGCCCAAATATTATAACTGAGTCAGCCCGAGTTGAGGAGATAAAGGAGCGGGTTGGATTTGGGGATGATCTTCGTCTCGTCGAAGGCTGAAAATCAGCTGCGTAAAGGAGGAAAGTGATCACTTTCAAGGGATTAAGCAGGCTTGGGAACCAATTTTGAGGTCCATGAATTTAAAGTGCATATTCTACAGTAGGAACTCACCAGTTATTGTGCACCGTTTCCACTCGTCGAGGGATACTCGTTTATCCGAATCTTGATCACATTGCCGGATAAATGAACGCCCACAGCGTTTCACTCCCTCCCAATGACGAATCATCCGACGGAAGGTGTGGTATTCGTGGTGACAGAGGTACTAAAAACAATTGGGAATAGTCATCGAAATGGGCATTTTGAACGATTTTGCATGATAAAAAAAGGACATTTTATACGATGAAAATCGCTTCCAGGAAAAAATAAAAAATTATTTTCAGATGACCACTAATCCAAAGAAATCCCCTCTTACCCCATCCTCATTCACATCCATTTGCGTAAATTTCCATTCCGCGCTTTGTCGGCGAGCTGCGCCCATCCCTCCCTCCGGCATCAACCCGTATAACTGCATTTCGGATCTGAATTGTGCGAAAAGTAACTGTAGAAACCGTCTTCTCTTATCGCCAAAGCAAACGTCATTTCTCAATTTGTGGACCGTTTCGTACGTTGCAACATTATTCTCATTTTTGGGGATTTCCTTGGCCACCGGTGCGTCCGGATGACTAAATTTGGTCGGATAAACTGAAAAAAGTAAATTTAGGTTCAATGTTTGCACTTGTAATTACTATTCCTGGAAGAAATTTTAGCAGGAAGCAGAGAAAAGAAGAAATTTGCACATTTTGGACCTTATTCTAGGTGAAAAATTTAATCAAAAGGTCAAAAAGTTACAAATTGAATATGCAAAACTTTCCTAATGCTATTGCTAACTTAATTAATCACGAATCTGAATAATATCAATAAAAAAATAATCGAAAAAAGTGATTTTTAAACGTTTCGGACCTTATTTTAGACAAAAATTGAAAGAAATGTCACAAAATTACTAATTCGGTCTCCAGATTTTTTCACATTACTTTTGATATGTTCAGAAATTGATGCTCTGTTCATTACATATAGTATTTACCATATTTCTCACCGGATTTGCTCATGGCGAATAGCTTTCCGTGTTTAATTGGGACCAACGTGGAGATGAATGACTCCTTCTGTGTTGCTGGAAACGTTACATTATGCATAGTTATGCAGTAAAAAAATGACGGAGTGGGAAAGCAAGCAATGATTACGTGGGAATAAATAATTTGTGACATTAATTTGACTTTTATTTGACAGCTAATATAAAATTCGCCGAAATTTTTTTTTAATTTTTGATGTTACAGTAGGTTTATTACCTGGAAAGAGTGAAAAGTAAATTTCTTATCCATTTCGATACCTGTATTACCGAAAAAGTCGATTCAATTATCTATGATGACTAAAAATTTTTGTAAAATTTTCAAAAATTACTGATGTTACCGTACGATCGTTACGAGTACACATTTTTTGATTAAAAATAATATTTATATTATTGACTACAGTGTGATTTTTTTAATTATTTTTTTTAAATTTTTTTAACTATTAACTTCCCCAAAACAATTTGTCAACCAACCGAAGCTCAAAGATCACGGAAAACATATGACTTCATAGTTTCTCATGAAAGGCGCCCTATTTTATTCAATTAAACTTGAATGAATATTTGATTACTGTTGACACAAATTTTGTTTTTGATAGGCTATATAGTAATAACAAACATCACAATCACTCGACAATTCAAGAACTCCAATTCCTTGAATATTTACGACATTTACAACCACAATAATACTAGTTATTGGCCTACTTTCGGTGTCATTTGGCCATTTATGGATATAAATCACTGGAATGAGCCGCTTCCTCTTCGTAACTACTACAGTCAGACAAAATAGACCCACGAAAAGGAGGGTAACTCCGTACATAATCCCGCGGACCATCGCTGCAACTAAAATCATCAAACAAAATTGGCGGTGGGTGTTATTTAGAGTAATAATCCGATTTTCCTGGCCAGACGCAGGCAATATAAGAAGATATTGTGAAAAAATCAGACTACGAGCTGTAGAATTAGTCGAGACATTTAGATTTGAGAATCTTGTGGGGAGTAAGAGAAGATCTTCCCGAAATCGCAGGTTTCCGCAAAATTCGAGCAAAAAATCGGACTAACTCGACAGCGCTCCAGCCTTTCCAAGCCTACAAATCTCCGAAAACCCATAACAACCCTTTTCATACCAATATTATGTTATTTTGAGGTCCAAAATCAGATTATCCAACCAAAATACTCGATTAATACCCTGGAATTGGCGTAATATCTTTAACTGTAAGCCCCTCCAAAAACCCCTCCGGCAATGACGCCCAAATCTACCCGAAATTGCTGCCGTCGTCATGCGTCCAAACTGCCTAAGGGCTTGTTATTTGGACCCCTCATAAGTCATCATCTCCCCCGGAACAAAAAACTTTTTCTGGTCTACAATTGGAAACAGCCCGAGGGTTTTTTTTTAATTAGACAGCGAAAGATAGTCCCATTTTCGGCAAATAAACACCCTGAGGGCATTTGAGCAGTTTCAATTAAAGCGCTTTATAGCCGCATTAAGGAGTAGCCTAGAGTTGTAAAAGTTGGGGTAGTTTAAAGATCGAAGCGCCGCAGGCACAAGTGCAAACGTCTAGACGAGTGGAGAACGACTCTGGCGTATGCTAATAATAAGGAATTTACGGAAGTTAGAAGTAAAGTACAATATGTGGAAGGTGGAAAGGAATCAAAAAATAAAAAATCTCAGAAGCTTTTGTCCTCGAAGAATTGCAAAAATTTATTACAATTCGCAAAAATAGAGAAGTAAATAGAATTTCCTAAAGCGTATGCAAAGTTCCTAGCCTGCGCTTTGCAGAAACCGCCGAGTGTTTTAATCCGGGAATTGTCAAAGTATCATATTTTTTTGCTTTTCAGGGCAAACGATAAGTTCCTCTTGCTTGACCGTCTAGCCGGAACTCCATAAATATATTCATTACTCCCCAACCAACTATTAGTCCATCCCAGAACTTTCCCATAACCACTTTCTCACGTATTATTCAAACCACCCAATAAATCCGAGATTGTTCGGGGGCCTTTTCGAAACAATAACTCATTTAGTGCACAGTACAAAAAACAAGTTAAATACACGAGGAAATGGAGTCTAAAAACCAGCTAATTGGGTTAATTCAAAAAATTTGAATTCAAGGAAAAAAATTTTGAGCTAATAGTGTCTTAAAAAGTAGCGCGAAGACTGGGATTTGTATGGAAGTCAGATCCGCCATCAGCGGATTATCACATTTCCAAAAATGCCTGCGGGGATTAAAAAAGGCCGCCTTTTTGAACTCCGCTCCTATCAATTATTTACTGCCAAAATAAATGCCAAGAATTTACGGCATTACTAAGTGACACAAAACGCGCGTTATTAATAAGTACAGCAAAGTGCAAGCGCATAAAAATTGCAGGCATTTAGGCGGGGAATTGCCGCCGAAAATAAAGGTATTTAGAAATCTGCTGTAGGGAGGGAATTTAGAATTTTGAGACTCAATTACAGTATGAAAGGTAGACTAGAGAGAAATGGCCATAGAAAAAGAAGCCGTGTATGGATTACGATGAAACCCGGAATTATTGGAGATTGTGAGACACATTTCTTTGAGAAAATATAACAGCGCGTTATGCAGAAATCATCGCGTTATAGAGTTTCAACGATCAAAAAATCTCAAAAACAAATAAGCAGAAAAAAGTTACGTTTCGTATGTTTTGTGGCCAAAAAAGCCAATACTAAAGTTTAAATAATTTTAAAATTCAAATAGCAGGCTGCAACAGAATCAAAATAATTAAAATTTCTGAAAATTTAAATCTTTTTGCAATTTCATCCATAAATGAAGAATCAAAATTATCAACAAGGTTTAAATAGCACTCCAGAACACCTGCTGGAAATTAAAAGGTCGCTTTTTAGGCCAAAATACAGCAATATTTATATTACACTACCAAGATTCACCTTATTTCAGATTAAAAGTGAAAAATTAATAATTCTTCGAATCAAATTAGGGGTTATTGCATTAAAAAAAAGTCTAATATCACTCCGCTTGTCATTGCCAGACTATCTAACTGGCGGCAATTACATTAAAAAATCGAGTTATTTCAATTCTCAGGTATTAGAATGGCCACCCGGTATAAATAAGATGTTCTGAAGATACAAAAGTAACACAAAATGCTTTCGAAGTGTTTGAACACAACAATTAATATTACACTTGGCATTAATCACCTAAAAATGGCGAAAAATGTAAAAATAGGGAGAAAAAGTGGTACTCAGGAAGCGAAAAAGTTAAATTTGTAAATAATTAATGTTATTACAATGTTAAAAAGACTCGTAGGCTAACAAAAAATGCAACAGGGAGTGATGTAAACTGTTGTAGTTTAGTTTTTGGACTCCATTTTGGCCAAAAAAAAGGAGACTTACACCCATCTCCGCCGAATTTTTGGAAGCTCTTGACAGTAATTTCGAAGCATTCGGCCCATTCGTCTCGATTTATGGCCCTACTGTTGTCGAAATCACAACTTTTGAGGATTCGTTGAAGACATTTGAGCTCTAATTTCATCAACTGGATCTCTTTTTCATCGATAATTCCGCGAATCCACTCGCTGAATGAGATCTTTTCGTCCAAGTTGAGATCAAGCAAGGAGAAAATGTAATCCAGCACGCGGAAGTAGCCGGAAAATACTAAAATAAAGAGTCTTAGACAACAAAAAATATCTATGATTGTTTAGTCATCAAAACCACCAAAATACGATTTTTTCAGAATTTCCAAAAACATCAGTCATGATGACGACTTTTTATGAAATTTTTAAAATCGCTTCTTAAAGGCACATTTCTAGACATTCCGGATAAAAATTTGAATGTTTTTTTGATGAATTAATTTTTTTGAAATTAAAAAGAAAGGTTTTGCTTTCCCCTTGTGAACACTTACATCCAAACTGATTAAAATACTTGACTTTCCAATACTTGAGCAAGATTTGTTTGGTTGTATCCAATTTGTAATCATTGCAGGTCTGTATACTCGATAACACTTGTTTTTGGGAAATCATGTCTGAAAAATGTTATACAGGGTGTTTCAAGAAATTCCCCGGAAAGTAATCGTCGATTTCTCGGCGCTAAGCCACGATATCCAAAAAAATTTTTTTGCAGTAGAAAGAAGGATATGGGCGGTTTTTTGCCTAAAAAGGTTTTTTTCTACGCCGACGCGGAATGCAGTGTTTTCGGCGAAGACTTTTGATGGCTTTTTTGACCATCACACTAATCTCAAACGCTTTACTGTGACACTGCAGCATCCGGAAAGTCTTCAGATTTTTTGCACATTGGATCAGGAGGCACGGTATAACGCTATGCGATCCCATTTAGCAACTGCACAGTGCAGTGCGATCGCTGCAACATCGATAAAGTCGGAGCACACCGCGCGGATGTTTGAAACAGAGAAAGCAAAGAGAAATTTAAACAAAAAATTTTTTTGTTGTTTTCTGGTGCACCAAGTGGCTCCGTGATGGCTAGACATCTGCCAAGGCTTGGCCACAAAATTTTGGAGGATATACGATACCTGCATAAAACAGTTGCCAGACAGTAAAAATTGTGTTGGGCGATTTCTGGTCCGTATCTGAGTTATGGCGAGCGGCTGCCATACCTTTGCCAAACATTTGATAAGCACGAAAATCAGTAAATTATCCGCATTTCAGCCATCAGAAACCACAAAAAAGCGTTTAAGATGTGTGTGATGACCAAAAAAACGATCAAAAGTCTTCGCCGAATACACTGCATTCCGCGTCGGCGTAGAAAAAAATCTTTTTAGGCAGAAAACCGCCCATAGCCTTCTTTCTCCTGCAAAAAAAATTTTTTGGGTATCGTGGCTGAGCGCCGAGAAATCGACGATTGCTTTCCGGGGAATTTCTTGAAACACCCTGTATTTATCTACAGAAATGCGATTTCAAATAAAGATTAATAGGAATGTAGAAGCCACCCTACCTTTACACCTTTCCCTCCCAACTTCTTCAACCGGAGACCCAAAACATCTCATTCGGTTCAATTCACATCGATTTAGATAATCCTTCCCATCCGATCCGCAAACCCACTCGACACCGTATTTCGAACAGTTTATTTTATGACATACCATTATGTTTAGAGCCTGGAAAGGATGTCAATTCAGTTCATATGGGGTCAAAACATTGAGAAAAATTAAATTCACCATGAGGGTGATGACATAAAAAACGTCAAAAGTTATTATTTTACAGAGTTTTTAATTAATTTTAACCTGAAAAAAAAATTTTGTATTTGGGACAATAACCATACATATCTCTGAGTTTTTGGACCAAACTATAAAGTTTACTCCGATTTTTTGAATTTTTTACCTCAGATTTTACTTAAGCAGCCTACAGAGATAAGAACGAGCAGGATTGATGTCTGCCTTGTACCTTACGTAAACCCCCTTTCCCCATTAACTTCCTCATTCTTTCCTACTCAAACATACCTGAAACAATGGGAATGAAAAAACGCCAATAATGAGGTAGACCACTGATACCATGATATGTAAGATACTCGGATGTCCTGCGAATCACTCTTCTCTGCCGTTATTCCACCTGTTTTACCTTCGGCTCGAGCATTTTTCGGATTACTGTAGATCTAAAATTAAATCAAACTTTAGATCAGAAAAATGGGCCGCATTAATCAGCGGCCAGAACAAAAAAGCCTAGAACAGTTTTTTCTGAGGCGGCACACTAAATGAAATCACGTCCTGACGTGAGTTGATGGATCGAGGGTAAACAAGGTCAGGGAATGACATTGTTTTAGATGGTTCCGGTCAGAAGGCGGGGTGGGAGGCGACAAAGGGTAATCTCAGTTGAGGGGAAGTGATGGAAATAGAAAATATGTGGAAGAAAATACAGTTAAAAATAGATGTCAACAGTATCGTTAAGATGACGTAATCATATTTGATTTAGTTTTCAAAGAACTTCAAATATAAAATTCAATATTAATTTTTGATGACAATTAGAAATCTGTCACAATCACCTCTGAATTAACTTGGACTCAGAGTCCAAGTAATTAAAAAAGCCACGATCAAAACAATTTCCTCAAAAACAAAAAGAGAACCCAGCTAAAATGAACGACGTTTTATCGGTAATGGAATTTGCATGAAGAGAAATCTTATCACCGATTTTGTACTACCTCCCCGGTGTTTTGGGGTATTATTCAAACATGAAACAATGGCTTTTGGCACGTAAAATAGCATAGTAATGACTGTTTGTTCATCGTTAGGCGAAAGACAAGAATTTTAAAGGAAATCTATATTACACTTGACATCAGATGGAGTAAAATGAAAATGAAGGGGTTTGTAGATAAAATACGAAAAGTGAAGCATTCAGATGGTTCAATCTTTATTTGAGGAGTGCTACAAACTTACGAAGCTTTTTCAAAAGGAACCAAATTTGAAATCAAATCACGTATTCCATACCACGAGATAGGTACCTCATGATAATTAAAGATAATGAAGTACACTCTTATCAACATTCAAACTAACTTACTGCATCCATAACTCAAGACAAAAAGACGAATTCATCTGGCTTAAGACCATTTGGATCAGATTGAAAATAAAGCTCTGGGAAAAGGTTCGAAGTTCAAGTCCACAAATCAACCCGAACCAAGCATCAATTTGAAGTGAAATACTGAAAACCTATTGTCAATGGAATGAATGATTTGAGACAGTGGCATGTATCGTGCGGGGGGAATATTTTGATGACGTGTGTAATAATGTTGTACATGATGAAGATAAAATTATTGTCCGAACACGACAAGGCTTGGTTTTAGTTTGAGGAAATAGACGTAAGCTTGATGGTTTTATTAGTCAAAAAATTTTTTTTTGTCAGGATACTTACTAATCAAATGTTCAAATTTTTCGTCTAGCACACACAGGTTTCATCGTATAAAATGTCTTTTTTATAAAAATGCGGGGAATTTTTCAAAAAAATCTGGACCGGCCGTCCGCACGGAAAACAACGTTGTTTGGAATAGTTTCTCTTTGTGTTATCAGTAAAAATGAACCGAAACGTGGAGATCAAGGCCAAAGTTTCAGACTTCTCCAAGTTTCTGGCAAAAGCTGAAGAAATCTCTGGTCAAAAGCCAATTTTAATACCTCAAGAAGACACCTTTTTCCACTCAAAACAAGGACGACTGAAGTTGAGAGAGTTCCCTGGCAATGATAAGGTAACTGGTTTGGTTTATTCTTTATTGTATGTTTAGAAGCCTGCAGAATTGATTCAATACGATCGGCCAGATGTCTCCGGCCCGAAAATCTCTGGTTTCATTAAGGTGGGCATTGATGAACCAGCTGCATTGAAGGTAAGAAGCTTGGTGAAGACTTTTTGGGCTCATAGATTTCCGTCGTTTTGATATGTACCGTTGTTTTGCCAAAAGTCGTGAGATCTGTCACGTGTAATATAATTTTGTCAATGATTTTTTTATGGAAGTGATGATTATAAGCAAGCTATTTCAGCAAGCTTTGACCCTTTCCAATGGAGTTCTCGGCAATGTAAGCAAGATCCGTTACCTTTTCCTTGTTGGTCAAACTCGAATTCATGCTGATCGTGTTGACAATCTTGGTGAATTTATGGAGCTCGAAGTGTGTCTAAAGGAAAAACAGACTCTCGAAGAGGGACAGGCTATCGCCGAAGCTCTTATGGAGAAGTTGGGTATCACCAAAGACGATCTGATTGAAGGCGCTTATATGGATGCTCTCCTTGCTCCATAGGAGGTGGGAACGGTACCTCTGTTGTTGTTAATTTTTACTTTGTTGCATGATTTACAATCTATTAAACCTACAGTATGATTGCGTCGAATCTTTTCAAGTTTGTGAATTATTTTTGGTTTGAGACCACAATTTCCTCATGGTTAATATAAAAGTTTGTTTTATTTTCTGTAAAATGTTGTGGTGCACCCATTACTAAGTGTCTCTCAAGATTTGGAGGTCCTTTGCATATTACTGGGTTTTAGGTTTGACATCAGCTTGATCCAATATTCACCATGAGGGTGGCAGCCAATTTATCGACAATGTTCAAAGACATCCCATTGCTGGAAAGATATGGAAAAGCTGCAAAGATGGGATTCAAATTGGTCGAACTTCCATTTGGATACACCGAGAAGCCAGAAGATCTCAAAGCTGCTGCAGATCAGAACAATCTTCACCATGTTCTGATCAATGCCAAAAATGATGACAATAAGGGGAAGCTTGGACTGGCTGCGGTGAAAGGGGAAGAAGATTTGTTCAAACAGTGCATTGGAGAGACTATTCGATATGCCGAGGTCTTGGGAGTCAAGGTGTAAGATTTTTTCAAATTTTTTGTTGGCTTCGTATCTACTATAATATAAATGACGCCTTTATTTGAGATTTTTGAGGTCTAATGTCAAGAAATTTACTTGAAAAAAACATTTCAAAGTCACATTCTTAAAGGGTCCATGTTATGGCGGGCGATGGTGATCCTATTAAAGACCTCGACACCTACAAAGTTAATATCCGATATGCGGCTCGAGAGCTGGCTAAGGTAAGTCTTTATGTGATTTCTGATTTTATTGGTTTAGAAAGGGTTTTTATGTGTGATTGAGCCGATTAATCCACATTTCCGATCAACCTATTTTTTGAATTCCTTTGACCAAGCCAAGAATATCATCGAAGAGCTGAAAGAGCCCAATCTGAAGCTTCTTTTTGTAAGTTTTGGTTTCTAAGTAGTAGCAAGGGGCATGACGTGTTTGTTAAAAATTATTTTGGGCGTTGGAGGTGGGCTGATTCTTGTATTTTAGGACGTTTTCCATTGCCAACTGATCTGTGGACAAATAACTTTTCAAATTAACCGCCTTCAGGACATTATTGGTAAGTAATAACCAAGATACGTATCCTTTCTCTATTTTTACTATTGTGATAAAAATAAGAAATGATCCACATTTTTTGAAATTTATTTTAGTCATCAAAATCAAAACCTTTTAAAAAAATTTAATTTTGAAATTCTTAAAAGTTCTGAACTACGATTTATTTTTCGGCCACATCCAAGTTAGCCAACCACCCCATCGAAACGAACCAGATACCGATGGAGAACTGAATTATGAATATGTTTTCCGAGTCCTCAAAGCATTGGGGAAGGACTGGATCATTGGAGGAGAGTATTTTAATGTCAAGGATAATGCTGATTGGGTCAAGAAGTATGGGTTGGAATTCTAAGGACGTTGGGAGGGCCGGAGATCTTAAAATAGAGAATTTTATAGTGATTTCTTACAAAATTTTGATTATTTTATATTGTTCATGTTCATAAATCGATTTATTTAATTTATTTAAATTTTTTTTCCACAGTTTCAACCTGAAACTTTAAAAACAGTAAGTCTAATCTTTGCTCATTTCATTTTCAACTTGTTCCTTTCATTTCCCTCCTAATCCCCACAATTTCTTTTTTAAAAATTAGAAAAATTGAAAAAAAAAATTAAATGAAACCGGTAATGGGACGGACGACCATTTGCGCGACTTTCCCAAAACTTTTCATTTTCATAACGGGGCACAAAGACTCTCGATTTAATTAAAATTATAATTAGAATACCGTTAATTAATTCGTATAAATTTAAATGTTTTTTGTTTCCGTAGGGGTTTACAAAAAGGTTTACTTAGACTCCTTCCCGGTTGCGGCAAGATACTTTAATTGGTATTAACAAAAAACAGTCTGTTTGCAGTAGTCTTTTCGATTACAGTTTGTACAGTTTTGTTTTTCCAAATTGTGGAAAATTTTGTTGTTGGAGAGGAGGGGGGCGATCTGGAATAAAATTAAAATGGGAGGGTCTGGAAGTTCAGGGACGTTAAGGGGAGGTCAGGTTAACGTTTCACGTTTCCGTTACAGACATTCTGCTAATTCAGTTAAAATTCTTTTGTGGTCTGCAATCGAAATTGGTCTAAACAGCAGAAATGGGGACGGAATTTGTACGGTAGACTTTTGGTGTCTGAAGTCGGACTGTGGTATATGCTATGCGTCTCTTGAGCTGACACTTTCGAATATCCTTTCTGACATTTTTGGTCTAGTTGAAGCCGTTGCTTGCCTTGACGTTGAACTCTTGATGGCATCCTTTTCGAATTCCGGCATAAAAGTGGTTGCCTGCAGGTCAGAAGTCCTCAAATCAAAAGTTTTTGGATTAGCTGCAAGACGAGCTGTGCATGCTCGGCCAAGTCCTTCCTCCCCAGTTTCAACCCCTCAGCATGCCGTTGTTTTCCTATCCTCCCCACTTAATTGTGAACGTTCAATTTGTTCGATGCGACTGCTTTTATTTGTTCTGTAACAGTTATTCCGAGTAATGTTTACATTACTTTGATTGAAATGCCATTATCCGTGAAGCGCGATTCGATCGTCGGATTGCATAAACAAACCAGCAACAAGTTTCATTCGCTGCCTGTTCTCACGTCGCTGGAATTATTTTGGTTATTAATTATTCTTGTTACAGTAGCGTCAAATTAGAATCTCTGGTTGTGGAACTGTGAAGCAAAACTCGGGACGTAGTGGTATATGGAGAACAGCTGAGTTCAAGAAATCAGTTTGATTATGAACAGGACATTCGTTTCTGTGATTTTAGGGCTTGTTGTAAGTGAGGTTGTTATTTACATTTGGGGAATTTGTTGGCTACAAAAACAGGGTTTTAGAAAAAATCATCCTTTTATGGGCCAAATTGGGGAGTATTTCATAGAAAAAGTTTTCAAAAAATTGATGGGATTTTTATCGAAAGTTGTTCACTTTTCCAACATTTTTAACGACTCAAATACTGTCCTCATTTCCGCTGATAGAGTTTGAGCTTTACAGCCTTGGATAAATTGACCATTTGTCAAAGCAGTATTGTAAAAGAAATATCTTTCAGCTTCTCTCCGCGGTCAATGGAGACGCCAGCCAAGATGACTGTCAGCCAAATGAAGTCTTCGTTCCTTGCGGATTTTGCGAAGGGACTTGTAAGATGCCGATCGTTGTGAGTTTCGTCCTCCAATTGCCCACAATACCATCTGATGTTTAGATGAACTGCTCCGCCGTTTGTCGTCCTCCCCGTTGCGAGTGCCGAGCCAAACATGGCTTTGTCCGTGCCCATGACGGAGCTTGTATTCGCCTCTCTGAATGCGAAACTTACGTTTCTCCGTTCAAGATGGATCCCCGCCAACTTCTCACCAAACCGAATGTCATCCTCAAGGGCAAAGTGCCCGACCATCAGCCCTCTTATATCTCGCTTCCGGGCGTTATGATGCCAAGTCAAAGACCGGAGGAGAAGAAGAAATCAAAGGATACAAAGGCCAAATCCGATAAGGCTAACTCTGATGACACAACGGAAGAAAAGATTGTAAAAGAAGCCATGAAGGCCGTGGTGGATTCAGATGAAGCTCCGACTCCAGAGAGAATAAGACATAACCATGATAAGGCCAAAATGAATCAACCAATGAAACCGAGACAGAGCGAGGATTCAGAGTCCATTGAAATTACAAAAGAGGAGCTGGAGAAGGCCCGAGTGACCGACAAATTCAATAAAAAGATTAAAGGAGTAACCCCGTTCCCCTTTCACAGCCATAGCGAGGACGACTCGGCCTCTTTGGCTGATAATTCAAAGGATTCTACAAGTCTCTCAACCACAACAGCATCAAAAAATGAAAATCTCGAAAACCGATCGAATTTGGAGCCAAAAAAGTCAAAAAATGAAAATTTGTCGTCCAGAACACAAGTCAAACAAGGGTTTGCCAGTAAAGCTCAATTTCCATTAGATGACAGTCACGGACAGGACGAGCAAATTAACAGTAGCCAACAAAGTCAAGAGAACAAGAGCAATCTTCCAGAGGTTTCGAGAGGAAAAGACTTTGGGACGTTCGACGAAGGGCCTAAAAGTAAATTGCAACAGCCAACGACTAGTACTACTACGATGAGGACCAGCAAACCAGGCCGGCCATTAGGTCAGGACTCGATGGATAGAAGCGAAATGTCAATGGAGAATTCAAGAGCAGCAAGCGGGGAGAATAAAGGAGGAAGAACAACGACCACTACACATAGTTCAAGGTTCAACACTGCGGAGAGTGTGGATGCGACTTATGAAACAGCGGATATGCCGTTGCCACCGTCACCGACTTACAAAGCGAGGCCAATATCAGCGAGGCCTCCGGCAGGTGGGTGATGATATATGTGCCTTATAGTACTCGAAAAAGTCATCATTGATTTAAACGGAGGGCATACTGACTTGTTTATGATTTCCTGGTGATAAGAATACCTAATAGTCGTAAGATCATCAGTCGCTGACAAGTTAATCTCAGAAATTGGTGAAATATGACTTCCCCGGTAGTTTCTGATGGAAACTTTGAGAGCCTGTTAGAATAACTAAAAACTTTATAGGGTTTCTGTATCCCTTGCATCATCATTTTTAGCTGACATTCATCCCCCATCCCCCAAACCCAAGAAGAAGTCTAGGTCCCATAAAAAGCACCATGAGCATAGAAATCAACATGCCTTGGCCCAGCCTTACCCAGAGAGCGACTACATTCTCTACCCTCCAAATGGCTACAGGATTTATCGACGGCGGAGATTCCTCAGACTGAAAGCCCCACCCAAACACTAAATATTCGAAATCGCAAAATATTTTTGACAACACTTACATATTATATCCTCAATTAAGCTTTATTACTTGGATAATATAGACATAAATAAGTAAATCATATATTTAACTTGATGAATAATTGACTGGCCAGTACACTGCAAACAGTCTATGACGTCATAATTCTGGTGACGTCAGGTTTTCCGCGTTTTTCTATCGGCATGTTTCTTGCGGAAATTGCTGTAGAATTTATGCATTTCCCCCAACGTCATAAAGCAAATAACAATGAGGAACGTGATGATCAGAAGATGGCCAAGGTCGACCATTGAGTTGCCCGCAACGTCGTCTTCAACGGTCCTGTGGAAAACTTTATTGGCCATAATTAGAAATCGCAAAGGAAAGGTTGGCCAAAATGAGTGAAAAGAGATTCGAAATGGCTGCCATAATTGGTGGCTATGAGGTAAAAAAGTGAGCCGTAGATGACTGTGAGGCAAAATTTGGACAACGGAGCACAGCTTTGGCCTCACAGCGAAAAAAATTAAAAAAATTTTTCGAGAAATGGTGACTACATATTTTCAAATATTATAAAAAACATCGCTTTATCAAAAGAATTTCCCTAGTTTATCATCTTTTTTTCGTAAACAAAAATTAAAAAAAAAAAAAAACGAAAGCCAGCTTCAAAAAATGTCGTAATCTTATCTAACGGCCAAATATTGGAGACTTGGCCGTTATTTTCATGATTACGTCAATTTTCCATCCGCTTATTACATGAAGCGCACTGTTTTCGTCTCTTCAAGTGGTATATGAATGGATTGAAAGTCGAACCAACGACTGCCAAAACGCACCGCTAATGAGTTAGCCACCAGACTACTCGAGCACGAGTCCGCTTCTTTGCTATTTGGTGGTATAGGGAGGAAATTCCAGAAAGTTGTAAAGGCACGTCCAAAAAGTTTTTTCCCTATTCGCCTCTCCTCATTTTATATACTCTCTCGTCTGCGAATATCAGCTTCCCTTGCAAAGCCCAATTTTCGTCAGGGACCCCAGGCAATACACAGGCAAAATTTGAACGGAAACCGACGCCAATTGTTTAAAAATTTTGGTTTGATCCATCTGAACCATGCGTCCAAGATTTGACGTAAATCAACAAGCACTTTACATATGTCTTGTCAATATTTTTATAAGAACGTGTTCTATCAAAAACAAGACAATCTGGCAAAAACAAAATCCATTATCTCTGATTTATTCATCCTTCGGCCATCAAAAAAGATCAAACAGACTTTGGTCCTAAACAACAAGTTGATTGGCCCCGATTCCAAATTCTGTTGGTCCTTCCCCCACTCATGCAATGCCCTTTTCTTTATCGTTTATTTCTCATCGTCATGGATGTCTTCTTGACTAAATTCTCATCACTTTCCTACATTTACAACCTCATTTCGATACCTGGATGTCTTTTGGAGGGGCTCTTTACTTTGTTGGTGCTATTTCACACCCCAAAAGATATGCTAATTTACAAGCACACAATGCTGAATACGTCTGTTTGGTCGCTTTTAATCATCGTTCATTTGACGCTGTTTTTTCGACCGGTTACATTTCTACCTCTCCCGATTTGCGCTGTAACCGGACTGGCCCAAGTTTTCGGCCGAACCTTTGCCTCTTGCCAGTTTCTGGTGGCCTTATTTCTAATCGCCAATAAAAGTATTTCTCTGTTTCTTTGTGTGGCGGCCAATTATGTCAGTTTGACGTTCCCACTCTACATAAGAACCATGACGTATCGAAAAGGAATCATGATTTTCTCCGCGTTTCATAGTGTTGTGTCGCTGTTGATGTTGTTGTCAGCGTACATGTCTTATGCCGATAGAGAGGCGCTAAATCGGGTAAGTAAAGTGGATAAGAAGAATTCCTTTTTGATGAGGCTATACTGAAAAAACTTGACAAAGTTTAAATTAGAATTCATTCTTTTGGTTATAATGTTTCAAACATTTTTTGCAAGGAAATCTCACAAGTTTTACAGCGCCATGGAAAACCAATTGCACTATTATTATAACTCTATCTTTAGCATGAAATAGTGAACAAGCTCCAAATGATGTACCCCTACAATTACGACGACATTTTAAGCATCACCAACAACTCTGTTGTCATCGGAGTCAGGCGGAACTCGCTGGTTTCGTTTTCCTCCGGTTTTTTTCTTTTCCTCTCCACTCTTTGCATTGTTCTCTCCCTCACTCTAACCTTCCTCTCTGTCAAAACTTTGAATCGCTCTATGACGCGTCGCCCTTCCCATTCTTTTATCACCCTGAGGCGGCGTCTGAAGATCATGTTAATTGAGCGATCTATAGTCCCCATTCTAACGTACTCACTGCCAATTACAATCGCTGTAGCGATTATTCATTTCGATCTTATCGAAGTATCGGGATGGATTCAATGGCTGATTTTGACGTCAATTGCATCGCCGTTGATTTGTAATACGATTGTAATGGGTACGCTGGAACCATTCAGAAAAGTGATGAGGAAGGTGTTGAACTTGGAATGGAAGGTGCTGTTCAAGGAGAACTCTTCGGGTGAGTTTTTTTCTGGTGTTTGGAGAGAAAGATTGCTGCACTACATTTCTCGGTTTGCAAAAAAACATTCTAGTCATCAATATCGCAATTTTTTCGGTTGTTTGCAGATCCCGCCGAGATATTCGACAAAGACCATTGATAAAAGAAAAATTTGTTGGAATTGTCATCAATTTTTTTAACAGATTTTTTCTAATAAACTTAATTTTATGCTAGGTGGTTACGGCCGGCCTTTCAAAAACTTTCCGCCCGGGCTTTTGATTTGTTCTTTTCGAATGAAAATTAAACTTTACCGCCTTTTTGTTTTTGAAAAGGTGAAACTTTTGAACCTTTACTCTTTTTTGGCCTTAAAAATTCGGCGGTTTCTGCAAAGCGAACACTAAAAAATCTCGAAAAGCCCTTGGTCTACACGATTTAATCTTTTCGCAATCAATAGTTTCATCTGAATTAAAGCGCCGCCCTGACTTATGTATAGTGATATCAGCCTACATTTAATTTCCCCCTCTAATCTTACTTCAGCGAAATTGCAGCTGAAATGTCATCGGAAACGCCGCCTGTTACCTATGTCACTTATTGTCAAAATTAACGCAGCAAGTTATTGTATTTTCCTCATTAATTCGTTCTTAACCCTACAATAATAAAAAATTTCAGATTCCGAGCTCCGCCGTAATCCCTTCAGTATTATAATCTGGCCAATGTCTCCACTTCCAAGCCGTGCTCGACTAAACGTCATCAAATAAGAAGGATAATATTTATTTATTTCAAATCAGTAGCATATTCTGAGTCCCAATCCCTCTCGAAGATCTCTCGCAAATCTTTTACAATTTTACTTTCGGTCCGCGCGTCCTCACTTTTCATTACGATCGAAACTCCGCCGGTGTTTATGAAGTAGTCTGCCGACCAGTTCGATGTGCCTGTGGATGATATGTTGTACTCGGTGTTAAAAATAGATAAAAATTTTCGAACTTTGAATAATTTTTCAAACCAAAAATAATTTTTTTGATGCTTTTCGATAACAAATACCAAAATTTTCAAAATTATTTTGAAATTTTCAGAAAAAATCTGGGGACATAAAATTTGAAATTCAAATTTTTTAACGAAAGAAACTTACAAACAGTCGCCGTGTAATCAGAAATCATATACTTGGCGTGATTGACCCTCGTGTATGGAATGGTAACATTATACGGTGGGACTTGGAACACCTTCACTTGAATCGACCCCTTTGTCCCTTCCTTGCATTTCTTGGCGTTTCTGTCAAAATCACAAGGCAATGTGGAATCCAGCGCTGTTAACGACCTCAGATGCGCCATGACGGCGGCCCGAGTTGAAGGCCACTTGCTGATTAAGATTCGGACCTGAACACGTCGATCGTAGGCAGCTCTTCTCAGGGCGTCGTCGATGTTGGGCCAGTAACTAAAATTGTTTCTATAATCGATTCAGCAGTCATCGGTTAGCTCCGATGTATCGCGATCTCTATTTCCTTCTCTTCAGCAAATTTAAGTACGAAATCACAAGATATAGGCGTCGCAACTTCCTACTCTGAATTGATCTCTGGTATAACACCATAAAATACTTGGGTGTGGCATCCAACATTTGATACGCCCTATTTTCCGCGGACCACAAAAGTCATCAAATCATAATACAAAAGCTGCACAAGGAACTTACTAATTGTGGGGATTATAAAAGGTGGCCGGGGCATAGTCCATAACTGATATGTAGACATATTTTGTAGCAGCATCGATGTTGCGAACAATCGTTTCTCCGTCATGCTCCCTACCGACAGGGGCAAAGCTTGGAGGGGAGGTCTGAAAACAATATATGCATTATTTATAATTTTTTGCGTTCAAAAACCTCAAAAGCTGGAGTTTTGGTTATTTCCAAGCATGAAACCAAAGCGACTTCTACAAAAAACTTACAGTAAGATACATCAAGGCGTTTTCTCCCTCAACCCTTGCTGAAATTGGGTTTCTCTCGTTGTTTGGCACGGCATAATCAGCCGGCCAAATCCCGGGAACTCTTGCTCCTGGCACTCCAAGAGTCCAATAGACTTCAAAAATATTCTTGAGATCGGCCGCCACACATGGGCAATCTCTGATCAAAACCCCCATCTCTTTCACCTAAAACAATATAAATTTATTCACAAATTATGTTTTAGAGGTCCCAATAAAGTTACCTGAGTAAGTGCTCTCCAGTCATGATTTGCTGAGCCCAGATATAAATCCCTGTCATCAATAATCCAGAATTTTGTATGAAGAATTCCAGCTCCGACCAAGGCGGTGAAATTAAGTGATCGAACCTCGGCCAAGCCGGCTTTGGCAAGGTCGACAGTCTCTGGAAAGACTCCTCGATTCCCATCTTGAGCTATCCGGAGTTTAACTCCTTTGCTAGCCACTTCTTTCAGTTTGTTGTAGACATCTTCTCCCTAAAGTCAACAGCCAATGCCAAGAATAATAGAAAAAGTCTCTAAAACGTTGTAATCTTACTTCTTTAGCACTAGGGTCATTATCGGTAAAATTATTTCCAGTATTTTTAACCAGTAGTGACCAATACATAGTACCAATATCGATCGATTTATTGGCTGAATCCATCAATTCCATCCAAGATTCATACGTTGATCTGAGTCGTTTTACCTTCAGACCTTCGTATAATCCAACGGGTAATGACTCCACTAGCTCATATTTGCACTGATCGCCACAAGGGACCAGTGGCGGGATCACCGGCGTTAATGTTGTAGTAAGTGGAGCTGGTGTTGTTGTACCAACTTTCTCGTCATGTTTATCGATATTCGGCTTCACACCAACAAAATAGGCCTAAAATGAATTTATTGGGATAATAAGAAAATCTAAACGCTATAAAAAAAACTTTTGACACTAGTTATATTGCACTTGGTTCCTTACTGTAAGCCAGACCGAAGAGGTAGCCAAAAAAGTAATTAAAACACTGGTAATAACCAAAACTGTTTTAGACGCCATTCTCAATAAACTAAAAACACATTGGAGACCAATATCAATGCTTAAAAAGTAGTATTTTAATTCCAAATCGCAGCTTTAATAGACAAATTTTTTTGGTCTCTTATCAGATATGAATTACGATTTGGAAATTGTCAGAGAATTCTTTGTTGAAATGAAACTTGTAGTATAATTGTGCTTATGTTAGAGATTTTTTAGTTCACTGAATTTGTTATTTTTATTTTTTGTTTGTATAAGTATCAAAAAAGAGAGAGAAAGAGCAAGTTGGAAATTGATAAAAAGAAGATTACTTTGCAGCAGAAATTTGTTCAAAAGGCGTATTACCCTCTAAAGACATTAGAGAAAGAACGATTTGCGATTGGCCAAGAAAGTATTACATATTTTTCGACACATTTTATATTACACATGAGACCAGACGTTTTTCATGAAAAAATCTTACAAAGAAATATTATAAATACAAGCTTACTATTGCCAACGGGCAATTGGAGGATGTTAGTGCCAGAAAGGTCCTAGAATATTCAAATTCACAAAATTCCGACAACTGTACAGGGGTGGTCAGCGGGCCGGGCTGGCCCGGCCCGGCCCAAACGGGCCGGCCGGCCTCAAAAATGGAAATTGACAAACGGGCCGGGCCCGTCTAAAATACAATGCCAAACCGTTGGCATTCATTGTTTTCGCGCCGGGAAAATTAATTGATGTTGTTATAGTTGCTGTTTCTCAAGTTCTAAAACGTTTACAAGTCTATAGTTCAATTATAGAACCACAAAACTATCACATTGATCCTTTACTAGCTAGATCAACGCCTTTTTTGCCTCAGTTTAGATCCCGAGCCTGGGCGCAGTTCGCAGAACCCTCTATAGACGGGCCTGCACGGGCCGGGCCGGGCCAGGCCCGTCACGGGCCGGGCCGGGCCGGGCCTGGAAAAAGACTAGACGGGCCGGGCCGGGCCGGTCAATTAGACGGGCCGGGCCGCGGGCCGAAAATCGGAAAAATAGGGTCCCTGACCACCCCTGCAACTGTAATATCAGGGAAACACTTGACCCAAGGTGTCATAACTCGCATTTTTCTCAAATGATCTCCATCCCGAGATTTTTCTCTTTTGTCCAGCCGAATTGGTTTTTATTTGTGTTGTCGATTGGAACATCAAATTGAAAAACATGGCGGACAAGGACGAGTTGCTACCCACGTCCTCCGAAGCCCCGAAAAAAGGGGAGGGCGGAGAAAAACGCGAAAACAAGGAGAAACAGCCGGAATCCAGTGAGGAGACGGACCCGGCAATGGCCGGAAAGCTCCCTAATATCTACAATAAGTTTGTTCAGAGCTTTGAGAATGCCCTGAACACCTTGACAAGTAAGGAACTTTGTTGATTCTTCTTATTTTAGGTACATTATTCCTTCAAAACACTTTATTTCAGATGAACCAGAGCCTAAATGTCCTTTGAAATCGTTTGACTTGTCAGGAGTTGCCGATTTTATTCGTACCAAAAAGGCTAGGAATATTATTTTTATGGTTGGAGCAGGGATTTCGACGTCAGCTGGAGTACCAGATTTTAGGTCCCCGGGGACAGGATTGTACAGTAATTTGGATAAGTACAAGCTACCCGATCCACAAGCAATATTTGACATTGATTTCTTCAAAAACACCCCTGAGCCTTTCTATAAATTAGCCAGAGAACTATTCCCCGAGACATTGAAGGTGATTATGATTTGTTTTACTTTTAGGTACCTTTTCGTGTTTTTGTTTCTTAATAATCTTAAATGTGTTTTCAGCCAACCCCTTGCCATTACTTCATGAGATTACTCGACGAGAAAGGATATCTTCGAAGGATTTACACACAGGTGAGTCTAAAATCCCTAAATTATGTTTTTTTTTCTAGAATATTGACAGTCTTGAATGGGTCGCCGGGATAAACAAAGATAAAGTTATATATGCACACGGGTCGCATCAATCGAGCACTTGTCTCAAGTGCAAAAAGAAGTATACTTTGGAGTGGATCACAGAATTTTTGAGCCAAAAAGAACCGTTAGTCCCACTATGCTCATGCAAAGGAATAATCAAGCCAGATATTGTCTTCTTTGGAGAAAATTTGCCTTCTAAATTCTTTACCTCAGCAATTAATGTGAGTTTTATTATACCTGTGTTTTGACTTTTAGGATTTCCCCAAATGTGATTTATTGATAATCATTGGTACAAGTCTTGTTGTAAATCCGTTTGCATCGATGATTAATGAAGTTTCCGATGAAGTACCTCGATTGTTAATCAATTTGACGCCAGCGGGGAAGCTGAGTAGAAGAGAAAGAACTCATGGACATAGTGGACTTTGTTACGGAGAGAAGGATAATTTTAGGTAGGTGTTCCTTACATAAGATATCGTATCCAAATTTAGAATGCCTTTTTATGAGGCTGAGATCGAAGAAAGACAATATTTTATACAGTTGATCTCACTTATTCCCCAAAACTATTTCGTTTTTCGGAGATTGGGCTTGTTATGCAATTCCGCATTTAACTGGATGCATTTATTTGGCCCATGGGAAAATAATTTTGAGAAGGGAGGCGTCAGAATTCCATTTCACAAATTCTCCATGCCCCGGATTCTGTTGGCATAAAAGAGTGTGAAATAACGGAAAAAGCAATGTAAGATTGAATAGATTCGATTTAAAATGACCGAAAATCCCTTACGAAGCCGTTTTTTCCGTTCTCTTTGCAAAAAAAACGATTACGTCATCTCCGTTCCTTGCTTTTACATGGGTTTCCTCAAGGCCAATTTGAAAGTTTTGTCCCAAATTCTTGTTCCTCCGCGGACTTTTGGGGATTAATTTGGCGCTTTAGGGATGTCTTCTGGAAGGGCCGTGCCGACGATGGAATCTGGGAATTGGCCGAACTTCTTGGTCTCAAAGAAGAACTCCATCATCTAATACAAACAGAACACATGAAAATCGACCGAAAAGCGACTGAAAAGTCAAATACTGTGCCAAAAAAGAACGAGTAGAAATTAGCAAGTGCTAAGACTCATGTTTATAATATAAATATTTTATTTTACAAGTAAATATTTGATGAAAACAAAAACGCCCATAAATATTGCTGAAAATATTGAAAATGATATGTCATCGAAGAATGACTGAGTGTTTAAAGTTCAAATACCGAATCAGCCGGGCCTCCCGATCCGTAATCCCCGTGAAACCGAGCAATCTTTTGGGCATGGGAAGAAACTTGGAATTGATTGTGCTCATTGGAACGACGGTTAAGTCCAACGCCGAGGAGGTCAGCACTTTGACACCAACGGTTTGCATACAACTAAAATAAGGTACAATTTTAGAAAAAGTTGAGGAATCGGACAAACTTAATATAAATTGTTGTCAAAGATGGAAATATATTGACTTGTAAGACAACATACCTGCTTAACAAGCTTATTGGATCAGGGTGTGACTCGTATTTGCATGCAGTATCATTTAAATATCCCTTCTTGATAAAGTGTTTCGCTGCGGAATTAGAGATGACAAGGATTTCCTCGGCGTTTAGCTGAAATTTCAAATGTAACTTTAGTTTTTTTTTCAAATTTAGTAAGATGATTTTTGATTTCAGATACAATTGTGACATATTACAATGAAATTCACTTGTGTAACATTAAAAAATCCCATTTCAAAGATATCCAACGGAATTTCAGAGATTAAAATTCTACGACATTCAGTTATTTGCAATGCAATGTAAACAACCATTGGAAACTTCAATTACGGATAACAATTGGCCTTGTGACGTCGACCAATTCCTTGTCAACAAAATTTAATCCCCCGTTTTGAGTGAAAAAACTGATAAAAGCAGACAAAAGGGATTGGAATCCAAGGCCCACCTTATTACTATCGAATCTGATAAGATACGGCTTTCTTGGGTCCAATCTGGACAAAACTCCGCGCAAAGTGGGAACACTGATGAAGATGGAGGTCCGAGAGATGAGATTCCACTCCAAGTTGAGGTCATTTACCCGTTTTATCATCTGAAGGAATCGCCAGAAACCCGGGTTGGAGATCCGATCGAAATGATTGAATAAAGTGAGATAAGGCGCTTCCAGATCGAGGGATCTGGACGAATCCAGCTCAACACGGTCACATTCGTGAAGCCAGGTGTCGTTTAGAGTCTGGTAGTCTTGCTGAAAGCGATTTTAGAGGCGAAAGTTGCGAAAATTTTATTTTCTTAAGGATTTTACAACCACTGAGTGTCTAATATGTCTCAAATCTCACCTGTAAAAAGCTCTCGGTCCCGTCGACATCCACAAAACATCCCAAAAATCCTCGATTTACAGAAGTGTCCAGTTGTTGCGAAATCTTTGGAGGCTCAGAAATGTAATGCAAAAACCTGTAGATTGGAAAATTAATGCATGTTTGAGTACTCAAATGCGTGACAAATTTTTTGTACTATAGAAAAACAAGTGATAATTGGCGCACTTTGAATAGTGAGCTCCGAACCACAAATTACGAGTAATTACGATACAAAAACGGTAATTATTATGGCTAATTACATACATTCATCGTGGTATTTGAAAAAATTGTAAAAGTTAGTAGTTGGTATAAATTTAAACTGCGATCAAAAAGGGAAACAATTATAATCAAAATGAATTTTGAGTAGGAAAGATGAAAGTAAATTTTAAAAAGTAATGCAACTTACTCTCGAAACTCGTCGTTACTTTGTATCCTGAAAATACTTTTGGAGTAATGCCGAACCAAGAACATGTAGATCAAGGTGACCACCATGATGATCACCAGGCCCGCCTGGATGCACGCTTTCACCGGGAATCCACATTTGGTCGGGATACCCGGAGGCTGCGGAGAGTTGGGATTGGACTTGACTGATAACAGAGGACTGGTATGCACCGTCATCCTACATTATTTTAGCATCGTTCTGGGAGAGGAAGATGAGGGAATTGAGCTGAGATTTGCGGGGAATAAGGGGGGATTTGGCTGAAAATCGGGTTAAATGGGGGAAAATTGATTTGTTTTAGGATAAGTCTCGCGGAAAACAAATATTAAAAAAACTGGCAAAACAATTTATTTGCAATTTCCAGATTTTGACTCCATTTGTAAGAAATGGAATATTTGTGTAGTAAAATTTACTGAAATATCAAATGTTTTACAGTCGGAAGTTGTAAAAAAAAGCGATTTTTGGAATGAAAGGTCTGTTCGAAGTGGGATGTACCATCTTCGATTTTTCCAAACAAAATTCAGTGCACTTTTTGTGAAAAATAGCCCGAAACGCCCCCAAAATACCTGTCTGTCAAGCACAAAAAATAATGATGTGATTCCTTCCCACCTCGTTCACATTCTCACCCTCAATGAGAAAAGAACTCGTTTAGTGAAAATGTCGGTATTAATTTTGATGATTACAATATCCCATATGAGGGTTTCTTTCGGAAAAGCCGTCTTTTTTCCCAAAAAATTCGTTTATTGTCGCCATAAATCTGTTTGACGAAACACGTTTAAAACTACGGAATACGCAAATGTCTTCCGGCCACGGCGCGATGATGAAACGAAACCGGCCAGATTGGGTTTCACAGATTTGGCCGAAGCAATCTTTCCTCTTTGTCTGACGGAAAGAGAGGTGTTCCAAAGTAGAAAAGAAACGGAAAAGGAAGCAGGTATCAACGGAAGAAATAGGATTTTTTGAATGATTTAAGAAAATTGAAATTGACTTACAATAAAAATTTATTTTTTTGTCCCTAAATTTTCTTTAAGTTTTGGTCCGAAAGAAAAAATCGTTTTTTGCTATTTCTTTTCGAACCATGCTCGGAAAAAATGCTTTTTTAGACGTCGTATGTTCCTCGAACACACAGTAAATTTGCGGTTCAAACATCGCAAAAATAATTTTTTGATGACTCCACTGTAATTCAGGTACGTTGTGGGAAATATTTTCTTTATAGTAATGGCTGACTTAGCCTCTTACTTTTACATAATCGACCAAAAAAAGCGAGCAAGACACATTTACATCCCCATAAAGACAAAAAAATTATCCGCCAGCGGTGAAAGCTGTGGCTTTATCAGTATTGACAGTTCTAAAAGCGTTAAGAACAAATTTCCCAAGTTTTGTTGACTTTTTCTTTTATAATACGATTTTTTACAACTCATTAAAATTGTAAACCGTCGGATATTTAATGAGGAAAAAGGAATTACCAGATTTCTCATTACTTTTTAGCCCCTAGCTTCACAAACCGTCGAATACTCGTTACAATTGTCTGAAAAATAATCCAGTAAAGAAAATCTCCGGAAAAATTGGCGAAAGTAAATTAAGAGAGCGATTAGGAAGCCGTACGAAGTAAAAAGGAGGCCATGACAACCAGTGGTTCGAAAACTGAAGGTAAAGTCGAAAACAGGTAGAAAAGGCGGGGGGAGGGGTGAGGAGGAAGTTTGGCCCTAATTGGAGGTACACAACATACAACAAGACGTGTGTTTTGTCCGTTTTGTAGGGGAATCGGAAGTAAATGAGATGTAGATGGGTGGGAAATGGGATAAGGCATCAGGTTTAGATTTTAAATGATACTGAGGCAAGTGCAAAATTAAAATATACGAAAAGACTTTGGTTAAAAATTAAGCCGATAGACGAAAATATTATGGATTTACAATATTTGGGATATCATTTTACACCGATTTTATGGCCTTTTCAGGGCCATTTTTATATTATCCATGACCTCAAAATTCTGAAACAATAATCTAGAATAAAAATTTCATTATGAAACTTTTTCGAAAATTTTATATTTTCTTTCCAAAAGATCCATCCTCAAAATATGTAGAATCACCAACTAATACCTGACATTCAGGTCTCTACGCACAGAAAAATTCCCATAAAGCCAAAAAGTATCGGAATTTTTATTGGCCGTCCAAACATTCCCCATCCATAATATTGGCGGTTGTCTGGAAACCGATGGAGTAATGGGGTGTTGTGGCGAGATAGCGGGATTAATAAATAAAAGGGCTTGTGAACGTTGGTCATTACGATTTCCAGGACATAAAGTTGATTTTTCGTAGGAAAAAATTGTCTAAATTAAGGGATTATTTGAAAAATTATAAAAATTTTGAAACCCTCAGACCAATTGTCATCAGTTTCAAATCAAAATTCCCACTCCAGCCTTTATTATCCACCACGTGTATTTTCCGGCTTGCACCCATTTTAGATGAAGTCATGAAATCAGAAAAGCCAAATGGGCCATGCAATCTCGCCTTTAATATACCTGTTTTCCTCGTGGAGAGTAATTTCTGGCGACCTCACAGGATTTTGGCCAAAAATGAAATTGTTTATGACCCTAGGAAATGTGTTGCTTTCGGAGGGTTTTGGCACAAAAATAGTATCAGTCTGTCGGAAAAATAACGGCGGATCGTCGCAGCAAAATGTCTCGCCTCGCCGCTATCGCGCACCAAATCCCAAGCCGCGGCTTGCAGTCACAAAGCGATGATGAGCGATTCCGAGGCGCGACGATCCGCCGTTATTTTCCCGACAGACTGATAAAAAAAGTTGTACTCTGCGGACAAAAAAAATTTATGTGTAACAAAGTTGGAATAAAAATGGCTGTAAAATTTAAGAAGTAGTACACATAAAGTGTATAAACAAAGTCTTGGCCCTGTAATCTCTCAGCAAACCGTGTAAATATCAGGTAATCTCTCTTTATAACATTCTCAACCCTCATGCCTTCATAATTCTCCTATCGTTATGCCCTCAGGGTTTTATCGAGAGTCTTTGGGTAATGGCCTAACCAATAATTTAGGCCAAAATTGTATATGTAGAAAGGTGGTCAAAGAAATATATTATTACAATTAGAAATGGAACTTTCGAATAATTTTAGTGTTGATACCAGCAATACGACGTTTAAACGGGCATTAATAATACTATATTACAAGGTACGAATGAATTTGTAATCCAAGAAAACGTCTCAAGTTTCAGAGACGTAAAATGATTTCGATAAAACAATGTAGACCAAAACATTAGTATGTAAATTTTTGGTTTATATGTAAATCTTTAATAACTGTTTGCATTTCTGATGGGCGAATTATTTTGCTGTGGAAAGGTTCATTCGGTATTTGAATTGGAAATTGCAGACAGTGGTTTAATAATCGGTGAGCAGCTGAGAATTAATGTAAACTTTTTTGCATAAATAAAGGCTTCCGCTGGGAAAATAACAGAATCCTGAGGGGTTCTAACGAGTTCGTGGAATTTGCAAGGCTTCGGTCTGCAAAAATTTTTGAGGATTTTTTAAAAAATTGGGAATTTTTTACTACAGTGAGGGACCGGATCCAGTGGCAAAAAACGTCTCCAAACCCTTCCCTTCTCTTGGCTAAAAAACTCCGCTTTGAAAAGCCCGCCTTGAAGGAAAGGGCGCGCTTTTCAAAACGGAGTTTTTTAGCTTAGAGAAGGGAAGGGTTTGGAGACGTTTTGGTCCCTTCCGGGATGCAAAGTGGGACGTTCTTCGCCACTGGATCCGGTCCCTCACTGTATGTGATTTAGATACCTCAAATTTGAGTTGATCGCTATTGTTCTAACATACACGAGAGTTTGACTGGACATGGGCTTAAATTCCTATAATGTTTAGGTCAAGTTGAATATAATGTTTAGGTCAACGCAGAGTAGAAAATGTCCCCAAGAATAAAAAAGTAATGAGTCCAACTCGTTTTTCCTCCGATCGGCTCTCCATATTTTGCATGATCTCTAGAAAAAATAGAAGAAAACTTCATACCAAAAATGGCAATCAGGGGTGGTCAGCGGACCCTATTTTTCCGATTTTCGGCCCGCGGCCCGGCCCGTCTAATTACCGGCCCGGCCCGTCTAGTCTTTTTCCAGGCCCGGCCCGGCCCGGCCCGTGCAGGCCCGTTTATAGAGGGTTCTGCGAACTGCGCCCAAGCTTGGGATCTAAACTTAGGCAAAAAAGGCGTTGATATAGCTAGTAAAAGATCAATGTGATAGTTTTGTGGTTTTATAATGGAACTATAGACTTGTAAACGTTTTAGAACTTGAGAAACAGCAACTATAACAGCATCAATTAATTTTCCCGGCGCGAAAACAATGAATGCCAACGGCTTGGCATTGTAATTTAGACGGGCCGGGCCGGAAAAAACCCCAGGCCCGCGGCCCGGCCCGGCCTGGCCCGTGACGGGCCCGGCCCGTTTGTAATTTTCCATTTTTGAGCCCGGCCGGCCCACTGACCACCCCTGATGGCAATCGTTTTTTCCAAATTTCCTCAAACACTTGGAGTTCTTTCCACATTAAAGAAGTCCTTCAAGACAATCCTATAATTGTGCAATTTTAGAAAATGAAACCAACTACATGCATCATCCGGCCCTAAAAAACAAATGAAACAAACGATGGGAAATTAGAAAATTAATATTTCTGAAACACAAACTTAATGGGGCTTACAAGAAATATGGGGTGGCACGTCAAAAGTCCAGGACCAGAAAGGGTCGAAAGATGAGAGTGAACGCAAAAAAAGTTTTGTAAAGATACAGAAGTGAGGTGAGACATTGAACCAGACTCCGAAATAAGTGGACGGTGGCTAGGAAATTAAAATTACATAACTTTTTTTTGGGTTAATTTGGCGGAGCTCAAATTTACAAGGAAATTCTCCTGAGTTGCACACTCAGATTTTCTGTCGTACACACATTGGGTTGGAAAACTGTAATTTTAATTTTTCCCATGTTTCACTAAAATTATCTTCCGAATGTCATACTTTCCAACGAGACGGCGAACAATGCATTGCTAATTTCCCCTTGATACGAAGGGAGATCATTGGTTCGAAGCTCAACTTTTTTGAACGATCAAAGTATCAAAAGTTCTTCTTCAAAACAAAATGTTAAAAAATCATCAATTCGTAGTTGGTTTTAATCCCATAAAGACCGAAGCCTCGGCCACTAAGATCTCTCTCTTTCCCCATGTAAAAGGCATAAGGGCAATCTATTTATTGAGGGCGAATTTTCATTTCCGGCTCCGAATGGGCGAAGAAACGAAGCCGATGATAAAAGGGGGGCCGGAGAAGAATGGAGGCCCTCAGCCCCGCCGTCCTAAAACGAATTTCACACCGGCCCATCCGTCAAACGCGCCTTAGGGCCGCCGACGCGGATTCTGATGACATTCGGCGTACGTTCATCATCCTAATTAGATGACACGTTTGAGATTAGTCTTCGTGACGTCGTTGCAACGTCGTTTGGGTATAGGGGAGATTTGACGAGTTTGGAGAGGAGATTGGAGGGTTTAAGTGGTGTTTGCAGTGAAAAAGCAGGAGAGTTTGTACGTGATAATAGGATTGAGGGTTATTCTATTAAAAGGAGATGTCATTGAACATGTTACGCACTTGTTTACGCTATCCATATTCCATTAAGGTAATGTAGAAATTTCACTTCTGACTTAAATTTCTTGGCCCAGTTTGCAACGTTCGGAATGAAAACTTAGCGTATAAAAAAGCAAGAAATTTTCAAATTGCAGTTAGTTCCCAGTTTAAACGGCATTTATGAGTTGTACTCTAACTACTCCTTATTTATTCAAGTACAACGTAATTGAACGTTCGCGAAGACCAAACTTATCTCTTCCCAATTCACCGGCGACTTTCCGTTGGATCCTACGAATCTGAAGTGTGTATACACGGCAATAACGACACAAATAATTTCGCACTTTTATCCATAAAAACCAAAAAATATTCCATTCAAAAATTCCGAAGTCCAAGTTCAATTTTCCGTTGCTATTCGAGACTCCAGGACTTCAAAAACTCCCTTTATACAATATGCTAATCATCTCATGTCCAATTCCAATGCTTAGTATGTCAAAATATTTATTTTAGCGTTAGATTACAGTATTCTACAGTGAAAGAAAGGTACCCGTATCAACAAAAGTAAAGAAAAGAACCGATATAGAAAGAAACGAAGAGACTTCTTGCAAATTCAAGATGTATTTTGTCCATTTCTTCTTGTTAGAAAGTAGTATCAACAGTTTGAATTATCAAAAAGACCGGAAGGGGATCAAACTTGGAGAATTAAAGCGACTGGCTGGGATGATAAGGTCGGATAAAAGAAGCGGTCTACTGGCCATTACTTGAGTCGGAAATTGTCGACGTGTCCATTGAAGCCACTTGGTAGTTGTTTTTTATCTGAAATTTAAATCATAGGTAATATTTACATAAAACTTGACAAGCACAGTATAAAAAAAATCAAGCATGATCTACAGTAGTTTTATACAACTACAAGAGGCCAACTTCACAGCATCTACAAGCTTTCAACATCGAAAAGATTTATTGTACCTGGTAGGCTAAAGTCAACATAATTGTTTTCGTGAAAGCGACTATAAAACGCAATACAATATCTATAAAGCTATATGCACCTTCACAACATCCACAAACCTCCAACTCCGCAAAAATCAGTAAAAATTTATATTATCCATGACATTTTGGTACCACTGATAAAAACAATCACCCAACAGTGACAAGTAACTCTCCAAACGGCAATAGAACCAACCACAACTAAGTTTACTACCAAACAACCTCATTCTACTATGTCTAATCTACCTTTACTGGTCATAACTGGAGAAAATCATGTTCTCAATGTCCATTAAACGACTCACACGTGCTTCCTCGGCCACATTGGCCAACTAAAAAACAATTCAGTGGGTGAAAATTTCAGTAATCTCTTTGTGAGTTCAATAATACACCTGTTCCTAACCAAAATCCCTCATGAACAACATTTATATTATCCCTGACCTACCTCTTTACTTGACCGATGTGCCACATCTTCCAGTAATGATGCCGCATCAAACTTCTTTTCCCTCCGGAAGATATTTGCCATCTGTTTCAATGCCGGGAGAACGCCAGGAACTTCTTTCATGACCAGGACACACTTTTTTACATGTTCATCATCAACTGATGGATCCTTTCTTTTATTGATTTCTCGATCTTCTGCTACATCCAGAATCGATGTTGTTGGAGCTCCGAACTTTTTCTGGTGCGCGGCCAAGATCATTTCTCTGTATTTCACTTCAGCTTCCTATAACAAATATAAATTTAGATATCACTTAATATAAATTTTCAAATTAATATTCCGTATTCAAAAGTAAAGCCCTTACTTGTATCCTTCCTTGTTTGATTAATGCCTGACATAGTTGTGTCTTCGTTTTCAGTGAGTTCTGATCCATGGGACCACCCCTTTTTTCATAAATGTCCAAAGCTTGTTGAAAGCTGTTCTCTGCTTCCGCATACTTTTTAAGGCCGATTTGTGCCGTTCCTAGGGTAATCAAGAACTTGGCGACTTCCGGATGGTCTGCTCCTTGTATGCTCTTCCTCAATTCCACCGATCTTGATGCATAAGTTTCGCTATCCGCAAATCTTCCCATCTTTCCAAAGAGAACTCCGATTGTGCTCAAGGTGCATGCGACGATTGCTGATTCCGCGCCAAACACTTGTTCTCGGATCTGGAGGGCATTTTTCAGGAAGACGATGGCCTCCTTGAACTTTTTTTGCTCTCTGAAAATAAAAAATAGTGTATATTAGGCATGACACAACAAAAATTTTTAAAATATTCAATTCCTATTCAAAATCCCTAAAAAAATCGGTCCAAAACTCACTTGTAAATAATAGCGAACAGATATAATACCGTAGCGTAGTCGGCACTCTTCTCTCCTCGTTCTTTCTTCACTCTCTCCATATATTTTTTGGTGGCGCTGATGGCTGGATCGAAATTTCCTTGTGCGATAAGCTGGTTTATCTGAAAATAAATGCCATTGTTTTCCATGAGCCTCCTTCTATTACAGTTCTAGATTCCAAAAATAATTTTACACTTACCAAAGAATAGAGATTCTTCAAGTCAGTTGGGGCGTCATCCAACGCCGATATTGAAGCCGAAGTGACACTGGAAAGTCCGAGAAGATCATTTTTCGAACTTCTTGTTGTCAATGAGTTCGTTGGAGAGTGGACGTTCAGATTATTTGAGGTGGTATCTTCTTCTTCTGGATCAAAACCCAATTCTTGCATTGTTCTTGTGTGAGACAGGGGCCGATATTCGAAAATATCCGTGCCTCGTCCAGAATCATAGTCCTCTTTGGATTCATCGAACTTCTCAAGGGAATGGAGGTATTTGAAGTTCTCTAGATCTTGTTTCAAATCGATGATTTCGAGGTCCAACTTCTGGCATTTCTTTTGAGAAGTCGCTAATTCCTCCACTAGCCACGCATTCTCATCGCGAAGACGTTTGACCAACGCATTACTCTTTTGTTTCTCGGCTTCAAGGGCTTGGATGTAAACGAATAGCTCCATATTGAACTAAAAATAAAATCATTTAAAATACGACTTTTTGTGCGCTGAAAAGGCCGTGGACCTACAAATTTTTCGATGTTGAATTTTTTGCATAAATATGGATACAGCAAATTTTAAAGAAAGCTATTATTCGTTTTTGTTTAGCACCTACCAAAAGCGATTTTAACGAAAAAATTTCAAAAACTCTTTTGCCTACGTCCAGGCGATACTTTTCAATAAAATATCTCAACTGTATGTCTGACCTAAACGTAAAACCGACAAGAACTTCGAACCGACTTACTTTAGCATCCATAATTCCAGTTTCGACTCGAGAAAGCTCTTCGTCATATTTATGAAGTTTCTCTCGGCGAAGTTCATCGTCGATGGATGAATCTTGAGCGGTTCGGTCTTTTGTGCATTCGATGTCTTTTTTGAGAGCTTCCAGGCCTTGATAACATTGACGCGTCTGCTCGATGTTCTCATCTAACATCGTCATATCGTCCTGAAATCTTCATAAAATAAGTCTCAAAATTTGAATATGGTGACTTATAAATCTTATTTATCCGTGTACCGCAAACAGAAGAATTCAGTTCAGAAATTGATATTGGACAAAAATCGGCAAATTGGGCCCGTCGCAAAAAATACGTAAATTTTGCATTTTCCTTGGATTAACACTGCAGACTTTAATCTCAAGAATTTCGCGATCTTCCCTTACTTTACACCCCTCACAAGAACCCGTTGCTTCCCCTTACAAGCTCAAAGGGTAGCCCGGCTGGCTCGCGTCCTGACTCATCCCAATGCGTTCGAAAAGAATTCGGAAATGGGCTTACGCGCCTTCAAAACAAAGCGAGAAAAGAGAGCAAAGTTTGGATTGTAAACCCAAGATTTGAGTCGTTCGCTTTTGGGGTCGTGCGATCTTCTTTCTTTTTCTTTACTCATGATCCACAAAAATGGAGATTCCAAAGAGGTTCTGAATGGGATGGATGGTCAAAAGACGGGGTGAGGAACGCGCATGAGATCAAAAGAATAAAAGGTGGGCAAAATCATAAAAATTTTGCGCTAACTTTAAGAACAAGCACTCTTCTCTCATTTCCAATACCTTTTTACACATTTTAGAGAAGAACATTCAGAATTCCTTAGAAAACAAGCCCGGTTCTAACACAAAAACATCAATTTTTCGTTCAACCAGGCCAAAAAACACTTTCAAAAGGCCAAAAATCTCAATATCCGATATCCATTTATTCCCGTCCATTCTGTTGTTTACATTCAAGAAATTCATATTTTTAGTCGTCATGACAACAAAACCCTCTTAAATCCGCAAAAAAATCGTGCAAAACATCCTTCGCAAATTGACCTTGAACTGAACTACCTGTCAATTCGAGGTTTGCAAAAAAACGTTAGCGAAGTGTGTTCTTTCGTCCATCCGACCCCAATTCCTATTCATTTCCCTCAAAACGAGCCACAAACTAATTCGTGTTAAGGCCATGTTATCAAATTCGCTTGGATCGAGAAAATTATTGGTCATCTTTTTGGTGGGGAAGGAGAAATTCTTTATTAATTCGGGGATTTCACGTGAATTAGTGCTGCCTCACAAGTAAATATTAAATGATCAACGTTTTTCGTCAATTTCCACTCCATTTTACCTAGTCCAACATCCAAAATCGCAAGTATTTTCTATTTTTTTTTCATGACATCCAATCCATAATCCTCAAAAACAATATAAAAACTTCCGGAAATCCTATAAATCATCCATTCTTATAGCTTTCCCTCTCAATGCAAACACTTAAATATCCCCTTTCACTAAAATCATCGCCTAATTTTCGATTATCCCGCTTAGCCCCCTCAGGTTTCCAAACATCGCGATGCATCGTTCTTCAACTGTTATTCGACGTCCGGAATCGAAACGAAAAGCGCATCGACAAGGTTCCTAAACGATGCGCGGATTCTTCTGTACACTTTGGGGGATTTCGAGAGATTTGTGGTCATTTAACGTACCGAAAACCGTGTAATACGCATGGATTCGGATCAACAAAAAACAGTTTTCGCTTTTGTTTCGGGATAAATTACGCGTGACTATTCGAACAGAATGGCAGGGAATCCCTCAGGGCATCACAATTTGGTATTGTTACCCGCTTCCCTAAATTTAGACATCATTGCGGAAGAACGATAACTAAATTTTGAAAAACATATAAAAAACACCAAAGAAGACAAAGAAAAGGACGAAAAATCAAACTTCATCCTTCAAAATCCCTTTTTAAACCCTGAAATCGAACCGAAAATTAACTAATTCGATATTCAAATGGGCTTCCTAATCAATTTCACCAAATTTTCTTTATTTTGCAACCTAAATCGCCTTGAAATCCACCAAAATTAACCCAGATTCCACTCCAAATCCGCTCCCAATTTGAATTCCAAATCAAAAACATCAAAATGGAGAATTCAACGGCGGCGAAAAAGAGAAATTTGTCTCCAAACGCCCGAGGCCAAAAAGAACCGAGACTTGGCCTGGAAAAAGGGAAAAGACCTTTGGCCGACGGAAACGAACCGCGGGGATTTGGGTGAGTAGAACAAAGGGGATGGGTAAAAAGCGGGTCGAAATTAACCTAACGGCATTTAAGAAGCCTTATTGGAGTAAATGGAACGCGGCTGCAATAACATTGTGGTAAATATTTCATTTCTTTGGTCGTAAAAAGATATCAGATTTTAAAAATTATACGAAAGAAACACAACAAAATAGTTCGAATATAAACTTCGCTTTTCCATTAGCAAGGAAAATTTTTGACTTATGTCATCTAGCATCATTCAGGTCATAATTCCTTCAAACTGGATGTCGAGTTTTTGCAAAAACTTCCAAATAATCTCTAGATCATCTGTCAACAGATGTTTTTGATTTAAACCAACAATATCCCCCTCGGTCACATATAAAATTAAACATAATTCAACCCAGTACAAGGTATAAAAGTCTAAAAAGACCCTCAAAAAATCATTGCACGCAGAAAACGTTATTAAGAAAGCAATTCTGACACCTTATACTCTCTTTACCATCAATCATCCAATTCTTCCGACAAAAGAAACATTACGGACATCCATGAACAGCAATTATGCCTCCTTTCCGCTTATACTTGATTAAAGTTTCGCTACATTCGGAGTCAACGCAACCCTGCCCTCCCATAAAAAACCTTAGCTGACAGCTGATCCAACATAAAAAGCTTTTCTGCTCCTTTTGTTGGTCAACTCTTACGAAAAATATCTATTTTCAATGTTTTTCCTCTTCAAAAGTGCGATAAGCGGTGACAAACTTTGGAACTCAAGCTGATAAACACAATAGAATTTGACACAATTCAGTTATTCTGTTCATGATACACAATGTTTTTCATGAGCAAATCGGATGTAATTCACAAGGGGTATGAATGTTTTGAAACAAGCTGTTCGAAACCATCCATACCACAAAAAACAGACGACTGACTTGAAACAGTAACACTACTTCTCACTTTCCGACCGCATAAACCCCGATCAAAGCTCCTATTCATCTTCATCTTGCACTTGACGTTAGTAAACAGTTACCCGAACCTCTTTTCTCACCTCTATACTCACCTCAAACCCCTCCAAATTACACGCAATCACATTAGCCTTCAACTAGATGTCTCCGTTTGTTTGAAAGGCCGAGTTAATTTGAAAGCAAGTCGTTCAGAACAACTAAAACAAGGTCCGAACACCAAAGCTAGGTGTTGAAAACCAAATTAATCATATCTGAAGCACGAGGCACCCTCTATAACGACTGGGAAAGTTTATAAAAGCGGAAAGAACTAGGAATTCCAAGCATTTCCCCCATTTTCCCTGCGGAATCGAGTCGATTTCGAAATGAAAGGAAAGAGAGGCAGAATTAGTGAGGTCAGTGGGGAGTAGACAAAAACTCCGAAGCAATAATGCCTTCTATATGGACACAACATAAACAACCGTCAAGACGAGGGATTTAGCCGAGTTCTTGCGGCATCAAAACAACCAAATTATAGGAAAAAATAGTTTAGGAAGAGTAAGACGTTCGAAAAGCGGAATTCCCTATTTAAAAATTCATTCATAATGTGCATCTTGTGTCAATAGATTCATCCGACATCACAGCTTCTTCATAAATTCTTACACCTAAAAATTCAAAATATTCCACTATCTGCTTTTGAGATTCTTAGACCTTGCACATGAGAGAGTTCAAATTATTGGCTAACCCAGAAGCTAACAAGCCAAAAAATCTTCTTATCCAACAAGACATAACGAGAACCTTATTACGTAAGTGGATTGCCGAATTTCCCTTTTAATCCCATAAAAATATATTATCCTTCCCACGCAGCTCATCAAACAAAATATCCTCCACGAGAAACAGACTGTCCTGCATTTGCTCTAAACATCAATTAAAAACTGGGAAACAACCTACCATGAAAAATGGGACGACCTCCGTCTCGTCTTCATCAAAAACCAAGGTATTTACATTACGCATCTCCTCAAGCACCTGGTATGATATTTCTCGAAAACTGACTCCGGAGCGCTGAAACCGTTGAGGTGTAGATAAAACATCGATGTATCTGACGGACATTTTCGCAAGAAAACTACCTTTTTTCGGACAAAATTTCGAATAAATTATTTTGATAACAAAAAGTTTTCGTTGCGGGATAAAATTTAGATGTACCCGATTGAAGATACGAAGCTAGATGCCAATACCAGCACGACATAAACTTTATCTTTAACATACTTAGCAATAGATCGTGATTTACTTTAAATCAATAAAGGATTCACCACATAACATTCATTGAAGATCCGAAGGTTGGGCTTGGACCGTGGGCATTGTCATGGTGATATTGTGGATGGTGTCATCCAGATCTTGATTATTTCTGAAACGACACAACGTAGAGACTCTACACCTAATTTCAAACCCCATTGTTCTATCATTTTCAACAAAAACTTGGCAAATAATTTGTTTTAAGGAAAATTCTTATAAAAAATATAATAAAATGGAAGTCTTACTCGACTTTGTCCTTGGTGACGGCCACAAAGTTGTTCAAGCGTCGTCGTTTCTTGGGCGGCTTTGGCTTCGCGGGTGAATCCATCAAGAAGGGAGTTAATTGCACTTCTTGAAGAGCTGTTTCCGATCGGAAATCAGTGAGAAAAAGGGGTTCGTCGACCGGTATATAACAGGATCGACTGTGTCCAAATTGCTGACAGGACAGCGGAGGGCTCCACTCACAACATGGACTGGAATGATCGCCGGTGGAGGTGATACTGGACCTCAAACAGGGCTTGGAAGAGCTCTGGGTGAGCTGCGTTTCGGAGATGGATTCGGCTTTCCTTTTCCTGCTAAAGGTGCAAATGGAGGAGCTGTCGGAGAGCAACGAGTCCAAGGAGCTGTTCGAGTCGGTTCTGGATCGGGGATACTGAAAAAAAAATTATTAAAATTTGACAAAAATTATGTTATCCATGGCATTTTTGGTGTAAAAATCACGATTTTTCCTTACAAATCAACGAAAGTCGCATCAAGCCGTGTCTTAAAGAAGCATAAGAATGAATACAATATTCTAAAGCTCAAAACTTACGCGAAACGACAATCGCCGATGGATGGAGGGATGAAAAAGGTCTCGAGTCCAACGATTTTGCGTCTGTTGGGCGCGTTTGGGGCTGAACACGTTGAGAAGGACGTTCTTGGCGCGGGTCATCACCTTGCCCAGCCGCTTTAGACGGCCCTTCTTCTTCGGCTCATCCACCGGCGGCTTGAACGCCATGAATCGGGCCATCGACCGCAACTTCTGCGATCAATCGGGCTCGAAATGTTGGCCTTTTCTTGTCCACGTCGAGGCCAAGCGTGCAAAACAGGATTTTGTTCATGAAATTTGTTGAGAATTTGAATATTTATGCGATTTTTCATTTTTGTTTTTAAATTTTTGCATACTGTTTTTTCTATACTGTGTGGCGGTCGACTTTCGCCAAGATGAGCAATACAACGGACAAACCGGCAGATGATAACCTTGTTCTTGATCATTTTACGTGAGTTTGGGGTAAAATACTGGTTTTCACTCCGCTTTCGAAGAATCCTTTTAAAATTTTATCGCAATTTTTGATCTCTTTTTCTTTCGAAATAAGAAGAAAATTGTTGAAAACGTATTTTAGGATCGTTGGAATCTCTGTGGTTTCCTGTGTAGCATTTCTCATTTTGATTGGGACCAGTATTGCCTGTTGGTTCGACTTGCGCAATCGGCGACACAAATTGCCGGCTGAAGGAGAAGTCAAAGCGATCAAAAAGAAGGCGTTCAAGACGGGAAGAAGACGCCATTCCAGTAGTGTAAGTCTGGGATAACTGTGAAATCTCGGGTCTTGGGATATTGCTGTTGAATATCAAATGTTCTGATGACTAAAAAACATTTTTTGTAAAGTACGTTTAAGATTGTTATTGCATTTTGTATGTTATACGGTGGTTTTATTGTAAATTAAGGTTAGTTATTATTAATATAGGATTATTTTTAGAGCACGGATCACGGATCCAAAGAAGGCGTCAATAAGCAAGAACTTGTCCAGGAAGAAGAGAGTGACACTCCGTTATCTTCAACTGGTACGGCCCGAATCCCCAGTCATCGAACTCAACTATCAAAGCGTCTAACATTATCTGAGAAGCGGAGAGTCATGGAGATTGCAGCCAAGACCTACAGCAATTCCAATAGTTTCTTCATGGACAACACACAATCCGATTCCTCGGAATTAATGGTCTCAACGGCTAAAGATGTGGACTCCTTTGTGATAGTAAGAATTTAGAGCAGTCCCACGAAATTTGATTTATAATTTTCGTCATTTATTTCACATTATTTTTACTTTTAGGTCCGCAAGAAGAGCTTGGATAGAACTCAAATGTCCGAAGCTGTTCCCCGTTCCCAGCTAAGAACATGCCCTAAATCCAGCAGAACTAAGAGTCTGAAGAGCAGAGTCAATACTACCCAGAAAACGGGACTGAAATCGGAGACGGAGAGTTCATCCAGTTCGTCGTCAAGTTCAACAACCGAAACAAAGAAAACTGCGATTCCAGAATCCAATGTCAGCTATCAGAAGAAGAATAAATGAGATTTTAAAGGTATTATTGAATACTCTTGAATCCCAAGCTGATATTTCACGTAATCGTTTGATGTCTAACAGATAATTACCACGAAATCCGACGAAAATAAGACCGTCTCATGTGGAGCACTTCCTTTTCGACCTTTTGTAGGCTCGCATTATTCCCTTCATTTTTTCGTAGGCGCATTAACCAACCTTAAGCGAATCTTGTTGTTGTAGTGTCTGTTAACAAAACCCCTCGTGTCAAAAACAGCTCAATTTTAAGTAACGAAAAAATAACGGAATAAGCCTTCGGGGAGGTAAACGGTTTAATGGTGCGCTACTTCTAAGAGTAATTCACTTATAATTGTAGTGTTGGAGGGCCGTTAATGGTTGGTTATGTTCTCCCATTTGGCGAAGTTTCCATTGCAATTATTGTTGATACAGCAACAGAGTGAGAGGTCCCCTTGTTTGACACACAGTTCGGTGGCTGAGTTTATTCCGTTAGACTGAAAAGAAGGGTCTATATTAGCGGGAAGTGGAATGGTTTGACAATACATATAGGAAGAAATGATGTTCAAAAGGAGTTTGAGGGTAGATGTATGACTTTTAGGAGGACATGCGTGCATGCGGGATTTGAGGAGACGCTATGTGATTAGTCATCGTTTTTCCTTAATTTTGAATATCTTTGCAAAGAGAGATTACGCTCTTCTAACGTAAGGCCTAACTGAATATCTTACATTTGTCTTTTATAATATCAGAGCATTGCTTGGGTGGAGGTTATCAAAAACGAAGCAATGAGAGCTAAAACAAATTTCATATGGCCATTTTTTCTAAAGGCTCCAGGTTTCACATCACGCCTTTTTAAAAGTTTCTTTCACCCAAAAAAACCTTAATCACAATTATCAACGAAATTTTTTAACAGTCGTATAGGCATTGTGACCATTTTAAAAATTAACTTACCAAACAAGGAGTCAACGAGCAGGATCTCGTAGCCAGGTTTGTCACATGATTCACAACCTTAAAACACGACACCGCTTCCCTTGGACAAGGCTTTGGCGGCAGCAGAACTCTGATGTAAGCGTTCTGTTGATGTTGGAAACAGTTCAACGAATAGGCGATACTCGCGAAACCCAGCATCAGGAGGACCTTCATCTTTGCAGGTCTGTTTTTTGAAACACTGATTTTTTTTAACCAAATGCTTGCACCTTTTAGCTAATCGCTCTAACGGATATGTCCAGCCAGATCCGGGGTTGATCCGCTATTAAAATAATTGAAAACAGTCGTTTAATCTGTAGGTGTAAAGTGGGTTTATTCTCGAAAAGACTTCCAAATACACGAGAAACAGGTGGCGGGAAGAGTGGTGATGTAGTGCGAATAATACGTGAGGGCAAAGAGTAAGGTGGCTACTATGACCGTTTAAATTAAGAAATGCAACTACGGGAAGTGTTGAGGGTATGTCGTTGTAAACATGAGAGACCAGGTGGAAATAAGAAGATCGAGAAAGATGAAATAAAAAAAGGACAGGTTACGGTAGACGATTTACATGACATGAGATACGTTCTTAAGAGGAGAGAAATTGCAATACATAGTTAGAGAGACTAGAAGCTCTGGAAGAGGTTGTTACACAAGCTACTTAAATGTGTAGAACATGACTGAAATTTTTCGCCATTTCCGGGCTTATAGTGTTGTTGGTTTTTGTAAACTTCGAGCTAGAACTCTGGCAATGAAAAGTGTTGGCTGAAAGGTTCACAAAATTGAAGTCTTTGAATAATTCCGTCTCTCGCCGCAGCTAAAGATTAATTACAACCTCCTTCAGAAGCCTCGACTAAGATATTACATACAAATAAAGATACCATAATTGTACATAGTCTTAGAAAGAGATTACAAAATAAGTTTACACTGGTCCTTGACCACAGATTTAGAATTTGACAACGTAGGCCAGGAAGCTGCCGAACAAGGCCAATGAGAGAACTCCAAACGTGGTGGGTGTTCCCATGGCGGCATTACAACCATCGCCGGTACAGCAACACATAAGCCCGGTGCTGGTGGGCTGACAGGCCGCAACAGTGGTGTTATTGGTCTGCATCTGGGTGGTCTGTTGGTAACCGGTATTGGAGAACTGGAACAGTTGCTGAACGGATCATAATGTAAAACACTCTAATCGCTAGAGACGGAAATGGGGGAGAAAGTCGGAGAAGTTGGAGAAAAAGAGAAAAAAAGCCTACATGGTAACCTATTCAGTATGCTGTCAGCACTCTTTTTCTAATACAATTCTAGTATATATTATCCGTCAGAATTATAAACAGGCGGTTCTTTGAATATTGTATTAATCACGTGCGTCCTATGGTAGGTATCGTAAGATCGCCAAACAACCTGTCTACTAAAATATGAACTTTCTTGTTGTGAATTTCTTAACAAGTTGAGAAATGCCAAAAAATTGTGAGAAATCGAGGAAATGAAAAACAGATTATTTTCAGTGCTTGCAGTATCGAAATAATTGACAATTCAAGCGCTTTGAGGTTAATGTCAATCCTGTGGATAGCTAAATCAACTTACCTACTCCTGACTGCCTAAGGCTTACTAATCCTCCCCCAAACTTACCGAACAAGTAGTCTGTTGGCAAGCCCTGGTCGCGATCCCAGTCGCATTATCCACACTCTTGATGCAGCTCATCGAATTCTGTGGACAAGTCAACGCCGATCCCACAACCGACACCGAGTTATTCTGCTGCCCTTGGTAGCAATTCAAGCCGGCGGCAATGCCGATTTGGACCAGCAAAAGGATTAGGACCTTGCTCATTGTTTACGCTTATCTGTGATCTGAAGTTGGATGGGCTGAAAAGAAAGAACTCAATGCAACGCAAACAAAGTATTCATGTTCGAAAAAAGCGGCCCGAAGAAGAAGGGAAAATGCAATCCCAAAACATCTGAAAGGCTTCCGGTTGGGGCCAAGACCTTGAGTAGGTATTGAGGGCAGTGAACTGTGAGCAAGAAATGTTGGGGCAACGTGGAAAAAATGACTGCAAGATTATGGAAAAACTGCCACCAGAGATTAACTCGGAAAGAGGGCTGAACAACTTTAGTGTAGCCTTGGGGTTACTGTAGCTAATAAATTTCTGAATTAGTTGATTATCCTATGGATTATTTTATTTCTTCAATGACGTCACACAACAACCGTTGGCAACGGCAATACATATAACATCTGAATATTACATTTGAACAATGACATCACCTACAACCTCAGCATCAATCCTCCAATGTTCTAGGACAAGATCCTTACTGTCAATAATTCTCCAAGACCAGTAAACAGCATAATTTCGAAAACAACTACGACTACCGTATCCCACGCACACACAAAACGAGACCGTCCTTCTCAAAGCCACGGTCCTCGTCGGAATGAGACGCTTGGGCCAAATTACGGTGCACAGCCTCAAGGAGACCTGACCGTTGCCCGGACGACCTGATGGGAACAGGTTTCGAAAACGAGACCTCAAAGAAATAAGTTATAGTCAGCGCAACTTGATGCTACTAAAACAACTTTCAAAAACATAAATGGAAAGGGTTGGCGGTCTTTGTTGTACACAAGATGGCCCGTATCTTCAAGTTTGCAGTTGTATTAGAGATATTGCCATAGATACAATCAGAGATTGTAGGGCTTCGCAAATGGGCCGGCCCCGAAGCCATACACAACCACCGGCTTCGCACTTACACTTTATGTCGCATGTCTGACTTTTTTGGCGTTTCACCTGTTCAATTAAGGATTCAAGGACAGATGAAAATCTCCTGTTTTTTGCCAACGAAAACAGTACCCACAAGTGTGACTTTTATCAAATGCCAAGTTTTCAGTTTTCCAAAACTTAAAAGCCGAAGAAATCACATTTCAAGTCCGAAAGGAATTATATTTAAAACTTGTTTATTATGGCAGTTAAAGAAAAGAGAGCAGAGATACGATCGGAACCGTCGAGCACTTGGCATAATCGATTTGGATTAGAAATGCCCGTTTCCGCTTGGATTTGTCATTTCGAGGAACACATGAAGAATGTGGCGGTAAACTACATATTCGTCTAGACAATATATACTAAACAGGTATATAAAGTTATTGCAATTGAGTGAGTGTATGTGTGGTAATATTAGAAAAGAAGAAGAACATAGAAAACTGAAGCACCTGGACCCGAGTTGTGAAGCAACCAAGAAAGGGAGAGTTAGTAGAAGGACACCTTAACCATGACCATCACCAGGGGTTAGTATTGGAAAGAGAAATGGCTACTGTTTAGTGCTCCGGGGCTACTGTTTAGTGCTCGAAAGCGAAGCAAGTGATGTCCTGAACCTTGTGCTCGCAGAACAATCGGGTGTTGGCCAAGTAGCTGAAGTCTCCGGTGGAGCAGACCACGTCGAAGTTGGAGCCGAACTCCTTCTTGGCGGCCTTGGCGATGGCGCGCTTGGAGTGAGCGGTGCTTTCGGCGATGTTCTGCAAGAGTATTAATTTTCAGTCCGTTCTCGCGTCTATTTTTGATTTTTCAGAACTTTGAGCGTGTAGTTTGGCGTTCTCACCAATTCTACTTTACAATGCGTCAGCTGGCACTTACCTTCTCCAAGATGGTGTGCAATTTCTCACTGTTGCACTTGGGGTTCAGTTGAACAGTCGAGGCGCCGTGAGCGCGAGCACGACGGCGAGACACTCTCTTTCTGTATCCTTGACGTTGGGCCTCTCCTTCTCCTTGTTGAGCCTCATCAGCGTAGTCTCCTCCTTCTTCCTCTTCGTACTCCTGACCGGCTTCCTGAGCTGGAGCGGGAGCGGCTGGAGCAGGGGTCTGCTCTTGGTAGGCAGGGGCCGCAGCTGGAGCGGGGGTCTGTTCCTGGTAGCTCTGGGCTGGAGCTGGGGCAGCTGGAGCGGCGGTCTGCTCTTGGTAAGCTGGAGCTGGGGCTGGAGCAGAGGTTTGGGTCTCTTGGTAGGCTGGAGCTGGAGCAGCTGGAGCGGAGGTTTGGGTCTCCTGGTAGCTCTGGGCTGGGGCTGGAGCAGGGGCTGGAGCGGAGGTCTGAGTCTCTTGGTAGTTTGATCCAGGAGCGGCAGCTGGCTGGGCTTCTTCGTATTCCTGTTCCTCCTCTTGGGCTGGTGGTGGTGGAGGTGGCAGAGGGGCAGAAGTGGCAGCAGGAGCAGGCTGAGATTGAGCAACTGGAAGAGGAGCTGGCTCCTGGTTGTATCCGGTCGCAGATGGGGCAGCAACTGGAGCAGCGACTGGAGCGCTGTATCCTCCTTGAGCTGGGGCCGAGTATCCTCCTTGGGCTGGAGCGGCGTTGTAGCCTCCTTGAGCTGGCGCGGAGTATCCACCTTGAGCTGGGGCACTATATCCACCTTGAGCTGGAGCGCTGTATCCTCCTTGGGCTGGGCCGGCGTTGTAGCCCCCTTGGGCTGGAGCGGAGTAACCTCCGGCGGCTGGGCCAGCGTAACCGCCAGCTCCAGCGTAAGATGGAGCAACTGGAGGAGAAGCATAAGATCCACCAGCAGCTAAAACACAAAAATATTAAAATTAAAAGATCAAAAAATAAAACAATGCACAAATAAAACATACATGGAGCGACGGCGTATCCACCGCTACCTCCGGACACCTGAACTGGAGCCTGAGCATATCCGCCACCTCCGCATGGGGATGGTGGAGGAGGTGGGGGAGGGCAGGCTGGTGGTGGTGGGCATGGTGGAGGAGGTGGTGGGGGAGCTGGGCATGGTGGTGGTGGGGGAGCACATCCACAAGATGGTGGTGGTGCTGGAGGTGGACAACATCCACCACCGGCGGCTGGTGGGAAAAGGAAAGCGCTCGCCGAGCCCAGAAGGACGGCCGACAGAATCAAAGTCTTGGATTGCATTGGAGAATGCGACGATCGACTGATGCCTTCGGGGATGTAGTCACGGACTTTTATGCTCCAAACCCCTACAGGCAACAGCGATATCCGCCTCCATGATAGATAAGCGGGACCTCCATTAGGAAGCGGAGGCTTTCGAAAGTCCGCAGTAAACGAGGAGGAAGTTGCGACTCACAAAGCCCTCACGAAATACACGTTCGGAAGTGCAAAAACAAAGATAACAAACAATTACCAGAGTAAATGAGTCGCGGTAGAAGGAGGAGATTGGCAGAGGACGCAAAGAGACAGATGACTCCGCGTCAGCGCATTCCAGACGCCCGAAAAAACAAGAGAGCCGGATGTTGCCTCAGGCCGTCGAATGTTCGTCTTGACATTTTCAGTCGCCAATGTTTCAAAGTATTTCGCGCGCGCTCTCTCCTTGTCAGCGCCCTATCTCTGCGCGCCCATCACCGCGGGCGATCTTGTTCTTCCTGGACGCGGGCAGAGAAGCGAAAGAAGCGCGTAGGCGCACGAAAATATCATTACATAATCTACTTGATGAATTGCGCAATCGCATTAGAGTGGTCACTTTGAAATTTATTGAACTGGAAAGTAAAGGTTCAACCTCGGCGTGAAAAAACGTTGACTCAATTAAATCAAGCGTTTATGCGCGTACCGTGACCATTCGAAGAGGCAAGACATTTACGTGAAACTGACGTCATCGACGTTCTTGAAATTGAATTACAATTCAAATTATACGATCTTGGAAGATTGGAATTATTCGTATTAATAATAATGGTATGACGCTTAAAATCGGATGAATTTAAACCCCGGAGAACTAACATCTGTTTGATTACTATAATATGTTTAATATTATTTGCTCAAAAATTTAATATCATTTCATCTTGGAAACTTTAAACCTTGTAATTATTTACATAATCTTTACGATCAGCAGAGAAAAGAACCTCCTGACTCAACACATTTTTTTGTGCCTAAAACGAGTTGTGCGGTCTAAACAATAATTTTGGATGCAATCAGTTTCGAACATGCTCTTTGCAGGACCGGATATTTTATCTTCCAAAAACATTTCCAGTGAAGATTCACAAGTTTTTGCTGCCGATAAAATCACCGAAAACATAAATTAACGGTGACTCGTCTTCGAGAATTTCTCGTCATTTCCAGAAACTTTATTACATTCCAAAAACAATTAGGGGAAACTAGAAAATGCAGACTTGAGTAATTTTAAACATAAAGTGATGTAAGCTAAGTGTAATACCACAGCAACTTAGAAATTGATGAAGGATAGATCGTGTCTACGACGACGAGCTGCAACGCCAAACAAGGACTTGCACTGCTTGGTGTACTTCTTGGCCTCCTTTACATGTTCGGTCTCTCCAACCGCAGCAACGAACTCATTAGCCTTGACGGCGACTTCTGCTAAACTCTTTCCACTTTCCCTAAATTTCTTCAATTCTGCCATTTTTTCGTCTCCAATTACATGCTGGAGAAGTTCTCGGCAACCAGCTTGAAGTTGAGCCGTCGCCTTTTCCTTTTGTTCTCCAGTAGCGGCTTCGTAGTATTCCATGACTTTGACTTGGATATCATCCCGGCCTTTTCCAGCAGCCTTCAATTTTCGGACCTCTTCTTTTTGGGCATCATTCAACCAAGAGAGGTGGGTCTTCAAGTAGTCTTCAAGGTCGTGCTTAGCATGATGATCATGACGGCGTCTGCGCTTGGAGCCTTCAACAAAGACCAATTTGCAGTTCTCTTCGGTTTGGGAGAGCTTTCTCTTTGGTGGGTTGGCCTGAAGGAGTTCTTTGACTTTGGCTTCATAGGCAGCTGGGGTACTTCCTTTCTCCATGAACTTCTTCAGTTCCTCGGCCTTCTCAGTTCCAAGGATTGTTAGGATTGGGCCTCCACAAGAAGTCTGGAGTCCATCTTCAGCAGCGGTCTTGGCACTTCCAGTCAAAGCTTTGAAATATTCAAATACTTTGTTCAGCAAGACATCGTCCTTCTTCCCTTGCTTCTTCAGTTCCCTGATTTCATCCTTTTGTTTGTCAGTCAGAAAACTCCATTGACTTTTGAGTTTCGCCTCCAAATCGTGATGATGATGATCATGTCCAGAGTTGCCATGACTTCTTCGTGCCCTGCTCAAACCAAAGATTTCCTTGCAATGAGCTTGATAATGAATGGCTTGTTTGGCGATCTCAGATTCTCCAGCCGCCTTGAAGAATTCCTCGGCCTTGGAAATTACATCAGCGACAGTGGCTCCTGATTCTTTCAATTTTTTGAGTTCATCAGCCTTCTCCTTTCCAACAACAGCAACCAGCAATTCCTTGCAGCCAGCTTGAAGTTGAGCGGTAGCCTTTTCTTTCTGTTCGCCAGTGGCTTCCTTGTAGAACTTCATGACCTGCCCTTGGATCTCATCCCGATTCTTTCCAGCCTTCTTAAGTTCTCTAATAGCGTTCTTTTGGTCTTCAGTCAGCCAGCTCAAATGAGTTTTCAGGTAGTCTTCCAAGGTGTGCTTTCCATGATGCTCTTGATGATCATGACGGCGTTTGCGAGTGGCTTGTGTGAAGACCAACTTGCAGTTTTCTTCAGTTTGAGAGAGCTTTCTCTTTGGTGGGTTGGCCTGAAGGAGTTCCTTGACTTTGGCTTCGTAGGCAGCTGGAGTGCTTCCTTTCTCCATGAACTTCTTCAATTCTTCGGCCTTTTCGGTTCCCAGAATGGTCAAGATTGGGCCTCCACAAGAGGTTTGAAGCCCGTCTTCGGCGACACTCTTGGCACTACCAGTCAAGGCTTTGAAATACTCAAAGACTTTGTTCAACAAGACATCGTCTTTCTTTCCCTGTTTCTTCAATTCTCTGATTTCATCCTTCTGTTCATTGGACAACCAGCTCCATTGACTCTTCAGTTTAGACTCGAGGTCATGATGATGATGGTCACGACGTGCCCGACTGGAAATTCCAAAAGCCTTCTTGCAAGTGGGACTGTATTTCTGAGCTCTCTCGACCTTCTTCTGGTCCCCAATCTTGCTCAAGAGTTCTTGGATCTTGGCGTAAACCTCAGCATTGCTGCTTCCGTCCTTCTTCATTTTCTTCAACAATTTGGCATTCTCCTCTCCGATGACAGTAGAGATCAGAGTGCGGCATCCTTCTTGAAGGGCCTCTTGAGCTCTTTCTCTGTCGTCTCCTTCGGTATGATCGAAGAATTCGAGGACTTTGAGTCTTAATTCAGCTTCAGAACTGCCTCCAACCTTCATTTCCCTGAGGGTTTCTTTCTGGGCGTCAGTAAGCCAATGCAAATAAGTGTGGAGATAATCCTCGAGTCCATGTTCTCCGTGATGTCCTTTATGATTATGTTTTCCACCGTGACTGTGTCTTCTCTTCCGACTGTAGCCGCTGAGTTCGTAGATCTGAGTGCAAACAGGTCTGAATCTCAGAGCTTTAGTCTTCTTGGCCTCATCGGTGACTGCAGCTAGCCAGTCGTCAACCTTTTTGCTCAAAACTTCTGTTTTTGCGCCTGATTCTTTCAACTTTTTCAATTCGTCCGCCTTATCAGCACCCAGTGTGTTTACGATCAATTCTCGGCAAGCACCGAGAAGTTGAGCTTTGGCTTTCTCTTTCTTTTCGCCTGAGGCATCCTTGAAAAGGGAGATCAGCTTAGTAGCAGATTTGTGTGGATCATCGCCGGCATGAAGAGCTTTGAGTTCAGTCTTTTCAGCATCAGTAAGCCAAGTCAAATGTTCAGCGGCAAAATCGTCAAAGGAAGTGTGGACATGTCGAACTGGGCGAACATGATGCTAAAATTGGAAGTAATCAATTAAATGTCATCAAATTTCGAAAAAGAAAATGTCTCGAAAGTTTGGTCCTACCTCTGCACTTCTCCTGTGATGATGATGGGCATGATGGTCGTGATGTCCCTCGTCACTGTGGCTTTCATGATACCAAACATGCTCACACAATGGCCAATAGCTAGCGATATTTTCCTGTTGTTTCTTGGTCAAACCAGCTTTGATATCGGCAATTCTCTTATGACATCTCTCGTGGTCTCCAGAATGGTGAAGTGCTTCGAGTTCTTCCTTCTGTGATTCTGTGAGGAACCAGGAATAACATTCGGGAAGGAGATTGTTGTGGACTTCCTTCTTGGTGTCAGCATCAAGTCCCTCGTAGACTGACTTCAGATACTCGCCACGTTCGGAATTGGCCTTCTCGGTGAAGGTAGTACGAGCTTTTTCATTCAGCCAAGTGGTGACAAATGGAAGGTCATTTACGTCATCACTGAAGTATGCATTATATCGATAAAGTTTTGATTTGTTATACTCTTGGGCTTGCTTGCAAAAAACAGATGACTAAGTGCAAAATACCGCCTCAAACATTATTCTTAGATTTTATTGTTATACTAGACGTAGACCAAGTATGACTCGAGTACGACAAAAGTGTTTTGACTTACTATGCGTTCAGAGTGCCCACCCAAAGGGCAAAGAGTAAGACCGCGGCCCGTTGGCCTCCTTTCGTTTCCATCGAAGTGATGAAAATGAAATGAACAACCAGAATTGAATTCGATTCGGATCGCTGTTATCATTTCCCGTTTCCGTAATCAGTGGGAAATCACAAAAAAAGATGGCGAAAGTGCTGGCCGGGAACAAGTATTGCGATAAAGCTGTAATCTATTCCCATAAAAAGTTGTTTACAACAAACTTGAGCGATGAGATCTCTCAAAATGGCACCCTTTCTTCACTCTTTTTGCATACTGTAGGACTAACTTTAGCTGGTTTGGAGCTGTAGTTTCGGATTCCGAATTTGAGTACGTAATTGACTGCTGCACATCTTTGGATTTGATAAGCTTATCATCTTGTCTCGGGAACTTTCCTTTCAGGTCGAAAACAAAATGCATCTCAGTGCCTTATGTAAAGTTATACATGATTATCTAAACAAGAGGGTCTATAATCGCTAAAAGAGCAAGGTGACAAAAACGCATCCATCACAGAAAAAATTTGGTCGATTTTATTACACTTGCGATAGTTTTCAAACCTTGATTACCTATTTGATTTGGTTAGGCCAAGTCAATTTTCAGTCAAATGTTCCAGCCCGATATTCAAAAAAAACCCCGACAAAAACAAAAAGGATTTTATTTATTGACCGAATCGACAAAAAGTTTCGGATGCTCCACTATTCTCTTATGTATAAATTTTAACTATCAACGGCGAAGTTCATTGTTGAGGTCAAGCACAATATGCGATCTATCGGGCAGTCCTGAATCCTTAACCATCTTCTTGGCCAACGCACTGATGTTCAAGTTCTCATAGCGCGATTTCATCTTCTCCGAGGCTGAAAAGATCAATCAAAAGATTACATGGTCTAGATACATCAGATAGAAAAACGACGAGATCATCACCTCCATCGACTCTAATAAAGATTCCGATGGACAACGGGGTACGGTTTCGATCAACTTTGAGAATTTGCATAATCGCATTGACCATGTCCGAGATACTGCAGATCCTGGGGATGTTGATGATCTTGGAGCTCGCATTTCCTCCATAAACTGAACAGTAGATCCTCAATTCGTCTTTCAACTGAATACTTTACATTGGGTCAGCTAGATGATAATCTCACCGTTGGTTTGTTTTCATCGCTGACTTCGGGGAGGCTCTGAGCAATTCTTTTGTAGACCGGCATCAAAGGTAACAACTTCTCGGCCACCAACATAACCTCGGCTCTGCACAGAAAATTGGCGCATCTGGCAATCGGACATCTCGGAGGTTCAGCTGCAAGAAAGAATTATCAATAGATTTGCAGACGAAAGAAATAAAATGGTATAACTCACAAAGAGAATCAGATTGAGTTACACTTTTGGCGACACAGTCGAAACAAACTCTATGGTGACAGTCGATGGTGGTGAGTCGAGCCACATTCACACACTGGAACATCCCACGAATCACTTCGCAGCTGAAAATATTTAATATAAAAATGCGGTGTAAAATGCTTGGAGTCGAAATTAAAATCTCAATTTTCCCGCCGTTAAATTTTTTTTTACCGTTGTCTCTCTTCCAATTGAAGCATGTTTGGACCAAAGACAATTCGATTGTGCCTCTCTCCCTCATCGTCAACTCCAGCCGAATCATCATTGTCATCAATCTCATCCACCAAAACCTCGATATTTCTCGGCGTTCCGCAGCCCGGCATTGGACAAGTGGCCAGATTGGCCGACAGATTGAGACACGTCAAACAAAAACGATGCTCACAACTCAGTTGTTGAGTGTCCGGGATGGCGTAGCGTTCCAGACAAATCGGGCATTTGACCTGCGTCTGGCTTGGAGAACGCACGGACATTGTTGTAGAACAACCGAACACAACTTTCGATGAATTTCACGGAGCTTGGCAGCCGGAATAGATCAAGAATGATAGTTGGAATGGCAAAATCTCTCATTTTGCCTTTTTTTCACTATTTTTACTCTTTTCCTTTTTCAATTCAAATTTGTCGCATTTTTTGCGGTTCTTGGCATTGTGTTTCAAGCAAAAAATATTTTTCGAAATAAATTTTCTTGGATTTTCCTCACTGAAACTGAAACAGTTAACTGTCACTTTTGTCTTAAAAATGAAGTAAGTGCTTGTAAGTCAAGTTAAAATGTATTTTTAGGTTAAATATAGGCGGTTTGAAGGTTTATTTCCCGTATGAACATATCTATCCAGAGCAGATCTTGTACATGGGAGAAATTAAGAAATCTCTCGATGCTAAAGTAAGTTTCAGCTTGTTTTTTACTTTTGTTTGTTGCTTTAGGGCCACTGCTTGTTGGAAATGCCTTCAGGTACAGGTAAAACGGTTTCCTTGTTGTCTGTTGTGCTCGCTTACATGACCCAGTTCCCGGATAAGCTGGATAAATTAATTTATTGCTCCAGAACAATCCCGGAAATTGAAAAATGTGTGGAAGAACTTCGAAATTTGTTCAGATATTATAAATCGGTTAAAGGAGTGAGTTTTGACCCAATTTTTCAAAGATCTCATGGATAATATGTGGTTTTGAAATTAACTCGATTTTGGCTTAGAAAGCTCCAGACTTCCTTTGTCTTGCATTGTCAGCCAGAAAGAACTTGTGTGTCAAGGAACCAGTAGCAGCTTTGAAGAAGGGATCAGCTGTTGATGGAGCTTGCCAGAATCTGACAGCGTCTTTTATGCGAGCTAAGGCGAAATTGGATCCAAACATGCCGTCTTGCGAGTTCTTTGAGACTTTTGACGAAAATCGAGATCTTACATTACCGAATGGCGTCTATAATCTGGTATGTTATCTTTTTTCAATGTTATCTTGAAATTTTAGGCAGATCTTCGAGATTATGGTAGAGAGAAGTGTGTCTGCCCGTACTTTGTTGCCAGACAGGCTGTAAACCGAGCACAGATTATCATCTATTCCTACCATTACATTCTTGATCCAAAAATCGCTGAGCTTATCTCCAAAGATCTCAGTCCGAAGAGTTGTGTCGTCTTCGATGAAGCTCACAATATTGACAATGTTTGCATTGAGTCCATGAGTGTAACTTTGAGCAGAAAGTTGTTGGATCGATGTTCTAAGAATTTGGACGAGCTTGAGGAGCATGTTCAGAAAATTAAGTAGGTTTTTGATCCAGGTGTTCATGGACAATTAATTTTTTTTTAATTGTAATTTTTAGGAAGGAAAACAGGGAAAGGTTAGATGAGGAATACGAGAAGCTTGTTAACAATCTAAAAAGGGTCCACGAAGAGAGATCGATGGAGAATGCCTGGGCGAATCCTGTTTTGCCTGATGCGATTCTTGATGAAGCGATCCCTGGAAGTATTCGAACTGCAGATTTCTTTTTGGTCTTTTTGAGGAGACTTATGGAGTATTTGAGGTAGGATTTGATTATCTTTAGAGGGCGTTTTTTATTTTATCAAGTGTAATATATTACTTTAGGCATCGTATGAACGCCCGAGCCGTACAACTCGAAAGCCCAGCCGCCTTCCTTCGTGACATCAAACAGCGAGTCTTAATCGACCGGAAGCCTCTCAGATTTTGTGCTGAGCGCTTTGCAACTCTTGTTAGAACCCTTGAATTAGCCGATGTCTCTGAACTCTCGGCCCTGGTTAAACTCACAAGTTTTGCGACCCTGGTCTCAACGTATGCAAGAGGATTTTCGGTGATTGTGGAACCCGGAGATTTGGTGAATGTGGCCACTGAAGGCCCTCAAAGTGAGGATCAGAAAAAGAAAAAGAAGAAGGAAACGAAAAGTACCATTAGGCAAAGGAAGAACAATAAGACACAGATGGATTGTTTTATTCATTTGAACTGTATGGATGCTTCGGTTGCTATCAAGCCGGTGCTTGATAGATTCCAGACAGTAGTAATTACATCTGGGGTACGTTTTGAGGATATTGGAAATGTTCATGGGGAGTTATAGGTGTTTTATTACATTAATCATGAGAGTATCGATGTTGATTGTTAAAATTTTTATGATTTTTGTTACTGCTGTGTTTGCTCTGTAATCAACTTTTTTTTTCAGACTCTATCTCCCCTTGAAATCTATCCAAAAATTCTCGATTTTGACCCTGTTGTAATGGCATCCCTGACTATGACCCTGGCCAGACCGTGCATATCCCCATTGATTGTCACTCGAGGCAATGATCAAGTCGAAATGACCTCCAGATTTGAAAGTCGATCGGATCCGTCGGTCATCAGAAATTATGGATCGTTAATATTGGAAATGGCTTCGATTATTCCGGATGGAATTGTTGTTTTCTTTACTTCTTACACCTTTATGGAAGATATTGTCGCCACTTGGTATGAACAGGCAAGTCACCTTGGTTGATTTTTGATAAAATTATATTGTTTTAGAGGTTCATTGACGTCCTGCTGAAGAAAAAGTTGTTGTTCATCGAAACGCGTGATGCCACCGAGACTTCGATTGCTTTGCAACGTTATGTGCAGGCTTGCGAGACTGGAAGAGGGGCTATATTGTTCTGTGTGGCCAGAGGAAAAGTCAGCGAGGGAATTGATTTTGCTCATCACCTGGGAAGAGCCGTCATTATGGTTGGGATTCCGTATCAATACACTGAAAGTAGAATCCTCAGAGCGAGATTGGAGTATTTGAGAGACCAGTTTGACATTAAGTAGGTTTTGAAAATTTTGAAGACAGCTTGCAAAGTCAGGGTTTTGTCGTTTTGAGGATTAAATTGATGTTTCGAATGTAATTTTTATTGTTGTTTTGCAGAGAGAACGACTTCCTGACCTTTGATGCAATGCGACACGCCGCACAGTGCGCCGGCCGAGGACTTAGAGGGAAAACGGATTACGGATTGATGATCTTCGCTGACAAGGTGGGATAAATTTCTTTGGGAGGGTGGTATTGGGAATTAGAAAGCGATCTGGCGGATATCCGGACCTTTTTTTGGGACATCATATTGCACTAGGCTTCTGGGAAGAAGTAATGTAAAATTAACTTTTGTACGGTCTTAGAGATATGCCCGACGTGATAAACGTGAGAAACTCCCCCGTTGGATCCAAGAGAACATCAAGGAATCAGCTGTGAATATTACGGTGGAAGAGGCCACTTCAATCGCTCGGCAATGGCTCCCCAAAATGGCTCAACCTTTTACAATAAACCATCAGAAAGGAGTGTCGCTGTTGACTCAGGAGATGCTAAATGAAGATGATGGCATCATGGAGAAGTTCAAATATGTCATCCATGAAGTGGAATAGATTAGGTTGAATATCAAGCGGATTCGGGTGGTATCCTTGAGATCCGCCATGTTGATTTTTGAATTCTCATACGTTTTTTGTTGAAGCTAATCCTAATTGTTATATTATTTATGGTACATAAAGATCTCTAATATCCAAAATTGTATGTTTTATTAAGAAAAAGTCGAGTTTCATATGGGTTTTGGCTTCTGCACAGGAATTTGATTAGTTTGCAAATGTTCTTGCAATGGGCCACGTAAGACTTTAATGTCGACTATTTTATTTACCGGATGTAGAGAGTAGGTGGAAATGAATTCCAATGAGGGAGGGGGAAGGGTCATGACATTTGGCCCAATTCGTATAGACATTATTCTTTGGGTCGGCCGATGACGAGTGGGTTTGTTATATGTATAAATTTAAATTTGGAATTCCCACAACCTAATTTATGATTTTTTCTTGTGGGCGGATGCAAACGTAAATTGAATATGATAATTTTTTTCAGTTTCTTTGGAAATATTTTTAGGTTGTTTAAAAAAAGGGAAACTGGCTTGACGTTTTTTATGTTAAAACACGATTTCTGACTCACTGAATCAGCCGTGTGCAAGGCCGGGACATAGAAAAAAATCGATTTTGAGTTTTTTGTTTTAAAATGACAGCAGGCATCCAGTAAACATATGTCTGAAATATTTTTGTCTAATTCTCGCATTAACCTACTGTAATTTACAATTTACTGTTTTTACAGTAATCGACTATAACAACAAAACCACACGTCAGAACTGGCTGAAATTGACAATACTTATGTTTTAGGCTACGCCCGTCATAAAAAACACTGAATTTGGACCGTCGGGTTACTGTAACATACCGCAATGTGGGTTCGGCCAAACAAAATCGGCCATAAAAAAGTTATTTCCCAAATGCCGCAGCTGATTTTTACATATGTTAATCAGCGTAAAATTCTGCCCTATAAACATTTAAAAAAAGTGTAAAAAGTCATCACCCCTTTTTCGTGGTGTAGTGGATTTTGGTCAAAATTAGTAATCCGAAGGTCGCGGGTTCGATCCCCGTGGAAGTAAAATGCGTAAAACTGCACAAAACCTCAAAAAATCGGTTGAGGTGGATTGATTATGTATATCAGAAGTATGAAAAATTGTATCAAAGTTGATTTCCGAACTTGAAAGCATTTTTTGATGATGAAACTTGGATTTTGGTTTCCGTGGATTATGGTGCAAATTTAGTCTAGGAAATGGCTAGAGTTGTTTATAATTAGGTTTTTTAGCCTTCTGAATTCAATGGAGCAGGGTTTTTGGCCTTAGGATTACTGTAACATAGACAAAACGGATTTCGGCCGCTTAAAATCGGCCGTAAAACGGTTGTTTCTAAACATACGCAGCTAATTGTTCAATTTTTGGAATCAGCGTGAAATTCTGCTCTAGAATCATTAACTATAATATCCTAACTGGCCGCACAAATTCCAAGAATTTTTTTTTGAGCAGATTAGAAATTTTTCAGTAAAAAAAGTCATCCGTGGAAATCGAAAAAAAAAATTCTGAGATTTTGGTATAAAAATGTTTGCATACGTTGATGAAACTTAGCCTCAAAATATTTTCGGCTAATTCTTTCGCTAACATAGTTTTATTTACAATTTCCGAATTTTAAAGTAAGTCACCACTGAAAACAAAGTATTCAACCAATAAGCCATTGTTTAGGCGCAAATTGTGTCAAATTTCACGCTGATTCCAAAAATTGAAGAATTAGCTGCGTATGTTTAGAAACAACCGTTTTACGGCCGATTTTAAGCGGCCGAAATCCGTTTTGTCCATGTTACAGTAATCCTATGGCGAAAAACCCTGCTCCATTGAATTCAGAAGGCTAAAAAACCTAAGTATAAACAACTCTAGCCATTTCCTAGGCTAAATTTATACCATAATCCACGGAAACCAAAATCCAAGTTTCATCATCAAAAAAATGCTTTCAAGTTTGGAAATCAACTTTGATACAATTTTTCATACTTCTGATATACATAATCAATCCACCTCAACCGATTTTTTGAGGTTTTGTGCAGTTTTACGCATTTTCCTTCCACGGGGATCGAACCCGCGACCTTCGGATTACTAATTTTGACCAAAATCCACTACACCACGAAAAAGGGGTGATGACTTTTTACACTTTTTTTAAATGTTTATAGGGCAGAATTTTACGCTGATTAACATATGTAAAAAGCAGCTGCGGCATTTGGGAAATAACTTTTTTATGGCCGATTTTGTTCGGCCGAACCCACATTGCGGTATGTTACAGTAACCCGACGGTCCAAATTCAGTGTTTTTTATGACGGGCGTAGCCTAAAACATCAGTATTCTCAATTTCAGCCATTTCTAGTGAGTAATATTGCTGTAATTGTCGATTACTGTAAAAACATTAAATTGTAAATTACAGTAGGTTAATGAGAGAATTAGGCAAAAATCTTTCAGGAATAGGTTTACTGGATGCCTGCGGTCATTTTAAAATCTAAAACTCAAAATCGATTTTTTTCTATGTCCACGGCTGATTCAGTGACTCAGAAATCGTGTTTTAATTGTTTGTTTAATGCTGTTATAAAATAAACAGGTAAACAAAGTACATACATTACAAGCACCGTTTGATTATGATTCAGCCACATTGACACAAAACATTTTTTTCGGGCTCACTCTCCTCGTTTTTCGTGATCTCTTGCAAAGTAAACTATTTTTTATATTAAAATATGTATATCGCCGGAACAACTCTTTGAGAGCGATTTGTGTCTTAATCAAAGAACGTATGCAAATTTTTGAGCCAAATATGAATGCTCAGCTCAAAGGCTCTCTCACAAAAAAGGATTGAAAGATGGCGAAAATTGCAAAACTTGTAGTAAGAAAACGTTGATTTTTTTAAACTCATTTGTGTACGTGTCTGTTGAATAGTGCATCTACTGCGGGACAAATTTGGTATAAGCTGATGATTCCTTGACAGTAACCAGCAAAAAATAATTTGAAAGCATCTTATAAAATTGTTTACTCCTCTCCCACCATTAAAAGTATTGCAAAAACATAATGAATTCGGAGATTATTTATTTCTCCTAACAAAGGGAACCCGTTGCGTAAGCTAAGCCATCATTTCATTCAAATGTCCATAACATTCGGAGATCATTAGGAAAGACAAAGTTTCCAAATTCAAGAATCGCGAGATTTCCGTGACTCCTTTTGTTTTCTAATGGTACTGTAATCGGACGTAATATTCGTTTATTGGATAGAAACTAGGGTTTCCTCGCGAAATCGATCAAAAAACATTGGATTAGGGGCAAATGAAGATAAATTTAGGGGGTGTTCTGGGGGGGGGGGGGATCTCAACCGTCATGTGCATTTACACGTTGTTTGAGGGGTCTCTGTTACATTTTCTGCGTGATTTTTGACGCTTTACACTTTAATTGAAAGTGCATACAAGATTACAGAAGATCCCGTAAATACGTAAGTTTGGACGACCGCGTTCAGGATGATTGTCTGATGGTGATACAGACTTGCGTGATATGCCGATGAATTACAGATTAACCCGTTGACGGAGATTTTAAATTTTTTATTTCCATTACAGTAGCCTTCTATTGAGATCGGATCAAAATGATCTTACGGTAGATTATAGAACAGTTTAACTGCGTATAATAAGAAATTCTCGTCTAATCGAAAGCCTGCTTCTCTGAAGGCACGCCACGAAATAAGTAGAAATAGAGAAATTCGCGGGGACAAAAAATTGGAAAATTTTTGAAATCTTTTTTTAGAACACACATGAGATATGAAATGGTACCGCTTTTTGCAAGAAATGAAAAGTCGTGAGTTTCCTCTGTTCTATTTTCCCGTCTGAAGTTACTGTGAGTTACACTGCCAGACGTAAAAGTGTTTCATCCGTCGGTTCGTAGACGTCTTTACATTTATCCACCTAACTTCACAAATATTTACCGGAAATACGGGGTTGTTTCCAGTTTGGACCCGCACTACGTTAAAGGAATTAGTTTTTGAAACCTTAAAATCCCAAAAATTTCTGCACTTCTAATCCTGGTTTCAAAAAATTTTTAAATCCTTCAAACGCATTACAGTTGCGCAATCTATTGTATTTTACGGTGTCAATGGTTTTTTGCAAAACATTATGTCCTAAGTACCATTCCAGAAATTTCGGATTATGCAATCATCAATTTGCGCCATCAAAAGTGACATTTAACATTTTCTTGAATTTTGAAAGGATTCGACTTGTGACTCTCTGTTGTTGATGACATTCGAAAAATGATATGAAATAGGTTAGGTCATTCGCAACAGCAACGTTCTAAATATCATGCCACTCGTAATTATGCAGACGAACAAAATAACAACGTCTCTTGTTGCTTGAATAAGGTTAAGCGTCAAATGAACTCTTTGAACTGAGAGTTGAAACCCGATCATTCTCGGAAAATGATTTATTTTAACAACGGTTATTCGAAGGAAATAACGTCCGAAACTCCTTTACGACAAGCAGCAATTCTAATTTTTTGAAAATTGAGAATTAAGTTTTTTCGTTTGCGATTCATTCTTTTCTCCATTTGCTGTCTACAGCGATTACTTCACTGATCAAGAACCCATTTACACTTGCAATAAAAGCAGCTCCAATAAAAGCACCCCTGCTTCCCAAGAGTACAACATTCAATGTTTGATGATCGCATTAAATAAATCTCGGTCACTTTGAGTGCAATGAAAGGCAAACTAAAATAATTCAAATCTACGTACGGCCCTCTGATTCATCTCAACTGAGCTTTGATGCCTTATTTTTTCCGCCTGTAAAGAACTCTCTGAACTCTGATAATCACTGATCGCTTGGGAATAATTCATTTGATTATACAACACCATTCGTCTTGATGTATATTTTATTACTTGAGGCCCGACCTTTGAAGCAGGAACCAACTATTTATATTTAAAATCAATTCGATTACTACATAATTATTGTCACTTTGAATACCAAACGTCTGTTTATTGTCTACAAGGGAGTAT